ACTGGCTTGCTGCCCAGCAATAGCAACACCATCGTCGAGGGAGTGACGACCTTTGTCATAGCCAGCTCGCTCACAAAGATGCCCAAGTGACGCCGCTGTGGCGAGTCGATTTCACCGAGCCTTCGAATCCAAGCCCGAACGGAGCGAAGAAGCGTCGCCGCGATCACCCAGAGAAGTAGAACTATCTCAAGGAGGGATTTGACGAAATGCTCGACAATAATCGCGGTTCGATTGGCGCTCAGTACCTGCGAGATGCCGAAGCGAACAAAGCCGCTCGGTCCTAGGGCGCTGCGCTGACCACTGCAGCTCAGGAGGATCAAGAGCAATCAGCAATGCAGCCAGAGCTCATGCCGCGAATCTACGGTCCTACGAAGCTCCATATGATGGGCTCTGATCCCGTCGCCGATAAAGATACGACCAGAGGTTGCGTCGATCCAGAGTCTCAACAAGCTGTATGTGTGTGTGTGTGTGTGTGTGTGTGTGTGTGTGTGTGTGTGTGTGTGTGTGTGTGTGTGTGTGTGTGTGTGTGTGTGTGTTTGTGTGTGTGTGTGTGTGTGTGTGTGTGTGCAGACGAGGATCGAAGATTGGTCTGTGTGATCATGTGCCCGAGCAGAGCAAAGCAATGGCAGCGCTCGCAGCCAAGCCGGCCAGAGCCAGACTCAATCCTAAGTTCAGCGCGCCGCCGACGAGAATTGCAGATGTGCACCGTTGAGCCCCGTCACTCCTNNCGAGCTACTTGNTGAGCTGTAATGCAATGCTCGGCACCTTAATGAGTCGCTAAGCGAAATGAGCCGTCCGCTTTTCGACTGCTNTGCTGCGAAACAACAATGGCGCTCTTGCTCGCGGCATCTCTCGCAAGCGTTGCAGCATGTGAAATACTGCCATGCAGGACGACTGACGAGACGGTGTTATGTGAAATGTATTCCAGGCCTGTGGAGGTCTGCGAGCAAGCGGAGGGAATTTTCGACGCCTCATCTTGGCTCCTCTGGTCTGTGCACAGGCACCCTCGCTAAGGATCGTCTTTGAGTGCCATGATGCCCAAGTCACTCGGCAAGCGCTGTCGACTCGAAGCTTCAAGGTCAACGGATCGATTGAGATCCGCAATGCATGCGACTTGCCTCGTTTTACGAGCTGAAAGAGGCCCTGTGATCCGACTCGAGCGTTCCNTGACGCCNCTAGCTNTGAAAATCTTGTTGCGTCCCGCAAAGATGACTCTCGCTCGGTTCAGGATTCCCTTCGTCGTAGATGTGATATGTGAAGAAGATGCTGCGCATACCCGACATTGTCAGTCGCAGAAAGGGTGGGGACCAAGCTATGGAAAGTCATGCGAAGTGGTCTGCCTGCGTCTGCATTGTACTGATCACAGAAAAAGATTGGCATAGGGGGTCGCTGGCCGCTAGTTTGACTAGCAATCGCGCTTTGCTATTTTACCTGACAACGATGACGTGTCAGTCTATATGGCAATCGACACGTGTCAGCAATAAATGCCGGCAGTGGTCGGGCGAGGACAAGGCACAGCACGGTGACCGCCTGAGACCGAGACGGCTGAACGAGGACAGTAGCGTCTCCGTTGTCATGTCGAACCCCTTTGCGGATCCCCAGCGTGGACAGGCCCAGGCGTTGGACTCGAATCCGTTTGAAGATCCCGACGACGAGCGAGGCTACGACCGCGCAGACGGTGAGGACGACAAGCAGACACTCGACGAGGCATCGACCTATGACCTGCCTTACAGTGCAGGCACGCAGACGAGACCTTCGGGCAGTGATACTGCGCGTCGGCTGGAAGAGATCAAGCGTAGAGAGGCAGAGCTGGCCGAACGGGAGTCTCATCTGGAGCAACGGCAAGAGCACATAAGGATACACGGGCGCAACAACTGGCCCTTCTTCTATCCTCTCATCTTTCACGACATAGATCAGGAGATCCCAAAGGAGTCTCGAGCGAGTGCGCCTGAGCATCACCCCCTCGTGCGTGAGCAAGCTGACGCGAACCTGCAGCTGTACTGACGATGTATCGGATCTGGCTCCTTCTCCTCGTCGTCCTCGTTCTCAACCTGGTCGGGTGCATCTTGCTGCTCGTAGCAGGCCAGCCAGACGGTATACACGATCTCATAGGCGCCATAACCTACATCATCTTCATCCCGCCACTGTCCTTCCTGCTGTGGTATCGCGTTCTGTACAACGCGCTCCAGAAGGAATTGTCTGTCTACTATTACGTCTTCTTCTTCGTGCGCATCTGTCCTCTCCCCCCGCTCGGGTCGAGCTGACGATGATCGATCAATCAATCAATCAGTTTGGCGGCTGGCATGCGCTGTTCAGCATCTACATGCTGCTGGGCATCAGAAGCACGGGATCGGCAGGTCTGCTGAACACCATTCTTGCATTGACAGACGTCAAGAGTACGCTCCGTGCCTCTCTCTAGTGAAGCTTCGTCTCGCTGACTCTTCATCCAGTCGTCAGCGGCATATTCGGCGTCCTGGCCACAGCAGGCTGGGCGCTCGAGACAGGCGGAATCGTCTTCGAGTACCTGCGTATCCTGAAGCACCATCGCACAAAAGGCCATTCGATCGACGCTGCCCGAGCAGAGATAGCCGTGCATGGCTTCCGGCGCTACTTCACTCGAGGTTGACATTGCACGCTGGCCGTGCTTGCTCTCTTGCCTACGTCGGGAAGACTTTTGATCGATCAGACTGATTCCAGTACGATGGCTTGATGATATCCTCGTGGACAGTGACGATAGGCCCTGAGGTGACACTTGCAGATTCGGTGGTCATCGACGTACGCAGCAGGAGCGTGCCCTTTCGAAAGATCGGGTCGACTTTGCTGTAATTGATGCCAAACTGGGTAAAGAGCGTCTCGTTCTTGTCGGCAGAGACTGTACCTTGCAGCGCCGCATGAGCCTCTTTGGGGCTTTTGCCACCTTGCTGCACGAGTGCCCAAAATGTAGTGTTGTACAGGTTGTTGATATGTGTGTCAACTTGTCGCCAGTTGAGATAGTCGATGACCTCTGACCGCAGCGGATACTGCACCACTCGTCCGTCGAAGCTTGGCGCGTCATCTTGCTCTTCGAGCGGTGACTGCGGAAAGTAGGATGACCAAAGTCGCACGTAGTAGGATGTGAACATCGACACAAACGTGGTCACGATCTTGCTGCACTGTTCGCTCAGGCTGGGCTCGTCCTGACAACTTGATGCGCACCTTTCGCGTCGGAGAAAGAGTGTTGTCGAGCGAGAGAGCACAAAGCTGTACTCGTCAGATTGCCCGAATGCAGCTACGATCGTCTGACCGGCGTCTGACATCATCAGATTGCGGGCTGAATGGTTCATGAGCCTCAAAGCGGCCAGATCGTTCGGTTTGGTGAAATTGTGTCGCTTGGAGAATTTGTGGAACCCCTTGCCGTCGATGCGGACGACGAGGTAGGTCGAAGGAAGGAGCGTATCGTCACGCTCTGCCAGTCTGACATAGCCATACTGCGAATTGGCCATCCAGCGGAAAGCACTGGAGCGCGCGTTGCATTGACTCCAACGCGCGCCGCCAACGTCGGCGCCATTGGCCTAACGGGCAGCATGGACCTACTCAGCTCAGAAGACGTCTCCCGCTTGATCCCAATCGGCAACGGCAGACAGCTCTACGTGCACGCTACCGGCCCCTACGTGCCCGATGTGCCGCTCGTCTTCATTGTTCCGGGCATGGGAGACTGCTCTGCGACGTGGCTAGCTGTTCATCGTGCCATCAGCTTTGCTCGTGTCTTCAGCTATGACAGAGCAGGACTGGGCAGGAGTCCGGATGTGGACCAAGAGCGAACGATGGATCAGATCCTCGAGGACCTCACGAGCTTACTCAAAGCTGCTCCATTGCCTGGACCGTTTGTCTTTGTCGGGCACAGCTACGGTGGCACGATCCTGCGTGCCCTGTTGGCCAAACAGGACAGTCTCTTTGCAGGCTACGTCGCCGTCGATGCCATTCCCGAGACTTGGCAGCGTCCCTGGCCCAAAGACGATATCATGGCTGTGTGGGCAGATGTAGATTATTTCGAGGTGTCAGGACTGAACTCGGACAACGTCCTCACGCCGGCAGAATGGAAACGTGTACACGAGCTCACAACGAGCGACGAGGATACTCAGAACAGAGAGGACAAGTATAGTATGCCCAGTCACGAAGCTCTCTACAAGCTCGACCAGTTGGGCGGTGCGCCACTGCTCGGGAATCGACCCGTCTGTGTCGTCAAAGGCGATGTCGTGCGCGATTTTCAGAGGATCTGTGATGCCGGCGTCAAGGCCGGCAATGGCACGCCCGAGCAGCAAAAGGTCTTTCAAGACATCGTCGAGCTCTACCGTTCAACAGAGGATGAATTGCACGAGCGGCAGCTCAAGCTCAGTACACGCGGGCACATAATCCGCACGCGTCATTCAGGTCACAATGTACAAGCTACCGAGCCAGAGCCTATCGCACAAGGCATTCGCTGGGTCTTGAGACAGTTGGCCACTTTGTAGACAAGCTGTGATGCACTGGTGTACAACATTCAAGAATGCATAATATGGTATCAAGCGAGTGCCGGATGCGCTTCGTGAGGTTCGAATCCCAGTACGCTCGACTTGAGATGGTGTACCAAGTCGGAATGCGACAACGCGACGGGCTCGCCAGGATTATCGACTGACGATCGACGGGACCTTGTGGGCGTGCTCATATCCCAGTGCTCGAGCTGCTTCGTTCTCAATCTCTCGTCGACATGATCCGGCTGGCGATGCGTCGGGCGTCCGTGTCGATCGTCGGACTGCTGCTCTTCGACAGCATCGGGGAAAGTCTCTGACTCATCTGCTTCGTGTATCGTATCATCTGCCGGCTTGCGAGGATCGGGATCGCTATCGGCTGTCGTGGCGACCGAGCTGCCTGATTCGCTGCGTGTCGGCGAAGAGGACAGAGACGCCTTGCTGTCACGGGACGAGGACCGTTTCTTGAGCTTCTTCCAGGCTGCTTTGACGCCTCGTCCGACATCATCGACCGTATAGACACTGCTCATCTGGCTGTCAGCGCTGCTGTCTCACATCGTTACCGAGACTGACCCAGGTGGGAGCGGTCCACCAGCATACCAGGCGGGAGGCCCATTACTGAATCCGGCCGGACCGACTTGATATGTCTGGGCCCAGGGAGAGCCTGAGCCACCTGTGCGCTGAACGGGACGGCTCGGGGATGGCTGTCTCGGCTGAGGATTGTTGCCTGCCTGAGTGTTGAGCAGGCTCGCGCGGGCAGCGACGCCGAGCGTGATGGAGGAGGCACGCTTCCTGCCTGGTTCGGGCAGAGGGGCAAAGGTGAGACTGGGTGACTTTGCGCTGCTTGGCGAAGTGGAGGACTGCTTTGTGCTGGTCGAGATGAGACTGCTCGACCGTCTCGCCGGTGGACGGCGAGGGCTGCTGGCGCTGCTTGACGAGTTGCTGACCTTCCTGCTCCGTTCGCTGCCACCAAAGAGGGAAGACTCTTTGAGGGACGCCAGTGGGTTCGCAAACCGGGGCGACGGTGTATCCGAGCCAGGGTTGAGCAAGATGGAGCCAGAGCAAGGCGAGAGATTGGCCAGCTTGGCTCGTGCCATTGCATCTCTCCTGGCTGCCGCAGACTCCGGGTCCTCATTCGAAGATATACTCTCATCATCGCCGTCATCTTCTAGCTCCATCTGGCTCGAACTCGGCCTGATATCGACAGGTTTGGCGTGTCCGTTGTGGCTGGCGTAGAGCTCCTTGGCCCCGACAGACAGACTGGGCGCATGACTGTCCAGTACAAGCTTGTCTGTACTGCTCGCCAAGTCTTCGTCGCTCAATGCCATCTCTTGAGGAGGACCTGTCCGCAAAATCTGGGGAAGCGCTTTGGCGACCAAATTAGCTCCGGCTCCGGCTCCGGCGCCGAGGTCGCGTGGCCTGCATACGCCCGCGTGCTGTACAACAAGATCTCGTCTAGGTCTACCCGAACACCTTGCCCATACCACTGTATCGTCGTCAGCCATTGAAGCTGTCCGTCAGTGGCTAGAGCGCACCTCCTGAGTAGCCCAGAGATGACTGTGCCCCCAACGCCACCGAGGCCGCCGAACATGCTGTTGGCAGCCATCCCCGTTGCCCACTTCCTTTTGGCGTCTCGATCGGCATCTGCCCTGCCGTGAGCTCATTCACCTGGACGTATGAGAGCAGCGGCTGACATGAGAATCCGATCGTGTTGGTGACGTTGAAGACGAGTGCGAGGATGACGATGGGGATGAAGGAGATGCTGCTGAACAGTCCACTGCTCGCAGGGGTCAGCGTCGTGCTGTAGCTCGATGGGATGCCTTACATGAACAGCAGAAAGAACCAGACGACCGGGAACTGCGACGGCATTCAGCATACGCGCGGAATGATGTGCTCATAGCGAACAGTATATAGCGCGACCCAGAACATCCTGTGGGGCAAGTCAGCCTGCTTGTCTGCACAGAACGATCAATGTACCTAGAGTCCACGGCATTCGCTGGCTGCGTGGGCTTTGACAGAACGCATCAGTTCGGTGTGAGACGAGCCATGATGAGCGCACATCGCGTGATTCAAAGACCCAGTAGCTCGTGCCATCCTCGTCCTGCGGTCAGTGTGTCAGCGTGAGTGCGAAGGAACCTCAGATGACGTACGACTTGGTTCCAGAAGCGCAGCCCGACGAGGACACGTCCAGACACGTTCTGTAGGAGACGCGCTTGCAGTCAGCAGAAGGGTGCGCGCATGAGAGTGCTCGCTCACCCTGACAGTCCAGAAATCGGCAGATAGCAGGACGACCACCAGCACAGTCTGCAGGCGCTCGAGCTGAGCTTGATCCAGGTTGGTCTGGTCATTGAGCGCACCGAAAAGACATATGAATTGCTGAAGAAGCCGCAGAGCAGGTACGTTGCTACAGCAGCCGAGCGAAATGCAAAGAGGAAGAAGAGCGCTACGGGATGTCTGCATTGCCTCTGGCGATGAGCTTGTCAAAGGTAGCAAGCCAGACGAGCAGCTGACGAGGATTGCTGCCATATGGAAAGCTGCGGGTCTGCACTGCTCTGTGGCTGGGCTGTCGCCAGCCCGCCTGGCTGTAGAGTCCCTGAGGGCTGTATATGGCCCTGCTCGAGGTCCTCGTCTGCTTGGATGGTGCTCATGGATCGGCGGCTGGCGGTGACCGGCCCTGTGGCCTGTGAGCGCGTACCAACTCGTTCCTGTGCGAGCCAGCCGAGCTGCACGAGGAGACCTCCACATCGACCAGGTGCGGCGAGCGGGGCGCACCATTGACTTGCAGCTGACTTCCTAGCCTAGCTCTGCTGTCTCAGTGAAGCCAGCTTGGCAGCTCGGACGAAGACAAGTATCATTTGGCAAAGCCAGGCCTGCCAAGTACGACGACTACCTCATCGGCAGCAGCCTAGCAACGGCATAGCCTGCTCAGCAGACAGTGTTCTACCCTGTCCTCTCCTTACAAGGCTTGATTCGCTCGTCACTCCGATCCAGTCGACAGAGCTCGTCTCCCAGCGGAATCAGCAAGGCACACCGTGAGATGCGCTGAGGTGACACCCTGCGATTCACTCCGAGCATCTCCTGTCATCTCGCTTTGCTCGCTTGCACTCACATCCTCAGGCAACAAGAGGCTTAGATGGTCATCGAAGCCAGGTCGACTCTGACTTGTACCCATGTCGAGCGAGCGAGCGCCTAAATCGTCGTCCTTGCTACCCTCATCTGACCCCAGAACTGTTCCTGCCATCCAGTCACCCTCGAAAAGAGAGCGCACAAAGAGACCGTCTACTTCCGGAACCGCAGCCTTGCGCTCTCAGGATCACCTCGCCTCTGATACTTCGACGCCCCAGTCAGGGTAAGCACTTTGCTCACAAACATCCTCGTCCACCCACCTGACCGCCTCTTGATCTCATAGGGAACAAGCGAGACCGAGCGCAAGATCGCTAGGCAAACGCAGAGCTATCTCGCCCCTCTCCAGCGAACGCTCCCAGCCGATCGTCAACAGCGCCTCGCGAAACTCATCCGCGAACTTGAATCCTAGCCCAGACAAGTCCGTGGGTCAGGAAGAGCCTCCGACGCCTCGCAGGACACGCTCTGGCAAGACAGTGCCCTACAGATCGCCGAAACTATCCACGACTCCCGTCAACGGCAAGCGAACCAAGCTCGAGGAGTCTACAGGAACGCCGGTAGCTGCTCCTTCATCTGTCTCCACCAAACCCGACAAAGCTCGCTCCTCAGCTCATCTAAGGGCGGTCGAGAATATAGCAACCGCTAGAGCGCGAGTTGCCACGCCAGCCGCGCCTGTCGCTCGAATCCGGGCGCGACTACCGAGCCGCTCGATTTCTCCCGAGACAAGCACAGGTGCCAAGGCGACACGGAGAATCGTGCGAAAGACGAGCAAGCCTCGCAGCGCTTCCAAACTCGGCATGGCCCGAGGTGGCGGAAGGGCTGCACGACAGCGCAGAGCGGCCGAAGAGCTCATGCTTGCCGAGGCAGCAGAAGCTCAGGCCGGCCATGAAGCCGTCCATGCGAGCCTCGAGACCGGCGCAGAGGAAGCTGCTATGCGCTCCGCTCTCGGTGTCGAAGCAGACGAGCCGCTCATAGGCCATATTGACAGCCTAGCTGCGGACCCACTCAACGAGTCCGGCGGGCTCTTTCCCGAGGGAGAAGATGAGGATGACGAGATGATGATCCACGACGAAGACGATGAAGGCGAAGGCTTCGAAGAAGAGCAAGACGATGAAGATGAAGATGGCATCCATCACGACGACGAGGATGACAATGACTACGGTGGCGATGGCTACGAGGATGAGATGATGGAGGAAGAGCTCGCATTTGCAGAGGCTCTCGAGCGCGCTGCTGCTGTCGCTGCTTCCTCGTCCACCGTCACGCCTGCTAACGCTGCTGCGCCGACAACAGCCGCAAGTGCGCCACCTGCAAGCTCGTCTACTGGTACAACTCTGCAGGATCCATATGCCGATGCGGCAGCAGCATTTGGCACAGGAGCCATGGGTCTTTTCGGCCTCAGACGCTACGGCGGCCACAACGTCGAGAGCCCGCAAAAGTTCAAGACTATCTTGACAGACCTGCGCAACAAGCACAACGCTAACGTCCGTCTCATCGCCCTACAGGAGCTCAGCGAGCTGCTCAGCATCAGTACAGAGGACACGCTCGCTGGATACTTTTCGCCCGAGCAATATACCAAAGAGCTCGTCGCCATACTTCGCAACGGCGGCGGCGCACAGCATGGCGATCCAGAATTCGGTACTTCAGACGAGGGAGGAGCGTCCGAAGAAGGGAACGTCGAGATGATGCTGCTCGCTTGTCGCTGTCTTGCAAATCTTATGGAAGCTCTGCCCGGCTCGGCTCATTCGGTCGTTTACAATGGCGCTGTCCCAGTCCTGTGTGCAAAGCTTCTCGAGATACAATTTATCGACCTGGCAGAGCAAACGTTGAGCACACTCGAGAAGATCTCGCAAGAGATGCCCTCGTCTATCGTCCGTGAAGGCGGTCTGTCTGCATTATTGACGTACCTCGACTTTTTCTCGACCAACGTGCAGCGTACTGCGTTGACGACAGTTGCTAATTCTTGTCGTTCCGTCTCGCCGGACCATTTTGAGATGACCAGGGACGCGCTCCCCGTGCTTCGCAACGTGCTTGGCTACTCAGATCAGCGGGTCGTGGAGCAAGCTTGTCTGGCCGTCACGCGTATAGTCGATTCGTATCGAGCACAACCCGACAAGCTGGAAAAGCTGCTGACGTCAGAGACGCTGGACGCAGTCCTCAATCTACTGCATCCTGGTGGCAGCAGCGTCATTGGACCCAGCACCTACACCTCACTGCTTCGTATGCTTGGCCTTGCCTGCAAAGTCAGCCCGATTGTTGCCATCGATCTCATCGAGAAGAACGTCACAGAGGCGGTCTATCAGATACTGACAGGCAGTTCCGCGCCGCCGGCTGGACAGGAAGGCGATGGTCTGCAGACCAGGATTGCGAGCGGAGACATGGCAGTTCTGCAAAGCCTCGTGCAACGTCCTAAAGAGCAGATACAAGAGACGCTCTTCCTCGTTTCCGAATTGATGCCTGCACTACCCAAAGGTATGTTGCGCCTATATGAATGACTGTCGTGTCTAAAGAAGAGCAGATGGCATTTTTGACAATAAGCGATACACGCGCGAAGCACCTAACAAATTGACAGCGTCCTTAGCTATTGCTAAGCCTGAAGAAGCCACGGACGACCCATTGGACGCTCATGTGAGCTCCATAATATCCGCATCGCCGACTCGAAGCGCTGCATCGCAAATGCTAGCATCAAGTCCCGCGCGTGATTCGGCACCGGTAGACGTCAAAAGTGAAGGAGGCACACCTGATCCGAGTCAATCCTTGGCAGAACCTTTGTCTGGTTCTACGTCTAGAACTTTACTGCGCGCCACCATGACTGCCAGCCCTCGCAGCTCGCAAGTACGTGACAGTGAGAAAGAAGCTGCAAACAAGAAGCGGGTGGCAATACTGACCACCGGCTCGCCCGCGCGCCTCTCACACATCAAGCGATTCTATGCTCTCATGTTACCGACACTGATTGAGGTCTATTCTGCCAGCGTGAGTGCAGCAGTGCGGAGCAAGACTGTGCTCGGGATGCTCAAAGCTTTGCAATTCTGCAACGACGATCATCTTGCCGGCATCATGGACTCGGTGCCCATGGCTGGCTTTCTCGCCTCGGTGCTATCCACGCGAGATCAGATCAGTCTCGTCATGAATGCGCTACAAATGGTTGAGATCCTTCTGCTCAAGCTGCAGGATACGTACCAGTATCATTTCAGGCGAGAAGGTGTGATGCACGAAATCATGCGCATCTCCAAAGAACCCTTGTTGTCACCTTTACATGGTGAGAAAGGGCCGGGCGAGCTCGCAGTGCCACCAACGGCCGCAAGCCAGGCTCACAAGCTGCTCAGCAAGATGGATGACTCTCAGGCCGACTTTCTTCGGCCCCCGAACAAAGATCGCTCGGGTGGGCTAGGTCGCGCCCTCAAGCAATCCGCCGGTGACTCGGGACAGACAACGCCGAAGCTTCTGCCACACGAGGAGCTTGCCAGAGATGCCATCACACTGCGAGCGCGACATCTCATCGAGCGTTTTGGCGAAGTCTCGGGCGACTCGGTAGACAAAGCCGACTCCAAATTGCAAGCGATTCGCGATTTGGTCGAGCGTCTCGATATGGCGTCAGCCGAAGAGGGGCCTGAAAGAGCCAAACATGTCCTCGATGCCATCACGAGCCTGTTCTCTGAATCGAGCGGCTCGATTTCGAGCTTTGAGCTGCTGGAAAGTGGGTTGATCGACGGTCTGCTCCGCTTCGCAAGCGATGGCAGGACTGAAGACGGTAAGCCGCACCCGATTGTAGCCATGTCTGCTCATGCAAGCCGAATAGGGATGGCTCGACGGCATAAGCTTCTACTGACATCTCTTAGGTCCTCAAAGGGAGGTGCTCAGACGCCTATGTCAGCTCTCGTGCACCGTTTGCAGGATGCACTCAGTCGACTTGAGGACTTCGATGTCATCACTGCGCCAAGTCCTAATAGCGAAGCCTCTCGCAGTGTCAGTTCTGCGAGGCTACTGGCCAAGCAGCTGCGATTAAAGCTCGTTGCGGAAGACGAGACTAACATTCCGCGCTCTTGCTCCAATGTGGTCGTCTCCATACACGCTATCGCGACGTTCCAGGCATTCAATGACTATCTCAGGCCGCGAATAATAGCTGCCAATAATACGAGCAACGATCGGGGCAGCTCGAGCGCTGGATCCAGGCTCGCAGGAGCTATGGCTGCTTTGATAGGATCCGCAGGCGCTCCGCACGCAACCGATGCTGTTGCGCCGAAGCTCAAGTCGCCTACAAGCCCGTCAATACCGAGTACGAGCGCGGGTACGAGCAAGTCATCGCCTGCAAATGGTGGTACGACGTTATCATCACGCCGACGCAGTGATCGTCTCAGCGCAAAAGGCAGCAAAGGCTCGGCGGACGATCTGGCCGAACTCGCTGCGAATGACGCCGAAGTGCCTTGTGAAGCTGCGCGCAGCACCAAAGATGTGCCTGCGCCGCTCGCACCTGCAGCGCGCGCTCCCAGCAATCTTCTTGAAGGCGAAATCCAAACGTCTGAGCCTGTGACTGATGAGAGGCCGGTCAGTCTGCAGGTTGCATCCGATGGTAGCAAGATCGAAGCTTCAACGCCAGACGGAACCCGAGTGTCGACACCAAAGGTCAAAGCGGATGCGAATTCCGGCAAGCCGCCAACGCCCCACGGACGTGGTTCGTATGCAGCAATCGTCAAGACGGATTCTTCCGATTGGCATCTTGAGTTCACGCTGGCAGGCAAGAAGATCTCCTTCGAAACGACTATATTTGGAGCCGTACATCAGCATGAGCTGTCGAAAGGCGCAGACGCTAGTCCGGATATGTGGCAGAGCGTTCACACTGTACGCTTCAAGAAGGTACCTGGTCCCTCGACGCTGCCACGTGAAGCCACTCCGAGCAGTGGCATCAAGACTTTTGGCTTGCCAACCAGCATAGACAGCGGTAGACAGCATAGCAAGGTTCTCCAACTCTTGCGTATCCTGCATTCTATCAACTTCGAGACCGGCGATGATATAGATGCGACCCTTGCGCCACCTTTACCAGCATCCGGGTTCGTTAACAATAAGCTATCCGCGAAGCTCAATCGTCAACTCGAAGAGCCGATGATCGTCGCGTCTCAGTGTCTGCCCAGCTGGGTCGAAGAGCTGCCTGTCTTCGCGCCCTTCCTGTTCCCCTTCGAGACTCGGGTACGACTGCTTCGCAATACAAGCTTTGGCTATGCACGACTTTTGAACGAATGGCTCAGTGCCCCGCGTACTGATGGGGGCCGTCGCGATGACAGTCTCAGCTTCCTGGGTCGACTGCAACGGCAGAAGGTCCGAATCTCTCGCGCCAGATTGCTCGAATCTGCTGTCAAAGTCTTTGAGCTCTATGGCGGCTCTCGGGCGATGCTAGAAGTCGAATACTTTGAGGAAGTTGGCACTGGCCTTGGCCCGACGCTAGAGTTCTTCAGCCTGGTCTCGAAGGAATTCGCGCGCTCCGATCTCAAGTTATGGCGCGAAGGCGACGTCGGCAGCATTTCAGCCTATGTCTACAACCTCAGTGGTCTTTTCCCTGCCCCTCTGAGCTCTCAAGAGGCGGAGACAGAGGCGGGTCGCAAACGACTCGCCATGTTCACCGTGCTTGGTCAGTTTGTGGCCAAGGGTCTCATGGATTCTCGCATACTCGATTTGTCGTTCTCTCGTAGCTTCTCGCGTCTGGTGCAAGGCGAAAGATTACCAGAGACGATCAGCTCGGTAAAGAGCATCGATCGCGCTCTTGGCAATTCTTTGACGGACCTTCAGGCCTATGCGGACGCCAAGACCGCGGTCAAAGCGCGCGAGCTCGGGCAGGAAGCAGAGAGAGAGGCTATGTACGATATTCGTGTGCGCGACGCTCGCGTCGAGGATCTCGCTCTTGACTTCACACTGCCCGGTTACGGCTACGACCTCAAGGAGAATGGTTCCGATTGCGCAGTCGACATCGAGAACGTGGAGGAATACATTCGTCTAGTCATTCAGGCGACTGTATCAACAGGTATTGCGGCACAAGTGTGCGCCTTCAGGGATGGCTTCAGCACTGTCTTTCCCATACAAGACATGAACTGCTTCACGCCAGACGAACTCGTGCACATCTGCGGCTCAGCAGAAGAAGACTGGTCTATGAAGACCCTCACCGATGGGATACGCGCGGACCATGGCTTCAACATGGACAGCTCAACCATCCGGAACTTCCTGACCATTCTGACTGCCTACGACGCCAGCGAACGACGAGATTTCCTGCAGTTCATGACAGGCTCATCCAAGCTACCCATCGGCGGTAAGTCCCCCTCTGAGCAGTCAAGGTCGTCACTGATCTGTGCTTCAGGCTTCCGAGCGCTCACGCCGGCTTTGACGGTAGTGCGCAAACCGGCGGAAGCACCGCTGACATCTGATCAGTATCTGCCGAGCGTGATGACATGCGTAAGTTGCCCATCTTGCTTCGCCATGCAATCGCTGATCGACTCCAATCGCAGCAAAACTATCTCAAGCTGCCGGCGTACAGCTCACTCGAAATCATGAGCGAGCGTCTTCACACCGCCATCAAAGAGGGTAGCGGAGCTTTCCATCTATCATGACGCGCCTGCGAGTGGATGATACACAATGTGACATTGTAGAAAGATTGCAAATCGTTCGGCCAAGTCACACGACTCCTGAGGAATCAGTCCGGAGCATCGATGGCAGGTTTCTCTCCATTCAAGGCTGCAATGCGTCGGTAATACATGCCAAGGTGTAGATATGTAGATATGACACTGCCGGCATTTATTGCTGACACGTGTCGATTGCCATATAGACTGACACGTCATCGTTGTCAGGTAAAATAGCAAAGCGCGATTGCTAGTCAAACTAGCGGCCAGCGACCCCCTTTGCCAATCTTTTTCTGATCAGTACAATGCAGATGCAGGCAGATGACTTCGCATGACTCTACATAGCTTGGTCTCCACCCTTTCTGCGACTGACAATGTCGGGTATGCGCAGCATCTTCTTCACATATCACATCTACGACGAAGGGAATCCTGAACCGAGCGAGAGTCATCTTTGCGGGACGCACCAAGATTTTCAGAGCTAGCGGCGTCAGGGAACGCTCGAGTCGGATCACAGGGCCTGTTTCAGCTCGTAAAACAAGGCAAGTCGCATGCATTGCGCATCTCATCCGATCCGCTGACCTTGAAGCTTCGAGTCGACAGCGCTTGCCGAGTGACTTGGGCATCACGGCACTCTCAGCGACGATTCTTAGCGAGGGTGCCTTTGCACAGACCAGAGGAGACAAGATGAGGCGTCAAAAATTCCCTCCGCTTGCTCGCAGACTTCCACAGGCACGGGATACATTTCACATAAGACCGTCTCGTCAGTCGTCCTGCATGGCAGTATTTCACATGCTGCAACTCTTGCGAGAGATGACGCGAGCAAGAGCGCCATTGTTGTTTCGCAGCACAGCAGTCGAAANGCGGACGGCTCNTTTCGCTTAGCGACTCAGTAAGGTGCCGAGCATTGCATTACAGCTCAACAAGTAGCTCGGTAGGAGTGACGGGGCTCAACGATGCACATCTGCAATTCTCGTCGGCGGCGCGCTGAACTTAGAATTGAGTCTGGCTCTGGCCGGCTTGGCTGCGAGCACTGCCATTGCTTTGCTCTGCACGGGCACATGATCAGACAGACCAATCTTCGATCCTCGTCTGCACACACACACACACACACACACACACACACACACACACATACACACACACACACACACGCACATAGCTTGTTGAGACTCTGGATCGACGCAACCTCTGGTCTTATCTTTCTCGGCGACGGGATCAGAGCCCATCATATGGAGCTTCGTAGGACCGTAGATTCGCGGCATGAGCTCTGGCTGCATTGCTGATTATTCTTGATCCTCCTGAGCTGCAGTGGTCAGCGCAGCGCCCTCGGACCGAGCGGCTTTGTTCGCTTCGGCATCTCGCAGGTACTGAGCGCCAATCGAACCGCGATTATTGTCGAGCATTTCGTCAAATCCCTCCTTGAGATGGATCTACTTCTCTGAGTNATCGCGGCGACGCTTCTTCGCTCCGTTCGGGCTTGGATTCGAAGGCTCGGTGAAATCGACTCGCCACAGCGGCGTCACTTGGGCATCTTTGTGAGCGAGCTGGCTATGACAAAGGTCGTCACTCCCTCGACGATGGTGTTGCTATTGCTGGGCAGCAAGCCAGTCTTATTCGCATAGTCGGGCCTGTCGTCGTCGCGTGCTGGCTCAAAAATCAAGCTTGCCGCTGCCTCTGACGGTGCCCTTCCCAGCAGCTTTGCCATGTGTGAGGCCTGTAGATATGCCTGAAGTGCCTAACATCAACGAACATTGTACGGCCGCTCCAGCTGTCCTCTGCCAGCAGCGGGGTGCAATACTTCGTCTTCGTCGGCAGCTTCATTCTGTGCTGGCTGTTTTGTATCGCCGATCTGACCCGTCAATCTAACTGGATTCTTTTCTCACAGCATGCCGATGACAATCCAATCGCCTTCGATGGGCNGATCGAGATAGCCGGCACGGCCGGGCGCTTCACGCGCCATCGAGTAGATCCGCCGTAGGAGGAGTAGAACCGGTCTTGGAGACGCTCCTCGAGCTCTGCATGGGCGAGTATGCGGTCCCGCAGTCTGGTTCCAGATTCGGGCTCAATCTGCTGGTAGTCTTAACCGTCTGGAATCGTCTGGACGCTGCGTATGAGGTATAGGACACGGCTCGAGATCTGTGAAAACTGTTGATCCGTCATCGCGCAGACGTGCTGATACAGGCGAGCATGACTAAGACGGCAGACGGTCTGTGTGCGTGACACGCCACGTGCTCGCATGAGGCTGCTCGTCTGCCTGAGGTATACGCGGAAGCCTCCTCGCNGCCGATTTGCCAGAAGACGTCGGACGAGGTGCANTGCNTCNGATTTCCTGATGCTGTNAATGAGCATGCGCCTTTATAGATGCAGCCAAGAACGAGGATGCGGCTGGATTGTATCGCGTTGAGCACACTGCAGGAGGAAGAGNAGGGCAAGCGACGCACGCTTGTCACGTCGCTCCGTGAGGTTACGAGGCTTCCGCTCGGCTGCGAGCGCCCGTGCAAGCTTTGAAGACCGGCTCTGGGCTGTCCGCGGCAAGGCAATATCAGTGTGATGAGCTGCTNGCGCCGTCACTGTTCTCGGCGCNTAGCTNAAGGCATGCTGAGANGGNGNTTTCTATTTCTCTGCATTCTGCATGGTTCAGCTTGTCCTGCTGCCAGACTCATCGAAAGCTGCTCACTCGGCGATGCTACGACCAGAAGCTCTTCGTCGGATTCTTCGACGGTCATGCAGCCTGCTGGGATCGTTGCTCGCAACAGCCTCGTCACGAGACACAAGTCACGATCTNCACGAGTCTGATTTNGCTTGCCGGCAGGCTCTTCCAGCAGCAGTCAGCTCGCNATCTGAGGCAGATACGCGTTTTGCGGCTGACAGAGCCAGACACGGACGGGCAGGATATCTGCTTCAGACGATTGTTTTGAGATCAGACGTTTTCAGTTGATCAGTCAGAGTCAGCGGAATGTGACACAGCAGTCGGCGAGGCGCTCGCATCAGAATTCCCTTCGTCGTAAGTATGAAGAAGCTGCTGCGCATATCCGTTATTGTCAGTCGCAGCAAGGGTAAGGGCCAAGCTATGGAAAGTCATGCGAAGTCATCTGCCTGCATCTGCATTGTACTGATCAGAAAAAGATTGGCAAAGGGGGTCGCTGGCCGCTAGTTTGACTAGCAATCGCGCTTTGCTATTTTACCTGACAACGATGACGTGTCAGTCTATATGGCAATCGACACGTGTCAGCAATAAATGCCGGCAGTGTGACGCGATGCGCGAGTCATGCCGGGGGCCGCTCCGACAATATGGCCCTCAGAATCTTATCGATAGCGGTGATTGGCAAGCACTGTCAGCCACTGTTCGTCGGAGACTATACACCAAGCAACGCTAGGAGCAGATCGATCATAAAAGATCAGAACAGCCAGCGAGAGCCTGCTCTGGACGATGAAGATGGATGCGACATCACTTGGCACTACGTCGCTCATTGCAGCCTAGACATCTTCGAGGAGCGCGGTAGGCTCGCTCGAGCGACATCTTGTTCGATGATCTGACACCTGAGGCAGAGAATGGCAGCCAGCGCCCCTCAGACTCGTATTTTGGTCTGCTCTACTCGATGGATGATTATGCAGTGCAAGTCAGCAGTTCCCCTCGACGGACGGTCGCGCTGATAGACCATGCAGATACGGCTACACGACGAACTCTGGCGTCCGGCTTGTCTTGACTATTGGCCTGGTCGACGTTCTCATACGAGACCTTGATATCAAGCTGGTATGCTCACCTAAGCCAGCAAGTCCATACGCGTTGAGTGGCACGAGCAGGTCTTCCGCGCAATACAGAACGCATACTCCGCCATCCAGCTGAACCCATTCGCTGACATACCCGAATCGCAAGATGAGCTTGCGCTGCCTATCAAAAGCAAAGCATTTCGACGAGCAATGGACAGCATCGCCGGCTTCGAACGCCCTCGTGCCAGCATAGACCGTATCAGTCGAGCCACGGGCAGGCTCAGCCATTCACAGAATAGCTGAATTTTGCGCCGGCCTCGGCGAGCCGCCTCCAATGTCGTATCGAACGCTGGACAGGCCCAACAGTGCCAGTGAACCCAGCTCACGGTCGCCGGGATGTAGAGCTTCATAGATCCTGTACAGCTGCAGTCAGCAGTATGATCAGCAGATGCAGTCCTCCTCAGCCTTGTGAAGTTTGGACGGCTCGCCCAAGGCCCTTTGCTGGCATCATCAGGTTTTGCTCCCATCTGGGCGCGGCGAGACATCGCATGCGCAGACAGGTCCGATGCCCTGCTTTTGCTCAGTCTCAAAGACAACAGACTGAAGCAGCAGACGGCAAGACCGAAAGCAAAGACACCGTCATATTGAGCACCTCCTCCGAGAACTCGAGGTCGTTGCACAGATACGCGGCCGACATGCTTCTGTCGCCCTCTCACTTTTCCTTGCTCATTTTGTAGGACCTGCTCAAGTTCGTCCAAAAGATGCAAAGTGTACATCGCGCAGGTGAGACTGCCCGAAGAACGCCGGTGAGACTAAGGTACATAAGGCAGAATCTGAGCATGATTGACGCGGAATCTGCAGAAGCATCAGACTTTGCCAGGACGGAGCGAAAAGCAACAAACACGGGTCCATAGAACTGCAGCGAGGGGTATCAGCTCCAATAGACAAACAGGCCAGAGGACCCACATCCTGCACGACACCCTTGACTCTGAAATTCTGGACCTGATAGGAAACCACATTTTGAGTGCCCGGGGTGTGATGCATACTGAGCTCGATGGAGAGATCGCCATAGCTCACTGCAAAAGGTCAACAACGTCACGCAGAAGAGCGAGCAGACCTTACGCCAAATTTGGTGCGCATAGTCGCCATGAGGATCAGTCCAGCGCTTGAGGACACTATGCTCGCCACCGCGCTGATCTGAGCCCCAGACCATGAGACCCTGCCCGGCCGATCAATGCCGGCGCAATCTTGACCCATCGAGACGCACATTGAAGCTATCCGATACCTGGATGCTGAAGACCATCTCGAACTGCGGATTGCCGTTGACATCCTTGGTCGTCAGGCCTGCTGTCTGAACGGAACCGTATCCACGAGACTCGATGACTGGCTCTCGTTTCTCGGGCGCAGCCTGCTCGACAGCCAACCCGTTCGATCTGGCGAAGCATGAGAAAGCGACCAGCGCAAAGCTCATCAGCGAAGCAAAGTTGGTCATTTGAGCGTTCGTCGTGTACGAGCGGACGCATTGGGACGTTGCTGCGGCACGATGCGATGGCAACGGTCAGAGGGGACGGTGTGACAGGCAGATCTCATGGCGACGAGACACATGACTTGGAACGGAGACGATGACTTGTGACTGAGGCGATAGCAACTGATGCAGTGTCGACGTATCGACGACGTCGACGACGCGCTGGCATGACGACATCGATGGATGCTCAGGCGCTCCTCGCCCGTACGTCTGACAAGCCATCTGCAGATCTCAGCTGCTGGTAGTCGACCAATGACCGACTCATCGAGCACGCCGAACGCAGGAGCAAAAGCGAAGAAAACAAAGAACGACGGCAGAGACCCTGAAGTTATTCGTGCAAAATTAGAGGAAAGGGCACGCAAGCGAGCCGAGCGAGAGGCAGTTGGCGCACAGCCGCCATCACTACATCTGAAACCCGAGCAAGGGAAGCTCAATTTTATCAAACGAGAATGGATAGATTTGCGCAAAGAGCAAAGATGGCAAGAACGATTCGGCGAACGCAAGCTCAATGGACGGACTCTGCGGCTCATGACGTGGAACATGCTTGCTCAAGGTCTCATCCGACGCACACTCTTTCCGGGATCGGATTGTCTCAAATGGAAGGATCGCGGCGCAACACTGACTCGACAGATTCTCGTCTATGACCCAGAGATCGCTTGCTTGCAAGAAGTTGACCGTGTCGATCACCACGGTCCTATTCTCGCTCAGGCCGGCTACGACATGTCATATCATATCGGATACAGCAAGAAGGTGCACGGCTTGATGATTGCCTGGAAACGAGATCGTTATCGACTGTGCACCGCTTTCCATGGTGCGCGCTTGGAGGAAGCCAAAGCAGAGGAGGCTCCAGAGCCCGGCAGACAAGCCCTGCAAGCTGGCGAGCTGCTTGTTAAGCTTGACGATGCCGGTCCGGGTCTGAGTCATGTCACGCGCAATATTGGCCTGGCAGTCGGGCTGGAAAGGATTGATGAGCCTGCGCAAGGTTGCATCATCGTCACGCATCACCTCTTCTGGCATGCACGCTACTCCTACGAGCGTGCTCGCCAGATGGGTCTACTCATACAGCGCGTGATGGAATGGCGAGCTTCGAGTCCGGTAGCGAAGGATTGGCCCGTCGTCGTTGCTGGCGATTACAATTCGCAGCCATATGATGTCTTGTACAGCCTCATGACCGGCAGTCCTCTCTCAGAGACGCATCGAGCAATTTTACATGACTCGTCCGTCGTGCATAAGTCTGTAGACGGTGCTTCAGCGAGACGTGTGACGGCAGAGACCGATAACGACGAAGACGATCTCCAGGAAGAGGGCGCAGCAGGTGCCGATTCTAGCAAACGCGAGAATGGTCTAGAAGACGGACCGAGCTACGTCGATGCGGATGGGGACGAGGATCGCGTTCTCAAAGGTTGTCGAGAGGCTAGATCTGCAGATGCCTTGCTTACCCAAGCTCAGCTCGAGGATCTCTATCGAGATCAAAGGTGGCAGAGTGCATACGGACATGCCTATCACCTTGTGGCATCCGAAGACGGCAATCGCTTCGGAGATCGTGATGAGCGCTGGCAACCGCAGTCCAAGCCGTCCGAAGAGGACGACGCGGTCAAATTGGGCTGCCATGAGCCAATGTGGACCAACTTCACGCCGCTATGGCGATGCACGCTCGATTACATCTTTGTAGCATTGCCGAAAGATAGCGAGCTTATCGTGACTGGCCTTTTGCCAACTCACCGAACAGCCATTGCGGAACCTGGGTTACCCCACAGCGAGAAAGAACCGTCAGATCACTTTTCACTCATGTGCGAGCTCGTCTTGCCTGCATAGCGAAATCATCACAATTCGGCTGCTGAAGCAAACAGGCAGCATTTGATTCTAATGCAAGCTGCCATCTGTCCATCTTGATCGCTTGCCGCTCATCAGTCATACAATTTACTTCGTGACATTGTCCCGCACGCAGCAAACATGACATACGCCTTGTGAGGCTTGAAGCGCTTACAGTCGACTCTGCGCTCGCGCTTCTTGTAGCAGACGCAGCCAGAACACAAGGACTGAGCTGACGTTTGACCGCTATTTTCAATGCACGAGGATCCATCAAGCTGCGCTGACTGAGAACCGATGAGAAGAGGTTGTGTCGATCCTGTTGTGACCGAGAGTGATGATTAGCATGCTTACAACAAACAAGTGTGTGCATCGACTGTGTGTGATGTGACCGCTCGCTGTGTCGAGATGACAGCCCACGCATACAGCTGATCGGAGAGGCTTTTCAACCGCGTTGACATGATAGCGTGGTAAAGAGCGATTGACGGGCTTTTCTGCACCAATCGCGGCTTTGCAAGTTTGCCTTCCCCAGATTTAATTTATGAAACCGCCTGGTGAGCTTGATCCCAAGAACGTACACCGCAGAAAGGTGACGTGGAAGTCATGGTGCAGATAAGAACAGAAGCGGCTGCAAGTCATCGGCTGTCGTGGGGGCGATACAAGGCAGGGAGGCGGTCACGCATGGACGGTGCTGCATCCAGTGCATGCCTTGACAGGTTGGCTTGGGGCGACTGGGCACAGGTGGCGTGTGCTCTGGTCCATGTCGGGCGCTCGCACGAGCAGACCATGGACTGAGCGGCCGATCATTGACGGGGCTATGTCTGCAATTGTGGACTCGCGCGGTCTGGTGGGACGAGCAAGATTTGGTATGCTCGGACGGGGGTCACGTTATGCGATCGGCAGGCGACATCTGCGTCAGGCGGGCAGGTCTTGGAACGTCGAGCCGGGCTGTCGGGGGATGAGCTGGGTTCAGTCCTGGCCAACTTTGGCAGCGCGGGGGAAGCAGTCGGCGATGGGATGGTCGGCCCGGACGAAGCTGGACGACAGGAAACGATTGAGAGAGAAGGAGGCTCTGAGCGAGGTACCAGGCAGGCAGCGAGCCGCTCATCCTCCTCGCAGATTTCGAAGTCAGTCTCAGTACAGTCAGCTCGAGCTGGTCATATGCTAGTAGTGCTTCCTCTGACTCGCTTTCAAGTCTTGGGGTACTTGCACTCAAGTCTTGGAGTCGTACATTGTACTGTATATACTTGGTCGTCCTGTCTTGCGCCTTTTCTCACTATGAAAATGCTTGGCTGAGTCTGCTCTGGATCGTTCGGCCCTCGTCAGGCACTTGGCCCGTGATGATAGCCCCTGTGAATGTCAACTGGGCAACACTCGCGCGCGAGTGACAGCATACTATGCAACATCGCGACGAAACCATAATCTGGAGTGATTTTTGTCCGCAAGAACAAGTCGCCAATATGTAACCTCTCTAAGGCTACAGCTCTGCCTTCGGGCATACATTAAAATTGGAACAATACAGAGAAGATTAGCATGGCCCCTGCATAAGGATGACACATGTGATCAGAAATGGTTGCCTTCGGGCAAAAACTTTTTGGAGGTCATGCAATTTTGCGTCTCATGGGCTCTATAGGCTGATTGTCAATGCATCTGGCAAGGTGGTTGATTTTTGAGCCATCAATGTTGCGGCGACGCGCGCGCCCGCGATGACGCGATGACGCTGGCGATAAGTCACAGCCGACGCAATGCTGATAGATGCCACAGAGCACGAAGTGGAGACGCCTAGTGGGCCGATGACGATACATGTCATCATGCCAAAAGTAATGTCATGGCTAGCATAGCGTTGCAGGCTGAACTCTAGGAACAGCTGCCGGAACATCCGAATGCCCGTTATGTGCGTTGCCTTTGCTCTTTTGAGGCACGAGAGCTTAGGAGAAGCTCAGCCTGGCGTTCTCGTAGCTTCCGAAATATACCAGGCATGCTCGAGTATTCGTACAGCTGTACTTGGCTGAGCATCAAAGCAGACGACGGCGCCGGTGCTTAGGTTTGCTCAATCTATTGCAGCACAAGGCTACGTCGTCGCAGCGCCATGCTACTTCCACGAATTTGAAGGCAGTGCCGCCATTCCCTATGATGCCAAAGGCACAGACCGTGGCAATGACTACAAATATCGCAAAGCGCTAAAGGCCTATGACGATGACAACACCGCGACGCTCGACTTGCTCGCCAAGCATCCCAATTGCAATGGGCGTCTGGCCGCGACAGGAATGTGCATGGGTGCGTCATCCCACTATTTTAATTGAAAAGACTGATCGTGAGCAGGCGGTCACGTCGCTTTCAGGGTGAGCCAGATCCGAAGGCACAATGTGATGATTGATCAGCCATCAGGCCGCATTCGACTCGCGCGTACTCGCCAGCGTTTGCTACTTCGCAACGGATATTCATGACGAAGCGCTCTCCTCGACGGGCAGCGATAGCTTAGTGCGCTCAAAGGAGATCAAGGGCGAGCTTGCTATGTTTTTTGGCGCCAAAGACACCCATGTGCCTTTCGGAGGACGCACCAAGATTCGCGATACTCTTCAGCACCACGGAATCACTGTGACATTCTGCGAATTTGTGCGTTCCACTTCATCTTTGCCTCCGTCATCTCACACGGTGGACTCAGCAAGCGGCGCACGCTTACATTCGAGATGGCAAGTTTCTTGCTAGAAGAAGCGTCAAAGGGCTCACGAAGAAGCTCAGAGATGTCAAAGGGTCGCTTTGACGGTGCTCTGGCAAAGGTCTGCTTCGAGATGATGATGGAGCTTTTCAATCGGTACGTGATATCATTGCTTACCAGCCTCGGTACGGCAGCTGATTTGCTGAGCAGTACCGTAGCAAGGGACCTCGGTTCACCATCGGGTGCGAAAGAGAAGATAGAACATGTGTGCTGACAGCAATGCAAGCTAGTGTGGGAGTTGGCATGGTCTGATCCCACTGGATGCACGGTGAAACCAAAATAATAAGAGGCGAGTGTGCGATCGCTAGCGCGCGCCAAAAGTTGGACCAACAAGCACGTGCGAGCTTACCGTGCGCTGAGTACGTCAGGCATAGCGAGCGTCGCAGCAAAAAAGCATCCGGCGCGGAAATATTACGTTGACGGGATTTGAGCCCGCGCTCCGAAGAACTGCTGGGAGTCAAAAAGACCTAAAAGCAGCGCCATAACCACTCGGCCACAACGTATTGCGGGCAGGAAGCAACGCATATGTACTATATATAATCAAAGATAGCTTTGGAGCGTGGTGACCTGCGATACATCGCTCGTCAGCTTCAAGGTTTGAGATGCACATATGGCTGCTGTCGATGCTAAGTCTGTCAGTCTATGCTAACACAGCGATCTTCAACTTTCTTGGGCCAGAGGAGCGCACGAAAGATCTGCATTCGGCAGTCAGGCGAGTCGTATTGTAGCTCGCTAGGGCAGTTACTTATCAGCCAACAGACCAGTCTTGTTAGCTGCCACGACGACTTGGCAGCAACAGGAGCTAGGAGTGGCGCGAGAGTATGAGCTGCGAATTCCTTCGGCACCGACGTCGTCTTGGGCTGCCACGCAGTACCGATTATTCAGAGGCAACCGCTACACCTTGCGAGTGTCCTATGCACCAGAAGTACGGGACATACCTATCTCGAGGCTCGCGTCATGACACTGACCAGTATGCAGACGCCAGCAAAATTCGTATTCAACCTCACGCGATGGAGCCCAGACATGACAGTCGTCGAGATTACACCGTACTCCGAAGCAGTCGCAGTACCCGGCAAAGAGCACCTTCTGAGCACACATATCGAGTACATGCTCACTTTTGAGCTTCTCTTGTTCGGCCTGCTTCCGATGACGAGCGTGAGACTAGTCATCAGTATCTTCGTTACGCTCCTTCTACTGATCGTCTCGAGGGCGCCTGCGCGACTGCTGCGACTTCTCAAGATACTTAGCGGCTCAGACGCAAACATTGATAGACTGCTTGTAGCCAGCAAGAGATCGCAGTAGTACCGCATATGTCGTGCGAGAGCAAGCACATCGATCGCACGTTAGCAGCATCATGACCATACAGATTTCACATTCAACATGTCTGTCTACAGGTTGCGCCTTCAACATGTTCAACTAGAGCGTCATCGTCATCGTCTGTTCCGAACTACTGAGGGCAAGGACGGGCGGCAGGCCCCGAAAGAAAGTGTCAAGATGCTCAACATATTGTGCCGCGTGTTCGTAAGTCGCGCTAGCGTTTTGTTCCGGCGGCGGAAGGCCTGCAGATCATGTCAGCCAGGTTACCGGCAGGCAATGCAGATTACTAGTAAAAATGATGCTCGTTGACTCGTCCGAATTTTGGCGCAGCAGCTCGTTGAGAATGACAAACTGAGCTCGCATGGGCAAGTCATTGAAGCCAAGTGATGGGACCGCGAGACTGAATGAGCTCGCTGACTCGGGCTCGGCGGTCATCTGCGAGTCGGGCATGACACGCTCATTCCCGGAGGGCGAACGCATCATGCGACTCAATCCAGAAGGCTGACGCGTTGTCTGACGCATTGGCGATCGCGCGCTGGGTTGAGGCAGTCTGCTCGGACTGCTGGAAGTGACTTGCTGTGTGCCGTACCGGCGGAAAGAGGACGTCAGCAATGGCTTACGAGCAGGTTCGTCAGGGAGAGCAGACATCGAATGTCGCTTGCGAGACGGGTCTATTCGCTGGGCAATCGTGGCCCGCAGAGCTTGCTCTGTACTTAGCTCCTCCCCAGAGAAGATGCTCGTCTCGCTCTCTACATCCCGTACCACGATAGGACCAGGCGCAGTAATCCGAAGCTTGCTCTGGCCGATAGAGGAAGACAGAGTGGACACGAGCTTATTCCATTCGTGAGTCCGCGTCTCTTGCGATTTTGAGACACTCTCGATAGGAGCTCCTTCTTTCAAATCTGGCAGATCTGCTGTGCGTTGTCGTAGTGTGCGGTAGGCTTCCCACCACTTGTCGCCGGCTAAAGCAGATTCGACATCCGTGTTCATACCGTCGCGTCCATTGACTAGCGTCTCGTAAGATGACAGTCGGCCAGTGCGTAGGAACAGCACGCGTAGCTCGGCTCGAATTCGCAGGCTATCAAGCAAAGCCTGTATCTTATTGCGCTCGTCTGCCACCTCTTCCGCATATTCGACAAAGACAGTCACTCGTAGACGATGACGCTGCCACTCGTCGACCATCGAAAGCGTCAAGCCCAACTGAAGCACCATAGTATAAGTCTCAAATCCATCGCTTCCCGATAGAAGAGGCCAGAGATCAATATAACGCCGTTCGCCATGTGAGATCTTCTCGCTCTTCGTCGGCGCATCGAGGCTGGGAAAATTGTATGCGATGCCAAGAGCACATTCGAGCGCGATGACATCTTCGAGAATACCGACGTAGTTTGTGGCGCTTATGGGCGTCTCGGCTCGATTTGCATCAGTCGGCAGCGATCCAAGCACGTCAATATGACTATCATCGTCTGCTGGTCGGACTGTTATATCGCTCGCCGCGCTGGAGTGCGAGCGCACGTCGACGTCTTGCCGCTGTCGAGCTTTGCGACGCCATGCAGCGCGCTCTGGAAAGCCGACAATGACAATGTTGGGTCGCATACCTCCGATGCCAGCTGATAGCATAAGATTCTGGGCGCCAATGCGCTCGTCGACTGCAACGGTCATATCGACAAACGCTTTGATGCCACTCACATTGACGAGCCGAAGCCAAGCCAGCTTTTGCCGCTTGAGCTCTTCGATGGCATTGCAAAAGTCGCCCAGAAGTACATGCCCGAGCACGAAAAGGCCGCCTTTCTTGAGGGCGTTGCAGAATGTGATCACCTGCCAAGCGTGTCGTGGATTGTCCGTAAGCAGCAAAATCTGAGGCCGCCAAAACTTGACAGACAGCTTGTCCCGTGCTGACAGTCTGAGCAGATACTTGCGCACTTGATGGTAGAGCAAGCCCTGCGTGAAGTCTCCCCAAGGCTTAGGCGGTGCCTGGAGATGCAAAAGCATGACGAGCGCTATCATGACGATGATGGAAAGCGCTGCGATGAGTGGATCAGTGAAGAACATGCCGCCGAACGAGAGCACAGCGCCGGCCAGTGCAGTCTGAGTGGAAAAGAATCGCCAAGCGGGTCTGAAATTGGTGCAACCGGTAGCTTTGAGCACAAAACAAGCCAGATTGATGATGCCAAACGCCAGGAGAGTGGCTGAGGTGACGAAGGAAGCTAAGTAATTGACATTATCGATCAGTAAAACGGCTTGAGCGAGCACGTATGTTGCAATGATAGCAAACAGGGGTTCGTCGTGCTGCTCCGTGCCTTGACTGAACGGCGCGAGAGCAGGCAGCAGATCGTCGCGTGAAATGGCTTGCAAGATTTTGGCGCATGCAGTGATGCCAAGAAGTGCAGAGAAGAATGTAGAGCAAAGGACGCCGAGTACGATCAATCCAGGTAAAACATTGACGTCTTGCAGTATGGCCAGATCGTGGTTGAGACTCTCCCGAGACACAGTGGCGGCGAGTAGCATCATGACTACGACATAGACACCGAAGGACGTCACGAGGCCCCAGACTGTGCCTTTCGGTATGCTGCGGCTTTCGTGAGCCTGATTGACGGCAGCTCAGAGCAGACTGACCTTTTGCTCGGTTTGCGCAGACTACCTGACATCGATGTGCCGGCGAGGATTCCGTTACAAGCAGGAAATAAGACAGCAAAGACGCTCATCCAAGTCTCTTTAGAATGTGATTGTCCAGCAGATGACCTTGTAAAACGCCATAGCAGATTTTCGCGAAAGGTATCCAGGCTAAAGCCGGTAAAGACAGTGTGTCTGATAGGGTCAACAAAAGGCCTCTTGAGCACTGCCGAGATAGGTATCGAGATGATAGATAGCAACATTGCGCAGGCAACGAGGCTCTGAGCGCGGTTGAAGGCGCTGGAGCCGATCAGGCACAGTGCAGTGCAGCAGAAGAGCAAGACAGAGCCGTAAAGAAATTGCCACCATGGGCCTTCCGGCAAGACAGACGTTGTCGCTTCTTTGCTGACCCCAAAAGTGTCCGTCAAGGCTTCGACGAACCCAAGCACGTTTAGGCCGATGTTGAAAACTTGCGCAAAGTAGAAGACTAGCCCCATGCTGCCGCCCGCTTCGACGCCTAGCGATCGAGAAGCCAAGTAGTATGGACCGCCGGAGCGTACGTTGCCTGCACTGGCAATGGCAGAAACGCTCATCGTCGTGAGCGCGTCTATGGCGAGAGCAATGAGAAGTAAGATCAAGACACCGACAAGACCAGCTTGACCCAGGATGAAACCAAAGCGCAGGAAGAGAATGAGACCGACGACGTTGAGGCAGACGGGCATGTATACGCCTGCAAATGTGCCCAAACGATGCTCAGGCTCGGCATCTGTCTGAGGCGGCCTTGCATCCTTTGTCCGCCATTGCTCCTCTTGATTCGTCACACTTCTATCGAAGCCAGAGCTACGAGGTGTTCTGGCAGATTTGGGGCTGCCATCGTCTGGTTCTGGACTGTTAGCACGAGTGCGGGCTCGACTGCTCGAGCGACTCGATTGTGCGACGGAGGCCGGTCTGGCAGCTGCCAGATCCGCATAGTGAGCTCTTCTACTTAGCTGCTGCTCTAATGAATCCAGGGCTGGGCTCGCTCGGGCCACAAATCTGCCCGACATGCCATCAGAGGAAGTGCAGTATGCGTGTCACGTCACGTCGTGTCGTGTCACGTCACACCTTTGCGAGCATAATCGGGACTGTGTGAGCTCACGTTCAGTCAGAGGGAAACCCTCAAATAACGTCATTGCTTGCTCTCGTCGGATACATCCACATGATTTGTGGGTTCAATAGTGCATTCATTGCTGTCACTGGCAATCGCATGTCATGCATGACGAAGCAACCAGCCGCCGTCAATGACTGTCGTCTGGCCGGTAACGTATTCGTTGCAGGCGAAGAGCAGCAGGAGCTGCGCCATATCTCGCTCGGTTCCCGGTCTGCCGTACGGAACGCCACGTTCTGTCATGAAGCCCTCTGACGACAGTGACGATTTATTGTCCTCGCCTGAGCTGTTGGTCGTCATCTCGGACTGCGGAAGCATGAGCCATGCGTTGCAGCATGTGCAATTTACTCACTGGAAAATATCCAGGTGCGATCGAGTTGACACGGACGCGGATGTGAGGACGAGCGAGTTCGGTGGCGAGGAGCTCGGTAAGCTGAATGGTGCCTGCCTTTGAGGTATTGTAGGCAAATTGGCCGGATTGGCTTTCTTTGGTGATGCCAGACATTGATGATATCGTGATGATAGAGCCCGGGAGCTTTGTGGGGCTCGAGCTTGCTGTCTTTGCCTTTCCGAGCAACGGCAGAAAGGCAGCAGCAGTGAAGAAGCAGGCGGTGATGTTTGTTTTGAAGCAATCATCCCAGCTCGTTGGGTCCTGGTCCAACATGACCTTGCTGTATGAGTCCGCCGTATGCGAGTCAGGATCACTGCCGATATCGACAGAAGGGGTGATGATGCCTGCATTGGCGACAACGAGGTTCAGAAAGTCGACTTTGGACGAGATGTCGGCGACGGCTTCGAGGATCGACTTTTTGGATTGCACATCACATTGTATAGCGTGTATGGATCCGCCGGCAGACTTGACTGCATCGTCCGAGCTATACAAGCTCGCGGTCTTTTCGAGTACCTCTTTGCGTCGGCCAGTGATGTACACATTGGCACCGTTGCTAGCGAGGGTAACTGCAATCATTCTCCCGATGCCGGTGGCACCGCCGGTGACGAGGGTGTTCCAACCTTTGAGGTTGAAGAGCTTTGATGCCCTGACATTGCCTCTTATCAGCGTCTATGACGTAGTGGAGGACTGAAAGAGCGCTGACACGAGTGAGCCTGCCATCTTGGCTGGGATGCGAGTCGGTCGCGTGCTTGCCTACTGCCGAGTGCTTGCTGGCCTACGTGCTTGGTGAGACTGTGTCGCGGTGCTGTCAAGATGTCAAGAGGATGATGCGCGTCATACGTGGCGATAGCATTGTCGATCACCGGATCACCGCTATCGGTCAGCACGAACCCTTTTCTCTGTCTTTGCCGGCTCTGTAAAGCGCCAGATGGCGACGATGGACTGCCACTGTGTAGTGGTAGGAGCAGGCCTCGTTGGCTGCTTGACTGCCGCGATGTTGCACAAGCTCCAGGATGAGCCAGCATCGCCCTTCAAAGGGCGTAAACTCGAGATCACCGTCTACGAAGGACGTAGCGATCCACGAAAGGCTGCAACGACCCAGTCTCGGGCGAGAAGCATCAACCTCGCTCTCTCCAACCGAGGCATACAAGCCATGCGAGACGTGTCGTCAGCAATGGCCGATCGGTTGCTATCACAGGCGCTGCCCATGAAAGGACGCATGATCCATACTTCCTCGGGAGAGCAGCAGTCCCAAGAGTACAGTCTCAAGGGCGAAGTGGGTCTCGTTCCGCGGGAACAGGCTCCCCGTGTTTATGCTGTAGCAGTGCATCAATTCGATCGATAGAGCGCTCCTCAATGCACAACTGCTCGACGAGATAGATCAGCTCGACGGCATCACCCTCAAATTTGACAGCAAGCTGACTAGCATCGACTTTGACAAGGGCACGCTCGTCGTGCGCTCAGTCGGTCGCAAAGAAGAGACTGTCTCCTTCGATACCATCATTGGCGCAGATGGGAGCTTCAGCAAAGTGCGCTCAGAGATGATGCGCGTCGTCAGGTATGTCCTTCTCCTCCGCCAGCTTTCCATACGTGCCTGATCCAGAGCGTCAGAATGGACTTTCGACAGTCGTACATACCACATGGCTACCTCGAGCTATCCATGCCGAGCTCGCCAAAGGGCGATTTCCTGCTAGACCATCAGCATCTCCACATATGGCCGCGGCACGACTTTATGCTCATCGCCCTCCCCAATGCAGTCCGTCAATGCTCTCTACTGACTGAGCTCGCTGATTCATCAAACAGGACAAATCGTTCACATGCACGCTCTTTGCCCCGTTCGCGACGCTGGACACTCTTATCGAGTCAACAAAGATCTCACGATGGTTTAAAGAGCAGTTTCCCGACGCGCTGCCGCTCATCGGTGAAGAGGAAGTCTTGCGCTGCTTCCGAGATCATCCGCGCAGTCCGCTCATCAGCACGAGCGCAAGTTACGGCAGTTTTCCCAGCAACATGCGCTGAAAGTAAGAGACAGTGTCATCCCTATCACTACGAAAGCAAAGGGATCGTGCTCGGCGATGCATCCCATTCGATGGTGCCCTTCTACGGTTCGTTGGGCAGGACCCGCATCTACGTCTGTCTGCTTACAGATTCTCGCAGGTCAAGGCATGAACTGCGGATTCGAAGATGTCAGAGTTCTGCGTCATCTCCTACTTGACGCCTCTACGTCAAGCCAGAGCACCAAGCTCGAGGACCTTCTGCAAAGCGCATTCGATAGCTACAGCAGACAGCGCCTGGCGAGTCTGGAAGCCATCCAGCGATTGGCGACCAACAACTACGTCGAGATGCGATCCAAAGTCATTTCGCCGACCTATCTCATCCGCAAACGACTCGATGGCATCCTCGAGCGCGTTCTGGGCGAGACGCGATGGACGAGTCTCTACAATATGGTGACATTCCGCTGGGAAATCAACTATGAAGAGGCCGAGCGCAGGGAAGCAAGACAGCACCGCATCATTGAGCGTGCACTCAGTGTCTCCGTCGTAGGTCTCGCGCTAGGCCTCACATGGCCCTTCCGAGCTTCTGTCCGGCGGCTCGTGCAGGATTACTTGTTGTAAGCCCTTGCAATCAAATAATATCGGGATTGGAATATTGGTTGATCCAAAGCTGTGAGCGCTCGAGCACGGTCGACCTCCTGAGAAGACCGATGGCACAGAGACTGCATGCCTACCTGCAGTCTCCGCCACATGGCCCGTCTGTCTCCACAATAGCTTCGACAGCCCTCTCATCGGCTCACTGATCTTCACGTTCACGGCGACGGCAAGATGCGACGCAACGAGCCGCTCGAGCCAGGGCCGTCTCGAGCAGCGCCAGTAGACTTTGAGATGGCAGAGCGAGTCGGAGATGCACACTTGCCCCAAGCAGTCGCTCTCTCGGGCTCTACACTGCCCTCTATGCCTCCTGCAACGGCAACAGCGCCCGTGGACAGCCGTAGCATCACCTGGCAAGACGATCGCTCGACTTACAGGAGAAATCTCGAGGCAAGAGCCGTGACAGATCCTTTGCGCTCGCCGGGCATGCTCTCACCACGCTTTAGAGGCTCACCCTTTGGCATCTCGACGCCTTCGCCCATCTGGCGGCCGCACGGACGAAACCGTACTCCAAACAAGTCACAGAGCTCAGGTAGCGCTGCAGCAATGCCCAACGATGACATACAGCTGCGAGACATGCCTCAGCAGTCGCTAGTAGGCGCTAAGTCAATCGATGCGATGGCAAGCCTGCCCGACACCTTTGAGGAAGATGAAGAAAGCGATATCGAAGTCGGACTCGGCATGGAAGATTTCCTCGGACCGCCCGCGCTTGACTTGCCCGATCCAGTCAATGCAAACCCCGAGCTACGTGCTAGGAGGAAAGAGCGCAAACGTGCCCAATCGATGGCGCAAAGGCAGGCCGACAAGTTAGTTGGTCGAAGCGTTGGCTCGCGCCTCAGACATGCCACGCGTCGACGTCGGGGCTCGTCCGGCTCATCAGAGTCATCGGGAGATGTATCTGATCTGAGTGACGCCGCCAAGACACCCATGGCTGCCCGTCGACGGCCATCGCATGCGAGCCTTGCAGAACGCTCGCGACGACGGTCGAGGCGGCCAAGTGTATCCTCTGCTTCTGTCGCTTCCTCAAACGTCACTTCTAGATCGTCTATCTCCTGGCCAGACTGGCGCTTTTGGCGGTCTGGCTCCTCCACAACTGGCTCCTCGAGTACGTCCAATGACGCAGACTCCACCCGCTCGGGCAAGAGCCGGGCCGCTTCCTGGAGTCCACCAGAACCCGAGTATACCCTGACCATACCAAGACTGGCACAGCAACGAGCTGGCCTTACAAATATACCCCTGCCGCATCTGGCGTTTGATCCTCTCTCAAGCTCGTCCTCGCCCGATTATGCTGCAAAGCTAGGTGCGACAGCCCCTCCTTGCTTCGACACGTCCACTTCTGTCACTCTGGACCATGCTCTCACACGACTTGCCGGCTTCTGGCAGCAACGAGATCAGGAGGATGCAATCGGCGGTGACCTAGGAGCGCAAGCCGGGGATGAGCCTGTACCGGAGCAGACAAAAGGTCAAAGAAGGCAACGACAAACCAACAGCGGCGCAATGGCGTGGTGGCTCGACATCCTCTGCCCATCCTCAGCTGACATCAGGCAGCTGCGGAAGATTCTGCCGCTGCACCCTTTGACGATCGAAGACATTTTACAGCAAGAGCCCCGCGAGAAGCTTGAAGTGTTTGAGCGCTTAGGCTACTATCTCGTCGTCTTTCGAGCGCTCGACGAAACCTACTTCCGCTACAGCGACCTCGCCGACAGCGACGACGAAGCGTCTGACGATGGCAAGCAATCCATTTCCGACGATGCCACGATGGACAATGCAGACGCGAGAATGCGCGAGAAGGCTAGCATACTCACCGGCAATGCTCAGCCAAAGGTGACGGGCAAGACGATCAAAGGTCGTGGCCGCATCGACATCGTTGAGGGTGTTGGTGGAAAAGAGGGTGTTGAGGGTGTCAGCGTGGGAGGAGTCAACTTCTACATGGTCGTGTTTGCAGATGGCATCCTCTCGGTACGCCTGCTTGCAGCCCACGAGTCTTCCGCTGACTTCCCCACCGCAGTTTCATTTCGAGCATTTGCACAAACACACACAGCGTGTACAAGAACGGATACAGCTGCATGGCGCAACACAGCACATCACCTCGCGTACGTTCTCCTCTAGATACCTTGCGACAATGCTGAAAGAGCCAGCAGATTGGATTGCTTACGGCTTGATGGATTCGATCGTAGATGCGTTCTTTCCGCTGATCGATTTCATCGAGCACGAGTCTGACGAGATTGACGGCTTTCTCGCGGATCCAATCACGAAAGCGCAACAAGCCTACGCACCAAAAGGCGCTTATCTCGAGTTTTGGAACGATGGCAAAATACGCAGCATCTCCTCGCGTCCCTCTGGCGAGCTCGTTGTCAGGCGCGCAGAGAACGCGTATCGATTGTTTTTTATGCCCATCGGCAGCATACCAGACGTTCTCGCTGCCCGAATCCCCATGCGTTATCTCGAATACACCACTCGGACGGTCAAGTACATCGTGCCTGCTGATGCTGACGGTACTCCTCAGATCTCGAAACGGCAGCTGTGGGCCTTTTGGCCCTTGTCGTGGATGCTTGGCAGGAAGCAGATTCGCAAGTCCAAAGCAGTCAAACAGCAGTATTCATCGATGTTCGATCAGACGGCGATGCTGCGAAGAATGACGGATGCCCGCAAGATCGTGACTGGCTTGGCTCGACTGCTGTCGACGAAGCGAGAAGTCGTACGCGGTTTGAGACGCAAGGTCAACGAGGCGCGTTTGCTACTTGCTTTGCAGCACTACACCGGCCCAGATCTCGCGATCTATCTTGGCGATCTCCAAGGTAAATATCTTTGATCACTGTTTATCCATTATCTGAGGCCATACAGATCATGTCGCCTCCATGAGCCAATCGCTGCGCTTCTACGATGCCATTCTTTCGCATGGCCATCCTGCCTATCTAGGCACGCTGCGCATCACACTCGAGGAAACTCACGTGAGGCAATCGTACATGATCGCCCGTCTGTCCGTCGTTGGTCTGACAGTCATCCCTTGCAATAGTACGCGAGTCCTATCAGAGCCCTGGGTACCGCTGACGCCGTCGCAGTCGTGACTGGCATCTTCTCTGAAAACATTTTGACACCACGCAACGGAGATCGCGATCATGTCATCGAGTACGACAGTGCTGGCAATCCACTCAAATACGGAGGCTATACTTGGTTCGGCTGGGCTATCTTGATCCTGATAGGTATGACTCTGGCGGTCTGGTATCTCATATATCGCCTCTTCCGAACCGCTCGAGATGCGCGCGTCAAGAGACTTTTGCTGGCAGAGCAGCGCCATGAAGCACACATGCAGAGCCTTGTTGGATGAGTCTAGAAACACGCTTGTTGTACAGATGTTGTTGTCACAAAACAGGCTAATGATACAGATTCGTTCATCATTCCCAGATCAAGGCGGTCGATCCGTCTCTGCTTTGCACAACCTGGGCGCTCATGCTTGTAGCTGTCGGGGCTTTGGTTGTTCGAGGCGCATTTTGCTTGGCGCGGGCTGCATCGACAGACTTGTATTGGTCTCTCATCTTCTCGCGTTCTAGCTCGCGCTTGTGTGCAGCCAGTCGTGCCAGTCGTTCGTCTTCTGCTGCCTGCTTGTCTGCTCTCACCGCTGCAGCCTTTTTGGCGTTCTGCCTTTGCTTCTTGCTTGCGATGCTGGTGCTAGTGCTGCTCATGTTCTGTGTAGATTTGCTAATCACTGCCGAAGCAGCTGGGGTGATGTGGTCGACTGAGAATTCAGAGGAGAGGGAAGATCCCATCGCTCCGGCACCACCTAGCTCTGCCGCAAGGAATGAGTCACATGTCTGACCTTGATGTGCATGTGACTGACTTGCACGGCCCTTTTTGCCAATGACGGCCCAATCTTCGTCTGGCTGCATATGAGCTGAGCTGCGATTGATCTCGCGCTGGAGCTGCATAGCAAGCGCCTCGTCTGTCTCGAGCGAGCTTGTCCCATCCGAGGGGGTCGATGCCTCGAGATCTGCCAAGACGTAAGAGGAGCCGGACAAGGGCGAGTCGAGCAGATTTGTCGGCAGCTGCGACGCAACAGAGGATGTCGCGCGCCCTGAAACCACGCCGTTGCCGTCCAACAGAGCTTGCGCGGTCACAGGCACGATCGTCGCGGATGAGGAGGCTTGACGTTTGTGCGCGTTCAGTGTGGCCTTGGGAGCTTTCGATGCACCCGGAATGTTTGTTTGCTCAGTCTTGCGTGTCTTGGGGGTCTTGACGGGCCCTGTCGCCGTGCGCGCGTTTGGCTGAACGCCAAGCGGTTGCGCGCCTGGTACGCTAGGAGTAGATCGGCCTAGCTTGCCAGATTTGGATTTTGACGTCGCCTGAGAAGAGACAGAGGGAGCGTCGGTCGACTCTGGCATCAGTGCGGGATCCAGCATGTCGTCAAGACCGGCCCTGACATAGGCAGGATGCGCCTGTATGGGCTTCTGCTTCTTGCTTGCCGTACTCGCCACCGACGCGGATCGGGCAGCCGGTGCTGATTGATGCTGCTTCACAGAGGGCATCTGCTTCGTCAAGCTGCCAGCTGACCATGCTAGCGTGCCAGCCGGTGCAGTCTGTAGTTGCTGTGCGCTGTCTGTGACTACATCAGCCGGCTTGCGCTTCTTTCTTGACTTTGTCGATGATGTCTTGGCTCGTGGGTCTTGTTTGCTCGTATAGTATGAGTAGCTCGCCCAGCCGACGATGACGACGAGCGAGGCTGAGATGGGCAGCCATGCCTGAGCAAGCGAGCTCATGCCGAGGAGCGAGATGCAAGGGCAATGAGGTTCCTGACGCCGCCAGGTGTGTTACCGAGCAATGGCTCGCACGAGCACCGCCGATCTGACCGTCCTGGCGACTTGGGCAGCTCCTATCAGTCGCTTCTGTCAGGTCCGGTCGACTCTGGCCACAGATCTGGTCGTCAAGCTGCCGCCGTGGGTGGACTGGCTCGTGCGTGCACTCGTCGCGACAACAGCGCGAGGGACAAAGGCGGCAAGCTCAGAGAGAGGGCAACCAGGGCGGACAGGCACTATCTCGCTCGGCTGTGACGACGGTGAACGGTGATGGCACAGCAAGGCCACTCTCGCTACTTCAACGGTAGCTCAGGCGCAGCGCAGTCAAGGTCATTCGCTGGCCAGGGCGTAAGCTCTCCTGCACAGCCATCAGCACGAGACAGCGACCCGTACGAGCAGAGCAGGGCCATGAGCAGCTACAACAGATCGGGATCGCCCCAGTCTGCTGGCAATGCCTCACGTCTGACCGGCGGCTACTCCCAGCAAGCCAATCCGAGTGCACAGCAGGCCAGAAATCCGTACGAGACCGGCCAGCCAGGCCAGAGACAGTCGTACTTGTCTCAGCAACCACTACAGCAGCCACAACAGTCCGCTCAGACAAGACGCCAGAGCTATATCACGCCGGGCACAGTCGGGCAGGAGCCAGACGAGGATGTGGAGCCTGACAGACGGCGACGGTCTCACTCTCAGCGGCCTGAAGAGGCAGACGAGCCTACCATCGGAGGAGCAGGGTCCGAAGCAGAAGATGAGTTCTGCAACTCCTTCTGGGACGACAAAGGCTTCGAGACCGTCCTCGCCCGTAACAAGTCGGGAACGCGTGCGCTCGATGATCTCGCGCGCTTCTACAAAGAAAGGTGTGCTATGTCTTGCTATGCACAGTGCCGCGCTGATATTGCTGATCTCGACAGAGCGAGCATCGAAGAAGACTACTCAAAGCGTCTCACAAAGCTAGCACGCTTCACTCTTGGCAGGGACGAGGTCGCTCAAACAAAGGCCGCTAACGACCGGGTTCGCTACGAGATGGACGCCTCGGCTCGAGTACATGGCGAGCTCGCTAGATGGATCAGGAGCTCGCTCGAGAGCAAAGTGCGCGAATTTGATGCTATTCGGGAGCAAAAGCGCAAAAATGTAAGCTCATGCGTACGCTCTGAGGGTCTCGCTGACGGGATCCTCCCTTGCTCAGCCCCAGAGCTCCATTGAACGTGCTTACAAAGCAAAACGATCGCACGAAGACTATGTTGCACACGCGAAGGAGAAGTACAAGAAGGATTGCATCGCCATCAGCAGCTTGACAGCCCAGTCAAGTCTCAGTCGTCCCAAGGATTACGACAAAGTTGCCACACGCCTCGAGAAGGCTCAGCAGACTGTTGCAGGCAACGAACGCGACTATAAGACCTATCTAGGCGCACTCAAAGATACCTCTGCCAAATGGAACGTTGAATGGAAGGCCTTCTGCGACCTCACCCAGGACCTTGAAGAGGAGCGCCTCGACTTCATACGCAACTCTATCTGGGACTATGCCAATGGCGTCAGCTTGATCTGTGTCAGTGACGACGAGTCGTGCGAGAACATGCGCCAATCGCTTGAGTCTTGTGATACTGCTCGGGACATCGCCGCCTTTGTGCAGCAGGCGAGAACGAGCAGTTCCGTCATCGGTATGTCTGCTTGCAGGTTCTTGTCAAGCTCAGTTGACACAGTCGCATAGATCCGCCCGAGTACGTAGACTATGGACGTGGACAGTACGATCCGCCCGCATCAAGAATGAGAATTGCGCGCTTCCCTCGATCGAGCGGCAAATCACCTTTAGCCGCTAGCGATGCGCTTGCGGTTTTGACAGAAGTCGTCAGACGTGGCGATGATGCCGCCAAGATTGCTCCTCCGCCCACCGATTCGGGCAGTCGACCGCCTTCTGGTCTAGACAACCCCATTCGTACGCCCGACCTGGCAGGAGACGGGCCACGCACAAGCAGCTATGCCGACAAGTCAAGGGCTGACACGCCCGGCGCCTCCCCTGTCCGCGAGGTTGCTACGAACCAATTTGCTGCTGACGATGTGGCTCGGCCTCCCTCGCGAGGCGCCAATGTTGCTGCAAGCTCGAGTCAGACGAACCCTTTTGCCAATCTAGTTAGACCACCTTCGCGAAATGCGCAGACAGAGGTGAAGCCTAATCGTTACAGTCAGCCAGTCGATTCGTCAGCCAAGTGGGGTAATGCCACGTTGAGTTCAGCTCAGCGAGATTCCGTCCGAGCAGCTACGAAAGATTCGACTTCGAGATCTCGACGCAATAGTGCAGCTTCCGCAGGTCCCCCTCTCGAATTTGCCGCTCGGGCACCATCGCCATCAAGCAAAGAGGAAGTGCTGGAAGATCCCCTCGTAAAGGCCTTGGCAGACTTGCGCAGTCCCAGTGCTGGCACTGGCTTCAAGACCTCTACTGCCAGCCGGAATTCAATATACGCGCCTTCCGGCAGCGTTGCGGGCGGAACAGTGCGCAGACCGCTGTCCCGCGGCCCGGGATCAATCAGCAATTCGCCTGCCCAGTCTACGCAAGCACAAATGCAAGCTCAGGCTCGGCAGTCTTACGGTGCCCCGGCTAGTATGTCTGCACGAGACGAAGCACCTTTGTCTGGGCCCGTTGCAGCTATGATGTACCGACCCGAATCGCCAGCAAAAGGCGTCAGCGCAGAGGTGCTCGGCTCTTACGGGCAATCGCTGCCCGGCGAGCATCGCGAGAGGCGCATGTCGAATGCTTCACGACCGGGCTCTCGCATGTCCGATCGGAATTACGGCAGCGATATGGGTCACGAGGGCAGACGGTCTCAGGTCGGCTACGCTCAGCCCGGCCAGATCTTCCACCACTCGCAGCCCTCACAGGGAAGCTCGGTCGGCTTTGCCGGAGTGGGCACGGTCTCTAATCAGTATGGCCAATCGCCGGTGCAGCATCCTCAAGCTTCGCCTGGGCGGAACCAAGCTCAAGCACGTCAAGGTCAATACGTCGGACCGCCGCCTGGCGCATACGGCGGCTCGCCGCAGCAGCCGGAGATGGTTACCCGACCTTCGCAAGGCTCGCAGAGTAGTCATAGCTATCAACGGCCGATCAAGCAGGAATCGCCCGGCCCAGCACCCGCAACTGCGTCGGCGCTCTACCCTCAGACACAAGCACAGCAGTACCAAGCGCAGTATCAGGCGCAGCAAGAGGCCCAACGTCTTCAGCAGCAGCAGCAGCAGCAGCAGCAGCAGCAGCAGCATCATCATCAGCAGCAGCAGCAGCAGTCTGTGCAGCGCAGACAATCGACTTACAGCGACACTGCTACCCCGCGCGCGTCACAGCAGTTGCCGGGTGCGTACCAGATTCAGCCACAAGCTGGCTATGGGCAAGATCGACCGATGTCGTACTCGCAGCCTACGCGAGGTCCTCAAGTGGCTGCAGCCCAGGCTGGCTATGCGCCTCAGACGTCCTATTCCGGCCCCACACGTGTCAACGGAGCGCCGCAGCAGCCGCAGCAGCAAGCGTACACTCAGCCAGCTCCAGCGCAAGCACCTCAACCGATGCAGGCTGCACCTCCCCAGAACATGCCTGCTCCCACAGGACAATACACCGAGACTGGTCATCCTATTCTCTTTCACGGTAAGCTTCTGCCATGCCTTTGCCGGGCACGCTGATACTGCATGCATAGTGCAAGCGCTCTATGACTATGCTGCAACCATCGAGGAAGAATTCAGCTTCACACAGGGCGACGTCATTGCAGTCTGGGCAACTTCCGACGACGGCTGGTGGAGCGGCGAGCTACTCGACGAAGACCGTCGGAGGATCGGCGGGCCGCTGTTCCCTTCGAATTTTGTCAGGTGCGTTGACATGGACATGTCGAGTTGCTTTGCTGAGTTAGCAGATCGACAGTCTCTTGTCGTAACACTGCTGTGCGATTGTACTATGCACCGATATCTGCCCCAGTCATCTTGCCCACGGTGCTCGCGGTGCCGCTGCAAACGCGCGGCCGCCGATATATGCCGGCTGTGAAGCGACACTGGGCATTACCGCCGACTGCTCGAGTACGAAGCGCGGCGCGTCTGCAGGCAGACACGCCGGCAGGGTGAGGATGCCATGGAAACCCTCTCTAGCAGTGGGTGTCTGCCAGTCGCGTAGAACCATCGGCAATATCCTCATCGCCTCCTGAGGCGTTTGTATAGTCTCATGGCCTTTTCGAAGCAATAGGCGCTCTTTACACACCTAATGAGAGCATGAGCACGAGTCTGCTCTCTGGACATGACGGACCTACATCCTGAGGTGTCGAAAAGACGATGGCAAGGACGGACACATTGAGGCGGGCGGCAATCGAGACGAAAGGCTTGCGCTGCTTGATATCAAAATTCTGCCTGTCTATGATGACCGAGAGTCCTTGAGAGAGATAGAGCTCGGCCATAGCCTCACACGACCGCCTGTCGCCGAGCACATCCTGACAGATTCGCTTATACTGAGGATATCGTGAGACTATGCCGTCCGCTAGCGTAGACTTGCCGCTTCCGATGACACCGCACAGCACAAGCATCTGCTGCTGCCGAGCCTGTTCATGGCCGTGCGCTGCGAGTATCGGTAGGTCCATGGGGCCCCCAAGTTGCGGTCTTTTGCGAATATCAAGGTCAACTTTTGTTGACATCTCCAGCAACATCGATACATCATCAGTCGTCGTCATCTGTCCGAGTTCGGCCGCCAGGAATGAACCTACCAGCACTCAGGGATGTCCAGGTGGGCATCATCGGTATGGGAGAGATGGGCAAGATGTACGCTCGCCAGCTTGCCAAGGCGGGTCACGTCGATAGGTCGGTCCCTGTCCATCAGGCTCACTCCAGCTATGCTCAGGCAAGCAATCCAGGATCAACGTCTGTGATCGACCAGAGCGCTATGAGACCCTCGCAAAGGAAATGCAAGGTCCGCAACGCTGTGCTATCCTGCTTTCTTGGCTGAAAGCAGCGCAGGTCAAGGCCTGAGCGTCATGAAAGACGGCCATCACGTTGCTCGTACATCCGACTTTATCATCTATTCTGTAGAGGCAGAGTTCATCAACTCTGTCGTTGCTCAGTATGGCCCTTGTGAGCGCCCCGGCTAGGCGCTTGTAGCGCACGCTCACATGACGCGCGCAGCGAGCAAGATTGGAGCTATCGTTGCTGGTCAGACATCCGTCAAGGCACCGGAGCGAGCGGCCTTCGAGGCCCATCTGCCTCAGGATGTCAGCATTGTCTCGGTGCATTCGCTGCACGGCCCAAGCGTGCCGTCAGAGGGCCAGGCGCTCGTGCGTATCGAGGCCGCGTTCTGACTGTCCAGCCTAATCAGCGCAGCAGATCATCATACAGCACAGAGGTACAGAGGCACATCGCCAGCTCGTCGAAGATATAATGGCGCCCCTCAAGTCTCGTCACGTTCATCTCTCTTACGAAGATCACGATCTTGTCACGGCCAACACGCAAGCTGTCACGCATGCCGCCTTCCTGAGGTGAATAGCTCTCCGCTCCTCTCTTCCTACAATGATGCTGAGATCGTAGCAGTATGGGCACCGCTTGGAACAATATGGGCAGATTTCCGTGGCAGACAGGCCGCTACATCGGCGGTATAGAGGTTGCCAAGATCAACATCGCCCTCCGCATTTACGGTCAAAAGTGGCACGTCTACGCCGGTCTGGCGATCCTCAATCCTGCCGCTCAGCATCAGATACGACAATATGCTAAGAGTGCCAGCGATTTGTTCAAGCTCATGATAGAGGAGCGCGTGCCGGAGCTTCGAGAACGCATCTTTCGAGCCAGAGACTACATTTTCCCTCCTGACAACGCTGCAGCCCGGCCGCTCTTCTTGTCAGACACCGTCTTCGACCAGTTTGCAATCGGATCAAAGACGAGCGGCTACACCCCGCCTCTGAATTCGCATCTTAGCCTGCTCGCCATGGTTGACTGCTGGCAGCAACTCAAGATTCAACCCTTCAAGCATCTCGAGCTCGCAGCCACGCCCGTCTTCCGTCTCTGGTTCGGCGTCGTCGAATATCTCTTCCGGGATGAGGCCCGTCTCGAGCAGGCGATCCAGGCAGGAGCTAAAGCAAAGACTCATGCTTCCGATGACTGTGAATTCGTCGTAGCCGCGCGCGGTTGGTCGCAATGCGTCGACTTTCAGTCATTCAGCTGGTATCAGCATCGCTTTGAAGAAACGAGCAACTTCTTTGCTGGCATGATAGAAGAGAGCAATCTGCAAGGTGCCAACATGCTCAAAGAAATACTCTCGCAGCGCCCCTAAATGATCAAAACTTTGCATCTGTACACACTCTTGCTTGTTGTGACCTCTTTGCAAGCCCGTCTGGACCTGTGAATCTCTAGCAGATGAGCGCGCTGAACACGAAGCGAGACAAAGGACAGTTCAGTGGTAAGATTTAGGTAGCGAGTTTTTTCGTCATGCCTCAAGAGCCGATTCGCACGCAAGCGTACTAGTCCAGCCCTCGCCACGATGCGGCCAAATGCACTCGAGATCATCAGGAAAGGACTGAGGGTGACCCATCGATGAAGCAGACTGACCTTGCAGCATTTGCAGGCGATTTTCTCGATTTGTTGGGTTGACCAGCGTTTGCGCGATTGGGAAAAAAAATTCGCGTCCCTTCAAATTCTGGACGCGTCGCAGATCAACAACGGCCGCTCCTTTGTTCGCTCGTCACAGACACAAAGCTTGGCACTGGACAGAACGCTGCCTCCTGAGCGTCTGACGGCACGATAGCAGCAATCTACACGCCCGTACAGAGCAGCCCATCTTGACACCAGCTCAGATCTTGCTTTGATCTCCTGAACGCGATACAGGCGACAAAGACACGCGGTCGCAGGAGGGACGACATACGATTGAGACATATCATAACACGCTCGCTATAGTACACATCCTACACCAAGATCACACTGATCTACATAGAGTCACCTTGACATCACGAAGGAGTCAGAAATCCAACAGGAACGATCTCGCGCGGTTGTCTCCCTTCAGGCACACGCTACATTGTCCAGCCCACTAAGCACTCCTCGGTGCATTCATTGACCTTGCGCTCTCGATGACCTTTGACGGTGAACCATCTGGTATGGCGAGACGACGACGATCCATCTCTGGCGCGCTAAATGCTCGCGCTCATAAGCCTGACGGAGATCAGGGCGTCTTCTTTGCAGGCGCGAAGCGTCACGTCATTCAGCCTAGAGCAGCCGCACATCACCCGAAGAAGCATGCTAGTCATGCATTGCTCATGAAGGACGCGAAGCTGTCATCAGACACAAAAAAGGCGAACAAAGGCGTCAACAGCAAAGCCGAATTGGCCGGCCTCGCAAAGACGCTGACCGATGCTTCGGGATCAAAGGCCGTCGACAAGTCTGCAAACTCGAAAGGCAAGACCAATGCAGTCACTCCCGACAGCAAAGCAGTTCGAGCAGACGCGGCCGCTGCTGCCAGCTCGTCAAGCGCGACCTCTGCGCGCGCTGCCGCCGCCGCCGCCGCCACTACTACTTCTCGCAAGTCTTCGTTAGCATTGAGCCGGATAGTACTGACGCGAGAACATCATAGGTCGTCGTCGCACCTCAGCGTCGAGCTCAGCTGCGGCTGCTGTTTCTTCAGCCTCTGACGCTGGAAATGACAATAGCGACAATGATGCAGCCACACTATCTGCGACGACCGCAGCGACTCGTACAAGCGCGGTTGCAGCTTCGCCCCTGACAAGTGCTGCACTCGCACGAGGCACAGCTGGCAGTGCCAGCACGGTCGGTCTCCCCACGACCGCAACCGCGGCCGGCGCGGCAGGCGGCACAGGCTCGAGCCATTCATCAGGCATCTCGACGGGTGGCATCGTCGCCATCGCTGTCGTGTGCTCTGTCCTTGGTCTCATCGCAGTCGGATTGATCGCCCGGCAGCTCTTGCATCGCAGACAGCGCAGACGCGGTGGCCTGCTCGCTGCAAGCGGCTCATCGCCGAAGAAAGGCGCAATGATCCGACTCGGCAGCGCAGGCTCTGGCTCAACCGGCTCAAACGAGAAGAAAGGTTACAGACGCAACGGAGATGACGATGACGAGCTGTTCGGTGCCATGGACGCCAACGCGCTCGGCAACCGCGAACTCAAAGATGACGCTTTCAACGAGAAGTTCAGTGGCGCGGCGTCCGAGCAGGGCGGCATGGCTGGGATGGGTGCTCCCCTCGGCATGGGTGGCAATGCAGGCAACAATATGGGCTCTAATAGCTCGCCTTATTCCGCAGTCAGACATATGTCGAACTCATCTTCGTCTGCCAACGGGCACCCCTCGTCACGCACTCTGCTCGCTAACGGCGCCTTGCCGCCACCCGTGTCGAACGCCGGACAAGGCGTGCGTCAGAGCTACAGCAATACGATGATGTCTGCGCCTGCCGTACCCGGCATGAACGCGCTCTACAGTCAGCCCGGACAACAGCAAGCACAGTCAGCAAGGAGCGCAGAAGAGGGCCCTTTCGCCGATCCAGAGTTTGCAGGCAAAGTCTTTGTCGTCCGCAGAACTTTCGAACCTTCGTTGCCCGACGAGCTGATCATCTTCGTAAGTCCCTAACACATCAGTCCTTGCATCCAAATTGACTGCTTCGACGTGACAGCCTGGTGATCGCATTGAGATCCTCATGGGATACGATGATGGCTGGTGCCTGGGCGAGAACCTTGACAGCGGCAACCCGCCTTTCCAGCGCGGCGTGTTCCCTCGGGACTGTGTCGAGGAAGATCCCAGTCAAGCTCATCTTGCACGACATGCGCCGGGCTCAGTCGCAGTGGGAGCGCCGGGACCGCGTCAGTCGCAGCTCAACGGAGACGGTCAAGCACCCCAGATCCAAGTCTCTGGACCCCAGGACGTCAACAGACTCAGCGTGGCCGGCAACAAACCAGCGCGACGGACGAGCTCTCTCATTGCGAGCCGCGACGCCGAGCTGTTCATGGCCCTCGGCGAGGTGCTCGAAAAGGATCGTCAGTAAACGGCGATGATTTGACAGTGTCGTTCATCACCCACAGCCGTGCACATCACGACGCTCACTGGTCTGCGCCAGTACCTGCGCAGTTCAACGAGCACCTCAAAGACCTTGCGACTCGTTCTTGCGGCTGGCGGTCCTGCGACGAGGGTCAGCTGGATCTCGACCTTGAACGCGTCGCGGAGGCATACAGCCAGCAGCGTAAGAACCATCTCATGCCAACGACATATACCGCACTCTTGTACAATCCTGATTATTCGCATCCACTGAGGCCGTTCGGCTATAGAGTTGCGTTATAGCGAGCGAGATGAGCGCTGAACGCTGAGCCTCATACGCGGCGCGCGTTAGATCGATAAGCCTGTTTCTCTCTCTCTGCCTTTCTCGGGCTCCGTGGTCTCTGGGCGATCGGGCGAACGGCCACCAAGCATGCGACTGCTTGACAGGGCTACTTAGCAATGATGAATGAGCAAGTGACCTGCTCGAGGTATGCACAGCCAACTCCAAATGTGTACGAGGCTAAGCAGAGCAATGACAGCTTCGAGACGCCTGAAGGAATCTACCGACTTGTCAGAGATTCTCTTGGCATACTTCCAGTACACACGAGTCAGCAGGATGCTCTCGCAAGCTCGGCAGCGACGAGCTCGCAAGGATCAAGCAAGGAGAGCTCGCTGGGGTTCGGCCTCTTCGGCAATCGAGACAGAGATAGAGACGCCAGTCAGAACGTATCACAGGCCAATCATGACTCGCTGCACCAGCACACCGGACAGCCGACGACAGGCACAGCTGCGACAAGCATGTCGCCCGGGCTCATGCTCACCTCCCTGCCGCCCACGCCTGCCTCGCAAGCGCAGTCAGCTGGATCTGCAAGTCAGCAAGGCGCAGGGCACCCAGCAGCCGCCAGCTATGCTGTTCACACCCGTCTGAGCATCCTCACAATACGCTTTTCCTCCGCCGGCAAGGATGAGGCCAAACCCTCCTCGCCGTTACCGATGACTTCGAGCAGTACGGTTCAGCAGGGAACGTTCAGACGACTAGGTACAGGCAGACGACAGGCCGACAGAGACCTACCACAGTCTCGCAACGGCCTCTCGCCGCTCTCTCAACCTCTGCCTCTGCCTGTGCCAGGGTCTCCCGGCGGGTCATCGGCCTCGTCAGCGCATTCGATTAGCGCTTCAGCTTCGCCAGAGCTTCCTGTCGTGTCAGCTGCCTCGAGGGATCCGGCAGCCTCACAGGCTGGTCTTTCCCCCTTGATGACGAGCGTGGCCAGCGATCACGTTGCGATCGATCATCTAGCAGCGCCGGGTCTGCCTAGACAGTCATCTCATTCCTCGATACCTTCACCCACCGCAAAACGGCGAACCTTTGGCTTTTCGTCTCTGCCGTCGATCCAGGGAGGCAATGCATTCGGAACCTCGGGCCAAAATTCGGCAACTGCAACAGGTCAGCCGAGCGCAAAGCCTCGCAATGCTTTCAGAGGCAGTGGATCATCCTTCATTCGCGCAGTCGAGGGTGTGCCGCTCGCCAGCTCAACGATCAAGAATCTCGCTACAAGCGAGATCGCTCGATCCACTGCTAGAGCGCATCTCGTTCCCCCTGCATCAATACTCGGCTTTTGGAACCGAGACAAGACAGTCCATTGCGGCGAGCTCAGCGCCTCGCAATCTCATGCATCTCGCCTGTCCTTAGCCAAGCTCACCTTTTCTGCCACTCCGACATGTATTTCCGCCAGTATCTACACAGCCAGCATAGACCGCATCGATGTACTTGTAGGATTCGCATCTGGCGATATCCTCTGGTTCGGTAGATCTCGGGCCTCAACTGTGCAAGCTCACTTGCTGAAATGGACGCGCAGATCTGATATGCGGCAGATATACTCGGCTCAACAAGCTCGGCTGTCTGATTCCTTCGCCCGTCACTGCCTTGACTTGGTCGCCTACCTCGGACCTCGTTTTCTATTCTGCGCATGCGGATGGCAACGTTCTTGTCTGGGACCGCGAGAAAGATGATCCTCCAGGCAGCTCTGCCGGAGGCGCTGCTGGGATCCTGACCGGTCTGGCTAGCGCTCCCTCAACCGCTGGGAATTACGGCCCTAATCTTAATGCTCCCGTGCCTACGACTGGCCTACAGGAAATGGCCCAGGCCATTTCGCCCATCAGCTGGGTAAGGACAACCAGCGCACCCAGTGCGCGACCCCGGCAACAGACACCGACAGATCCAGCCTCACCTCGTTCAGCTTCGCAAGGCTCAGGTATCGCCGCTCAACTCGCATTGGAGGTTCCCCTTGCAGATGATCTCATTGTCTCCCGACCGCCGACAAAGACGCGCATCAATCCAATCAGCCACTGGAAGGTCTCTCGTAAGGGTTTGACAGGTGAGTGTATTGCGTGTATGCTCGGTCTATACTGAAAGAGCGCAGATCTTGCATTCTCACCGGATACAAGTCATCTTGCGATCACAAGCGAAGACGGCGCGCTGCGCATTGTCGATGCTGACTCAGAGCGCTTGATTGAGACATATGTCTCTTACTTTGGGGCATATCTCTGCGCGACCTGGTCGCCTAACGGCCGCTATCTGCTCGTGAGTCTCGTGCCATTCGCTGTGGTGATCGCTCACGGAGAGTACTGTAGACAGGCAGTCAGGATGATCTCGTAACTATCTATGCGCCATTCGATCTGCGAGCGAGCGGTCTCGTCGCGCGGTGTCAAGGTCATGGCAGCTTTGTCACTGGCGCTGCGTTTGACCCTTGGCGATCTGACGATCGGACAAGCAGAGTCGCCTCGGTCGGCGAAGACAACAATCTCATCATGGTATGTTCCTTATCATCGAAAGGTTCATCAGACATTGACGCAGGGGGCAGTGGGACTTCTCGACTGCGGCGCTGCAAAGACCGAGGGCAGCTCAGTATCGAATGTCAGCTGCCGAGTCCTCACTGTCCTTGGTGCGTCGAAGGACGCTCGAATCAAACGCAAACCTGGCGAGTGATCTCGGGCCTGCACTTTGGCACTCTGCACCCCGCATGAATGAAGTCGCAATTCTGCAGCCCGTCTCTTCGGTGTCGATCAGTACTGACCTACTGTCGTCCGTCTTTTTCACGCCGGAATCAGTCATATGTGCCGCCAAGGGTGGTCAGATCCTAATCTACGATCGTCCGTGATCTCCTGTTGTATACGTCACATGGGACAGCAAGCCAGCAAAGTGAGCGCAGTATTCGCGTACGCGTGTTCCTTCATTTATCAATCGATTGTGCTTCGGTATTAATCGCATGAGCATCAGGCCTATCGATGCGTCATCTGTACGTCGCATCACCGCTGGCCAAGTCATACTCGACCTCCGGACGGCTGTCAAGGAGTTGATCGAGAACAGCCTAGACGCAGGAGCAACTTCTGTGGAGATTCGCTTCAAGGATCACGGTCTCGAATCAATCGAAGTCATCGACAATGGCTCCGGCATCGACTCAAAAGATTTTGCTTTCATCGCACGCAGAAGCCATACGTCCAAGTTGACTGACTTTGCCGCGCTTGATCATGTCACGACCTTTGGTTTTCGCGGTGAAGCATTGGCCAGTCTCTGCGCACTCTCGAAAGTCACTCTCGTTACCGCGACAGAGGCGACGGCGCCCAAAGGCAGTACACTGTCACTCAGTGGACGATGTAAAATCGAGACCGCTTCGGGCCTGCTGGTCAGGTCAGTTGCGCGTCAGAGAGGCACGACCATCACAGTGACAGATTTATTCGCCCAGCTGCCTGTCAGGCGTCGTCACTTCGAGAAGAACGCTAAGCGAGAGTTCGGACACGCGCAAGAGCTTCTACAGGCCTACGCCCTCATCAGTGTGGGCGTCAAAGTCGTTGTCAGCAATACGACAGCATCGGGCACGAAGTCGATACAGATCCAGACAGCCAACAGCCGGACACTACGCGATACATTCACAAGTCTCTTCGGATCAAAACCACTCGCGAACCTTGTAGACTTGGACCTTTCGTTCTCGTTCATGCCCCCCAGGTCCTCACAGAGGCTCAGAGCTACAAACGACATGGCAGATTCGATTCTAGTCCGAGTGCGCGGACTTATCTCTAGACCAGGTCATGGGCGCACGGCTGGAGATAGGCAGTATCTTTACTTGAACGGGCGGCCTTTTGACGCAGGCAAGCTGACGCGAGCCATCAATGATGTGTACAAGTCGTGCGGCTCAGCATCTTCGTATCCGGTCATCGTCGCTGACTTCAGTCTGCCTACTGATACGTACGATCTCAATTTGTCCCCCGATAAGCGTACAATATTCCTGCATAGCGAGCAAGCTTTCACGGATGCCCTCAAAGACAGCCTGAGGGCATTCTTTGACCGATACCAGGGCGTTTATGCGTTGAAGCAAGCAAAAGACACGCCGACGCCTTCACCGACTAAGTCGCAGCCGCTTGCAGCATATGCCGCACGTCAGATCACGCCAGCGCAGCTGTCAGGGAATATCTCGATCCCATCTTCGCAGTCAATACGTGACAGACTGTCGAGGATGGCGTCCGAAGAAATTGATGAAAGCCCTCCAGACTCTGTCCAGTCCTCGTCACCGAGCGCGAGGTCGCCGTCGGAAGCAGAATCGTATGCAGAAGAGGCTCACCCTTTCGCCATGCAGCATCTATCAAATCAGCCCCGCTCACGGTCAAGTCTTGGCCGCAAAGGCATAAGACTTGGTGATGCAGCGACGGGAACGCCTATGTTGATGCAGACCAAGCTTCCTTTTCGACGGACACGGTCAGGGAGTGTATCTGTTCGGGAGCCGCATGAGATGGCAAGCAAACGAGCGCGTATTGCGAGCTTCTCTCCTGAAGAGGAGCCGGAGCTTGCAATCCGATCAACTGCTAGCGACTATAACGACGAAGAGATCATTTCGATGGAGACTCCGCCGGCAGCCCCGTTAGGCCAAGAACCTGTCATCCATTCGGAGAGCGCAGGGTCAAAGCCCGCAGCTGACGTCGTTCTTGAGGATGTGATCTACATCGACGATGTCGATGCCCAGACAGAGCTAATGCGCGAGTTTGAGAGCTTGAAGGCAGCTCATGTAGTCAAAGTCTCTTGCCAGCTTGTCGATATGCGAAAAAAGCGCGTTCGTCGCGCGCGCGATGCATTGGCAGACCTGCAAGGCTCACATGACGACGCAATGGCTGGCGCTGCTATAGACGCGGATGCGATCCGTGCAGAAGCCTCCCTGACGAGGACGGTGGCGCAGGAAGACTTTTCAAGGATGCAGATCTTGGGACAGTTCAATCTAGGATTCATCATCGTGCGGCGATCAGAGAGGTCGCAAGACGATATCTTCATAATCGATCAGCATGCGTCAGACGAAAAGTACAATTTCGAGCGTCTGCAAGCGCACACAAAAATGCAGTCCCAGCGACTCCTGGCACCGCGTTTGCTTCACTGGACTGCTTCCGATGAACTACTGGCGATCGAACATGAAGAGATTTTGCGTGCTAACGGCTTCGAAATTGCTGTCGAGCGAGAGGCGCGAGTCGGGCAGCGCGTGAAGCTGATCGCTCAGCCTATGAGCCAGAAGACCACTTTTGGCGTACCGGAGCTGGAAGAGCTGCTCTTTCTGCTTCGCGAGAATGGCGGCCGAACGATGGTCAGACCAACGAAGACGCGCAAAATGTTTGCAATGCGCGCTTGCCGCAGCAGCGTCATGATCGGGACCGCTCTGTCGAAGCAGCAGATGACGAGCATCATAAGGCACATGGGTACCATGCAAGAGGTAGTGTAGCTTCTGCGCCGCTTGATTCAGGTGCTGATCCGGCGTGGCAGCCGTGGAATTGCCCGCACGGACGTCCGACGATGCGTTTCTTAGCACATGTGCCGGGGCCAAGAATTAAGATGCGACACCTGACACTCGAAGAGCTCGACAGTCTGTGAGACGTGCGTTTCAAAGCAGTCCATGTTGTCCCAGTAAGATGTTGTCGATAAGTCTCGTTTTGCCCAGCCAGCATGCGCCACTGAGGACTGCCCCTCGCGCTGGATCGTAGCGCGATAGAGGTTGCAGCGTTTGTGGGTCATTGAGAATGAGATAGTCGGGTCGCAGCGTTACATGACGTGCTCGTGCTGCCTCCGAAGTGCGAGCAAAGACAGAGAGACCCTCGGCTAGAGCCTCCTCAACTGACTGGCCGGTCTCTATGGCGTGAGCGGTCAGCCGCAAAACTTCGTTCAAGATGGGCGAGACCTCGAGCTCGTTGGCCGAGAGATAAGCGTTGCGGCTACTGAGGGCCAGGCCTGTGCTTTCATGGCGCGTCGTGGGAGAGATGATGAGATTGGCGGGCGTCGGCCAGGCGAGATGGAGGTCTCTCAGCATCTGTCGAAGCAGTATTGCCTGCTGGATGTCCTTCTGTCCAAAGTATGCTCTCGTAGGCTAGAGGTCCTGGATGAGCACGGCGGTAGGAAAGTCTTGTCGCGCGGGGCCGTACCTGGACAATGTTGAAGAGCTTGAGGACGACGGTGGCGACGCCGCGAAAGAAGGTGGGACGCGAGCGGCCTTCCATCTGGTTGGAATAACCTTGGACGTCGACAAAGGTGCCAACCTGGCGTTCCACATCCTGAACGATGCCTGAGGGATAGAGGACGTCTACATCGGGCAGGAAGAGGGCGTCGACCGGTAGCTTGCGGAGATGGTCCATGTCGTCTGTGAGCGTGGAGGGGTACGTCGAGAGATCCTCCGAGGGTGCAAACTGAGCAGGATTGACAAAGATGGAGACAATGACATTCTCGTTCTCCGCTGTGGCTCGTCTGACTGGCTCAGCCGGCGTCATGAGCTCCCCGTCAGGCTTGCAAGCAGCGACGAATGCTGACCCAAGTCAATGTGACCTGCGTGCAAGGCGCCCATGGTAGGCACGAAGCCACAAGTCCGTCTGCCTGAACGCCATGCCCGCACCTCTGCCACTGTTCTCAGCACGGACAGCGCCCGGCTCATGCTTGTCAGAGGTCAGGCTGACGAGCTTGACACGCAGAGAGGCCAGGAGAGGTCGCGCGACACTTTGCTGGCTGGCAGTGGCAGATGGGAGAGGAGACGGCTCTGCAGAGAAGATGAGCACGAGTCGCATGCCTGCCATAGGCTCTGGCGTCATCGGTACCGGAGCGACGACGCGGACGAGGCAGAGATCGGGACAGGGAACGGCGAGACGAGCAGGAGCAACAGGCTCTGATGCTGCCTTGTGGCCGCCGCTTCAGGAGGGCGGAGGCCCGGTCAGTTCGGTCTGCTGCGTCTGATGAGTGCCGACTCATGTCTCATGCAACACAGCTCGGCATGCAACCCGCTCAAGGCCAGAGGGAGCTACCGTCCTACTCGAGCGTGTCGTCCAGGCAGCAGCAGCCCAACGGTCATCCGGCTACTGCTCAGGGAGGCAAGATCCATCCGCTCAAGCATGTCTGGTCGATCAAGTACTCCCACAGAGCAGAGGGAGAGCACTACAACGAGCACTCCTACGAGTCTGGCATGCTCACCGTCAGCAAGTTTGGCTCTGTGGAGAGCATGTGGAGCACGCTCAGCCATCTCAGACGGCCGAGCGAGCTGCCAGCTGTGAGCCACCTGCATGTCTTCAAGTCGCACATCAGACCTGTCTGGGAAGATCCCGCCAACAAGGACGGCGGGAAGTGGCAGATCAAGCTCAAGAAGGGAGTTGCCGATCGTCTCTGGGAGGAGATCCTGTGTGCCATGGTCGGCGAAAGGCTCCTCATGCCTCTCCCGGGCACCAACGACGACAGTGCGTCACCCTCGGCGCGAGCCTTGCTGGACCTGCGCTGAATGCAGCGTGCGCGAACAGCTCAAGAGCGCGTCGATGCAGTCTACGCAGACGACGATATCTGCGGAGCGGTGCTGTCCATTCGCAAGGAGGAAGACATCCTCACCGTCTGGCACAAGGATCGCGCAGACACCGCGAAACGTGAAAGACTCAAGGACGGCATACGCAGGGCCTTAGCTCTCAGCAATAGCACCCTTCTCGTCTACAAGCCCAACCAGGACAAACTCGCAGAGACTGCAGTCACCGTCTCGCATCTTGCATCACGTAGCACGCCTCGGAGAAGCCATGGTCGGACTGACGAACCACCGCCGCCCTCGGACGTCTCGCGAGGAGATCGCATGGTCTTCCGGGACTGGAATAGATCCTCCCTGAGACACGACGGACACCAGCAGCAACGAGCGCCGGCCAGACGGGAATGGAGTGCTCGTCCGACTGCTCCCCTGTGAAGTGATGCTCGGAAGGATTGCATCATGGACCGATGATTGATCGATCAATGATAATGAAGCGCGTCTCTGAAATTTGGCACGTCGACGATTGTCTGGACGAGATGGCGATGTGGCAGATAGAGGGCTATCTGGCCACAGAGGATGTGTCTGAATCCTTGCTGCCAGAGACGCTCTGCGAACGCATCGTCAGCAAGGAGCTCACCCTACTCGGTCTCGTCAAACTCTTGGGGAGCGCCCTGACCGAAGAGGATGATGGCCAGCGTGCCAGAGGTCAGCTGTCTGCCCGACACAGCCCGATGCAGCTGACAACAGTCTCTCGTCATCCAGGCCTTGAATTGTTGTCGGGCGTCATGTCGAACCTGCCGCCAGAGCGGATAGGACGCAACGAGAGCAAGTCGCTCCATCTGGCTTCTGCTAGCCAACGGCCCACTCACGAGCGTCTGTGACAGCTCGAACGCTGACAGACTTCTTCACCTCTTCTTCTACTCTTCAGCAGAGATGTCTCGTTCAGGCAGTCTCTGCACTGCAGACACTCGCCCTTCTCCCATCTTTTGGACTCGCGGATGCAATACAAGTCTGTCAGAGGTCGGCCATCGCTCGCAAGCCCCCGCCGCTCAGCTGATGAACCGTCGGATCAGCCTGTTTGATAATGTTGACATGCCCGTGAATGTTCAATCGACTCGCCTCCTCGTCTTCAGGCTCATCGACACGATGATGGCCCATCACAGGAGAGGTCAGGCTGCAGAGACACGCCCGCTCACAAGCTGAACATATCCTTTGCAGCGCTGAAGAGAATGGGCAACACATTCTTGTCAGGCTACTGCAAGCTTGCCACCGGCGAGAAGGATCCCAGAAACTTGCGACTTGCATTCTCTATCGCTCGCGTCATCCTTGTCGAGTTCGATATTGCAGAGCGAGTAGAGGTCAGTCTACTGCTATTCCAGACTCTTCACCTCCTGACTCGGCAGCCCACAGGATCTCTTTGATATCACCTTTTGCTACTTTCCAATCACATTCACGCCTCCGCCAGGAGATCCCTATGGCATCTCGAGCGAGGATCTGCAGACAGCTCTCCGGGCCTGCCTTAGCGCAACTCCTCGCTTCGGTCCTCTCGCGCTTCCGCTTTTCCTCGACAAGCTTCAAGCCGCCGTGCCAGCTGCAAAGGTGCGTTCCCCTCGGCGCACCCGCCCTTGCGCTCATGTACCTCGCAGCAACAAACTCTTAGGGCTCTATCGGCCTGCTTTCCCGTCTATGGTCACATAATCGTGCAAGAACACGCTCGAACCTTCTGGGAAGCCTTCAGCGTCGAAGTCTTTCACGCCACCGAGACTGAGACAGAAGAATGTGCTCTCGATGCTCTCGTCTCGCTGCTCAACACTATGCACGCCGAGTCTATCGATGAAGGCAAGGACACCGTCGCACAACGCATGATCAACGTTTGCTGCGAGGAGCTCAACGAACCCGACAAGCAAAAGGCGCAGGCTGCTATCAAAATCCTCAGTGCAGCTCTCACGTCGAGTCCGGTCATCATCAGCGTCGTTACTTCCAGAGCCTTCAGACATCTCATAAGGCTCTGTTCGGATCTTGAGGAGCCTGCATTGCGACCAGCCGTATTGAAGTCACTTGCCAGCCTTCTCACGTCGATAGCGCAAACAGACGCTGCTCAGCATGTAGCATCACCCGTTCTGCTTCCCCTCAAGGATGACCTGATCAGTCTGTTCGGCTCTGGCATGCGTTTCGAGTCCTCACGTTTGTCTTCCATCGACGGACTCGTACAGTTGACCCTTATCCGCGACCTGTTGCCAAAGAATGAAGTCGCCTTCGTCGTGCAGCAATTAAACGAAGTCTTCATCGATACATCAGCTTCAGGAGCTTCGAACCTGGCTCTCGCTGGCATGGTCAGAGTGGCAAAGCTCCATGCAGGCGTGATTGAGCATGTCACCCTGCCCGTCATCTTGTCAGCGCTACCAACGACGGCTGATGTCTTACTAGACCCAGAAGCGGTGGTAGCCTACAGGCATGCGCTCGGTGCTCTCTCATCCTTGTGCCTCGACGGCGCGCTCTTCGAGATGATGACGATTCGTGTACTAGCTCGGCTGGAAGTCATGCTTCCCCAGGTTGCGACTCGTCCGTGCTTGACATATTGTCATCACCTCCTTCTTACCCTTTCAAACGTACTGGCGACCAAAGCAGCACGCGGAGATGTCGATATTGCTCATCATACCTCCCGTCTGATCTCATCTATCTCGAGGATTTTTGTGGTACCGAATTTGTCTAACGAAAAGGTCGCATGCGCATCTGCAAATCTACAACTCTTACAAGATGCTGGTCGTGTCATCGAGCTTATCGTTCGATCCCATACTGTAGAAGATCAAAAGAATCTGTCGTTGCTCATCACGGCAGCTTACCAGGGTGATTACACGCCACTCATCGATCAGACGGACAAACGTATGCAAGTCGAATTTGATCCGTTGTGTCATGCCGCACAGAGCCGATGCTTGATCCTGCTGGCATATGCTCAGCTATCTCTTCGCCCCGAAGCATTGTTGCTGGACCTCGAGCCCGGTGCATTCGTCCAGCAGGTCCTGAGCGCTGCATTACACATGAGAGACCCGACCATCCTTCGAGCGGCCTCACAGCTGCTTGCCTGCGTTGTCAATAAGCTGCGAGCAAGGCTCGATCCCTCCGTCCTGCTGCAATTCGAAGCAACCTGGCTCGAATTAAGGCAGCGCTCAGCACATTCAGCGCAAAGCCTGCGACTCTTTGGCTGGCTCACCCGGGCACTAGTGGTGCGCGGCGATCCAGAGGGCTACAAATGGACTGACCGACTATTGGCGACGTTCGTCGAGCCAGAAATCGGTCGCGAGGCTGCAAAGGCCCTTGCGATCATACCTGACGACACCGACGAGATGCTGTCGAGAGAGTCCTTTGCAGTCATCAAGATGCTGTACAGGCAGCGCTACTGTACATACGTTTTGCGTAAGCTAATGTCAGCATATCCAAGCGCACAAGGTTGGTCTTGCGCTACCTCCTCGAATCGAGATCTGCTGACGGTGACGATAGGTGAAGCGCAGAATGTCCTACTAATCGCGCTGTCGTCTCTGCTCAAGCACGTCCCCCAGCAGATCTGCGTCTCGGAATCGCCCAATCTGATGCCGATGTTACTTTCAGCTCTCGAAGTGACCGACGATGAGCTGCTCGCAAACGTGCTGGACACCTTTGCGATGCTCGCTCTTACTGCGCCGGAGTCGGTCATTCCACACGTTTCGATCCTCGTCAATGCGCTCATACGCAGCTGCACTCTGACAGCCAAGTCGGACAGTGCGACTGCTGCCGCTGCCCGCATCTCAGCACTGAAATGTTTGGCGGCGTTCCCGGATATGGTGCCCTACCTCAAACTGCATCCACAGAAAGCGACAGTGCTGCGCGCGCTCGGCAAAGCTGTGGATGATCCCCGGAAGCCGGTCCGCAAGGCCGCGGTCGACTGTCGATCAAAGTGGTACAAGTATACATCGTGAGATCTAACTAGACGGTACACCCAGTTGTTGTCTGACAAACGCACGAATAGAAGCCTCATAACCTGCTCGGTCAGTGCGATAGGCCTTGCTTGCGTCTACATTTGCTCCTGATTCAATGTTGGGCTCTGGGACGCGGTTGAGGCTCCAGCAGCAATAGAGCTGATTGACTGACCTGCAAGCATGGAAACGACGCTGAGCAAGACCTTGTCGACAGACTGGACTGGCGACCATCGCTCGCTCGATGATTCGTACTGGTTCGGATCGTCGCCGGGACTATGCAGAATGGAGATACAGACCTCCCCGTTCGCATAGACTGTGATGAGGGACACCCATGAGCGGCAACATCGATGCGCGAGGGCAAGAATGCGCGTACTGTTGGGATGGAACAAGGGCGGCGTGAAGCGCATCTGTCAAAAGTCGAAGTCAGTGAATCCATGTACAGACGGACATGCTGTCGCCATGATCACCTTGGGCGGATTGAGAGGATAATCTCGTGGGAACGTGAGTGTAGCCACGAAGATGCCGTTCTCAAAGGGAGTCTCGTCGGGTCCCTTGACGAGGCACTCCCAGGTGAAGAAGTCTGATTCTGCCACGGGACCTGGGATTTGCTCGTCAGGGCCGGCGATACTTCACTGGATTGAGCCTACCTGCGACATACATATCATCCGACTTGCCGCCGCCTGCCGTGAGCTGCTTGTACTGCCGTACGCTACATGAGCTGCGCACGCGATCATGCTTGCCGACCAGCAGACCTCTGTCATGAGTCGCTTGAGTGCCGTGGAAGCTTGCTGTCGTGTGCTCATGCTGGCTCTGCTCGACTGAGCGGTCTGGATCTGCTATCTGCTGGCTCAGTGACGCGGATAGTTGACATCGAAGACGACAGCTGGACAGCCACGTCATCGATTCATCTTACCATCTGACATGCCCGGCGTATCACCAGCGGCAGGCAACAAGGTCTCTCCCGTCGACCAAGGCGATGGCTCCTCAGGTCCGGCCCCAACGCCCGAGAACCCAGGAGGGATGCATCCCGAGGGCTCAAGTCAAGGCAAGCTCGATCACACGCTCGATGATTCGACACTTTCTGATCGTACATGAGCCGCTTTCAAGCAGGACAGGCACCCAGACATTTCCAACCGCCGGTAGATCCCTCCAAGCAGAACATCGACTCTTCCTCTCGCGTTCGTGTGCCGGACGGCGTCGAAGCCCAAGGCAGGCCCTGACTGCCACTTGAGTGAAGTGAATCCTCACGCCGTGCCGGTCAGGCTCAAGCGTACCTCAGCCGCCAACCAATGACGCTGCGCAAGCCTTTGAGAATCCAATGGCGATGCGCGAGCCCGTCGGAAAGCTGCTAGACGGCATCGAGGCCGTGAGCAGCTCTTGCGCTCGTCAAGTCAGCACACCGCTGATCGAACACACAGATGCTGCAAGCCATTGGAACGGAGATGCAAGCGTCTAACAGCGGCTCAAATCAGCACCATCTCATCACGAAGCTAGAGTCCTGGAAAAAGGAGGCTCAGACATGGTCTGGCGATCGCTCAAGCAAATTATAGTCAGATCACAAGGGCCTCTCTCACTTTTGATGCATCCACACGTTCGCTGTGAAACAGTCTGCCTATACCTGTGAAACGTCAGTGCGAGATCAGCGATCGCTCGGCGGATCAGATAGGCTGCAGTAGCTATCCGGCTACAGCAGGGTCAGTGGTTCGCGGCAAGAGATTCAAACGCATGAACCCGGGCCGTTTCGCCGTGATGCGCTGGCCGGGGGGCGAGAAGTAGACTCTTGATGCTGACTTGCAAGGAGGTGCGCGATCGGTGCCAAGGCGTCTCGATCGAAGCGTTCGAGCCGCCTGTTGTGGATGAATGCTGACATTGAGGTGTGTGATGCAACCGATGCGGCCGGGTCCGTGCGGTCAAGCAGCAACCTTTGGCCTTTTGCTGGAGCCTGCTGTCACAACTCAGATGAGGCTTGACGAGCAGATGAGGCAACTCACCAGCAGGGTCTACTCCATCGACAGGGTACCCGGGAGAACCTTCAAGGTTGCTATGCGCTCTTTTTGGAATGGCTTCGCGTGCCTGCATGTCGGAAGCTCTATCGCTATGGTCGGCTTGCCCACAGATATTAGTTCGAGCTGACATACGGTCAGGCAGCAACGTACTTGATAATGCTGTTGCGGTTTGCGTGAGACTATGTGTGCTTGTACTCGGAGAGATGAGGCCATCTGTCTTGGCTTCTGCTTCTGCAATCTCGCGCAGTGCAGCTTCGTCACCATCTAGCTCGTTCTGTGATGCATTCATCCTCTCGCCTGCGAGCTCGTGCCGTGCTGTAGCGTCCTCGACAGGATCAGCTTGATCGGTGATCTGTCGTTCGTCAACTTCGCTATGCTTTGCTGCCTCCATTTCATCTGGGTCTTCTCCCTGGCTGACTCCTGCACTACCGGCATGCTCGTCATCCGCTTCATCTTCGTCTCGCGGTGCCTCGTTTGACTCTTCGCGTCCATCATCACTACGAGCAGACTCCTTCTCGGCTTCAATCGCCTTTGACAGAGCGTCCTCGACAAAGTGGCCTTCTTGTCCCTCCACAGGGGAGCTTTCCTCTGCTTGCAGTAAAGGTCTCACAGGGTCCTCAGATCATGTCAAGGACAGGGCTTACCAGAGTCTCCCAGAGAATTTGCCATGTAGTCCGCGAGCGTGTTGAAGCGGAAAACCAATCGTGGACTTTCAGCAATCGTCAGTCGCAATCTTCCTGGGAGATCACAGCCACGGTGCAAGCGCTCGAGATCATACAGGCTCAGTTCGCGCGTGTAGACGTTGTCCTGCTTACCCCGATGAGTAAAGAGTGTAGCCATGCGAGTATTGGCTTACCTCGGGGATCTGGATATCCAGATCGTCGATACAGATTGTCATCTCGAGCTGCTCATCGTAGAAGAATTCAAAATGGATGTGCAACTCCGTAATGAGATTCTCGAGTTGGTTGTAGTATAGTTCGTGCGATTCTCCAAGCAAGACGGGTATTGTTGAGGCATCCGGGTCAGTCGAAGGATCGCCATTTTCGTAGCTCTCGAGGTCAGACTCGTGTTCACAAAAGAGCGCAAAGAGCTGCCCTCGGACTGTGATGAGTACTGGCGGCGCGCACAGTGGGGGCGTCGACGTCTGACGGACATCTCGAACGCGCTTAGCGTCAGGAGGATCGTAATAGGCCAACATGGCATTGCTGAAGACGGCTCGCGATAAGCCCTTCTTGTTGAGCGTGGGACGCTGTGCAGTCGAGCCAGCATGCGTGCCGGATCCGCAGTTGTCGCTCCTTCGATGGACTTCGATCCGGTTGATCTGAGTCGTCGCGTGCTCACTGTCCTCGGCACCTTCGTCGCCACCCTTCTTGCCACCTTTGATGTTCTGCTGGTTGGTAGTTACCTTGAAATTCTTTCCTTCCGCCTCGTCTTCGCTCTCAGCGTCTGCACCGTCACCGCCCTCATCTTGGCTCCCGTCGCCCTCAACGGCCGAGCCGTCATCGTCAGTCTCCTGAATCTTCACATTGTTAACCTGCTTGTCACTTTCGGCGCTCTTGTCGGTGCTTTGCTCCTGCGTCTGCTTCATATTGACGGAGCCATCTCTGCCGCCACTCATGGTTTGTTCCTGCTCCTGATCCTCAGATTTGGAGCGCTGACTTTGACCAATGATATGCGATCGTGCGCTACCCTTGGTCGACTGTGACTGCTCAGAGTTGCTGGCAAGCGCGCCACCTCGCGTGTCATCAGGCTCGACGCTGCCATCACCGACATCGCCATGCCGCTGTATGGCGCCATTTGCGTCAGGCGTACGATGCCGAACGGCGTCAGAGGACCGGCCCGCATGACTCTGAAGATCCAGTCCGTCACGTCCGATTACGGCCGACCTGCCGAGGACGGAAATCTGTCTACCATCATCACGCGACATTACGCGAGGCGGGGACCTGAAGCCGAGTGCGTCGTTCGCTTGACGGTCATGTGACCCATCATGGAGTGCAGCAACCGTCAAAGGACCTTGTTTATTGCCGTCAGGTGCGGCCAACGCTTGCATGTGAGGAGACTCGTGAGCTTTGAGGAAATCGTCGAGAGGCTCATCCGGTAAGACAAGCGTCTCCGATGGCGTCTTTATGTCGACAGGTATGGCATCTTCTTCATCCTCCTGATCTCTTTCTGCCTGCATGTCATCCTCTTGAGCGACCTCGTCCGACATTCTCTCGAAATCCTCCTGCTCGGGCGCGGCATCCATCGGCTCATCCTCGTGCGAGGAGCGCATTTCTTCGTCCATGACTTGTCTGTGGTCACGTCGCAGTGGCGGCAGCACGAAGCAGCTTCAAGACATCGATCGTGCTGTCAGAAGTAGGGCAGGTTCTGCTTCAGTTTCAGCAATCTCAGTGGATTTCCGCGTTTTCGTTGCATGCAACCGCATATTGCAAGCTACACGTAGCGTGACATTACACGTCGGCTCATGCGACGATCTTCAACTTTCATGCCTTCGACGTATCAATCCATTGACAGCCTGACGCCATCGTCGAATGGGTCCGACCAGCCAACAAGACCATCGTGAGGATCCTCTCGCTCTGGGCGAGACAGCGCGCTGGGCTCACGGGCTCTACTAGTAGCAACGGTGAGCTTGCCTGACTTGCCAATGCTGAGCGTCTTGTGTTCCACCTCAGCTTGTGATCGTGCATAGGCCTTGTCGACCGCTCTCCCGACACCTCCTGTTCTGTCTGCGTAGCCTGTCGCAGCTGCTCTCGCAGGCGTAGAAGTAGTGATGCTGTCGAGGCCGGGGAAGCGAATGACTGCTGCCTCTGCGAGCCGCTGCTGCTCTTCCTGCGCCCTTTTGAGGCGCTCGGACTCGAGCAAGCCGCTCACTTGTAGCGCCAGAGATGCTTTGCTCGCCTCGAGGACGTCCAAGGAAGCTAATTGGCCGTACTGGCACGACGGACAAGATGCGAGTGGCGAGTTTGCATGACAGACGATGAGAGCACAACCCGGGCAGATAGGAACGTAAGGCGACAACGCGTGTTGACGGCCTTGGCAGAAGCAGCGACGGCCTGTATGGCTGGCCGAAGTACCCGAGACAATGCTGAGCTCGCGCCTGAGCTTGGCCAACTCAAGCTTAGCGGGCTCGCTCAAGCCATCCTCGGCCCGGGCATCTGAAGGTCTCGCTCTGTCTCTTCGAGGTGCTTTGCGAGCTTGAGTTTGAGAGGATCCAGCGGCAGGGCGTGGAGCGGCACCAGACTGGCGGGGCACGAAGCGTAGGTTGCCCCTGCCGTGCCGATCCACATTCTCATCATCGTCCCAGATGAGTCCAGACGGAGTTCCTGACGAGGGCGCAGTGTTCAGACTGGCAGTCGAGAAGCGCACTGCTGCCAATCGGACAGCAAGCTCCCTCTGCTGCTGGCCCGGCCCCAGCAGGCCGTCGAGATAGTCAAGGAGCTCTCCACGCGTGCCGATCGTAGAGATGTACGGCACAAGTTGGCTGCGCACCGTCGCCTGATCCAATCCGGTGAGAACACTTAGCTCGCCGGCTAGCGCCTCCATCGCTCGAGCACTTCGACGCAGTCGTTGGGTACCTATCCTGTACGTAGCGCCACACGTTGCAAGATCGCGTGCGACTCGACGCTGAGCGCTGATCAGCCGAAGATGACGGCTTGCTGCCTCTGTAGCATGCGGGCCGCACAGAGGCTCAGGGCACCTGCCACCTTGAAGGCTCCTGTAGCTACGCGGAGCCGAGGCTACGCTACTTCGGCAGAGAAGATTCGCTCGCTTGAGGCTGCCCTCGATCCCACTAAAGAGCCCAGCCAGAGTGCCAGTAGGTGCAGCTTGTGCTGGTCTTTGGGGCCCCGTTGACAGCGCTATCAACGCCAGAAGTAGAGAGAACATTCAAGCGCTTCTGGAAGGATGTCCGTCTCGATCCACGCCCCGACGGTCTGTCTGCGTACTCGTGAACTACAAGCGAATGAAGCTTAGCTGCCCGCCACAGGTCATATCGCTGTCTTGCTGGACAAGCGAACGCTCAAGACGACCTCCAACGTTCCCCTGCTGCTTCCAAGACGCAATCTTGCAGCAGCGCTACTCATTGCGAATGAATGGGACAATCAAGACAAAGTACTCAAGCCTCACTCGCTGCCCATCGCACGTACACCAATACCTGCATACGTACCGAGCTAAGCATACCCCTTGCAGACCTCTCTGGCTTCCCGAGCGATTGATGGCATGTCCACCCCAGAACAGCGCAAAGAAATCGGACAGGGCTTGCTCAAGTATCTTGACACCGATACCATTTGCTTCCATGAAGAGGAGCCGCCTGCTCTAGTCGATCTGCAGAAACGACACTGGCTCCCTCTCATCACCTGGGTTAACGCCACCTTTGGGACAGACATTGCGCCTTTTACGACCCTCATGGGCACGAAGCAGTCCGCACGTACTGTCATCGTCTTGGCCAAACGCATAGAGTCCTACGATAGCTTCACGCTCGCCGCTTTCGAGCGCGCTGTTCTCGCTAGCAAGTCTTACTGCATCGCCCTGGGTCTCATTGAGGGCGTGCTCAGCGTGAACGAGGCGAGCGATTGCGCCCACGTCGAGGTTAACAGCCAAGTCGAACGGTGGGGCCAGGTCGAGGACAGTGCGTGCCGTTCTGTGCATCAATCTGCCGGAGGAGGCTTACCCGGACGTACAGCGCACGACGTCGACCATGAAGACATACGGACGCGCTTGGGCAGCGCCGCGATGTTTCTTGCAGCTGTTCCCGGCCCTTAGATGATGCATCTCGGGAGATTGCAGGGCTTCGTACAACATCGATGCTCAAATGTTTGCGCTACGCAGTCATCTCTTCATGCTTGGCTTTGAGAGCTTCGCAGGCACAGGCTGCGGCGTCATCACAGGCTCGTTCTTGAATTCGTCCTTGAGACTCAGGAGGTGCTTTCGCGCGATATCGTCAGCACGAGCCTGTTTCGAGGCCCTAAATATATCGTCGATGTTAGGCCGAGCGATGAGTTTGGTCGAGGTCTGAGCCAGCACATAGAGTCCGGGCTGTCCGTCGCCGCGCAAGGTGCCCCTGATGCGATGATCACCTACGTCGGGCTCAGCATCAACGGCAGCGATCTCTTGCAGGAAGCCAGCATCGGCACCCGAGGTCACCTGCGCTACAGGTGAGCACAAGGTTCGACCGAGATAGCGGCCATACATCGTAGCGTATCTCCCCAATGTTCATGCTTATGCGACCACTGGCATGGAAGTTGAACGTTCCAATCTTGCCTTCTGGCAGATTTTCGAGAATCTGGCGTCCGAGCATGCCTCCGCTCTTACCCCAGCCTTGCCAATGTCCGGCCTTGTAAGGAGGAGCGCGTATATTTTGCTTAGTCTCGATCGTTTGTTTTGTCTCTGCTTGGTCGTGATCTAATCTGTCAATGGTTGGCTCTGAATCTGGCGGTCGAAAGGCAGGAAAGAAGCGAGGGAATTGCATAACGAAGAAGTCGTGATCTGTGCCAGGCTCGCCAAAATCAAGACTGTCGAATTTAGCTTTGATGGCTTCCTGCTTGATCGAGACGGTCGTGTCAAGCTCGCCAATCTGATCGACGTTCGAGTCAAGCGGCTCTTCTCCAGTAAAGTTGCGCGAAGCCCTCGCAGCGTTAGTGGGCGTAGCAATGCCAGAGGACAATATTTGAGAATCGCGATCGTGATCTTCCTCGGGTTTGACTGCATATTGTCATGTCAGTGACTTTTTACGACGCACAAATTTCAGCAACCTTGACTGTGATGTGACTGAGGGAGATGGCGGGACATTTGCGCTTGTTGCGCTTGTAAGTACTGTCGCTGCTCTTCGCTCTGTTGCTCTTCCTGACGCATCTCCATCTCGATCTCATCCTCGTGACGTGCGTACGCCTCTCGAGCGACGCTGTCGTCCTCCGGCAAAGTAAGCGGAGCCATAGAACCCTCTTTGCCTATGTCCTTGAGCGCGATCATGCGGGTGTGTCGTACCAGCTTATATCGCTCCTCATCTTCCTGATCTAGATCGTTCTCGATAAAGTCTGCCATGTCATCCCCGTCAGGATCCCCGTCCACTCCTGCCGTGTCGGGATCAGAATCGTATTCAGTCTTGACGAATTCCGCTTCTGCTTTTTTGGCGTTTGCCTTGGACCCAGCGTCTCCAACCAGGTCAAGATCAGCAATCGAAGGCCGGAATGAGGATGCGCGCATGTCCTCTGCGACTCGCTTCTTTGTCTTGGCTTTTTGCAATGTGCGTCAGCTCCTGATCAACACGGCCGAAGGGGCGGGCCTACGCGCAAGAGCAGGACCTTGAGAGAGCGGACCTGTCGCGGTCCGACTGATGGGACCACGGTCTCGTCGTCGGAGAGGAACTCCATCGGGGTTCGCAAGCAGCTCACTGGGCGCCGGAGGATTTGAATCCGGCTCTTGTTTTATCGACGGTAGACTATGGACACCACGTCAGCAGGGGCGGGCTTTCTCCAGTGAGTGAAAGGCAGACTGTGCAGCGGCGCTCAGATTGGGCTTGAACTTCATCGTCTTGCCGGAGCCCTTGACATAGTCCTGCTTGAGTGTAGTCGGCTTGCTCAACGCTCTAGAGGAGGATGCCGCCCGACGAGCAAGGCTGGCCGTATGCGCCGAATCATCATAGTATGTCGACGACGTCGTTGCGCCTTGCGATGCATCGACGGCTCTACTTGACTGCTCTCTTGTCATTGGACGAGCTTTCTTTGCCCCCGCCGGCGTAGGTGTGCTTTGGGCTTGCGCATCGCCGTTGGCTCTCTCTTTGCCCTTTTGCGAGGCAGACGGAGCTTGGGGGAGCCCAGCTGTATCTTCAGCCATCGTCACATCTTCACTCATCATGTCCCCTCGATTGTCCTGGACGCCAGGCTCGCGTTGAAGACGAGCGAGGTACTTTCAGGTTTCGGTTGCTAGGCCGGGCACTCGCTCGCTCGGCAGCACTGAGATGGAGGCATGCCAGCTCGAGGATGAGCACGCTCGCTGGAGCAACGTGCGAGAGCTCGAGGAGCAAGCGAGCAGATCTCTACGCCTGCACAGATTGCAGCTGCTCCATCGGATAGATGCCATGGTTGGGCTGTTCAAGCAAGCCGATGCTGCCGGTTTGCAAGCTCTCCACTTTGTGCATTCCTGTACCGTCCAGTTCGGCATCTACACGAGCTTCTGGCAGGCCATAAAGCGCCGAGCCTCGCAACAGGGCAGCCCTACCCTCGCACACAGAACGAGGGAAAGAGCGAGCCAGAGCGTGTCATCCCAGATGAGTCGTCTTCACGAACGTCGGGCAGACGCAGTCAGAGATCTTCTGCGAGCTATCGATGGCCTCTCGGGCTTGCTGGATGCGATCAGAGAGCTCACGCACGAGCTCATCAACCTAGCCAGCGCTTCGCACGACGCTCAGCTACACGCCATGGTGCAGACCGTGCAGAGATACCTGGCAGAAGCTCGTCAGTCTATGCAAAGCCGCTACGATCACATCCATCACATCATCCGCGAGCTCAGACTATGTCCTGGCTGGCTCGACGCAGATGGCGTTGCGCCCGACAACGATGTCGCTGCCAGGCTGCGTGCAGTCGAATTTGAGGCTCTCAGACATTGGGATCCAGACGATCAGATGCAGGCCTCGCAGCATGATAGCGCACCGGAGCAGCTCGTCGCTGCACATGCAGGACAGGCAGACGAGCCTGGTGTCGACGACCTCACAGCCCTCCTGAGCGCGTGGTGACCAATGACGCGGACGCGGTGACATTGGCGCGCAGCTCGGGCGATCATCCTCGCTTACGCGAAATCTCCCCATCTGTGACGAAGGCGATCGCGCGACAATTTCGGATGATCGGAACCACGCAAGCGATCGGCCTTTCAGGCGCGGCATTCCTTACGGCCATATCGCACGCTCTACCCGCTAAAGTGTACGGACGCTGACACGCACATGCTGACTATGCAAAATCCGAGGAGTCAGCAAGTCAGCGAGGTGTCGTATAAAGAGTAGCTTGCGTGATTCTTGCATCCTATACACCGTCAGCCTTGTCGCACAACGTCTTCTGTCCCAAGGAAGAGACAGATACAGCGCCATGGCCACTCTGACCGATCTCTTTCGCGAAACGCTCGCTGGCCAGTTCACCAGATGGGCGTCCGGCGAGCGTCTCTTCAAGGTATCGCAGCACTTTACCTGCGATGACAGCAGCTCAGAGCTGCTCACGCATACAGTTTCCTGAAGAGCTGGAGGGCTTTGTGGTGCCAGAATGTTACAAGCCAGGCTACGTCGCACCCCCCAAGCCCGTGGAGAAGAGCGAGACTGCCAATTCGACCACGAGCTCAGACGCGACTCATACAGACCCCCAAGGCAAAGCTAACGGCGAGAAACCGGCTCACTCGCCTGACGAGAAGTCTCTGCATCCATCCCCCTCGAATGCAGCAGAGACAGCTTCGATGAGAAGGCTCGAGAGCAATGTACAGGGCGAGAACCCAAAATTCTCAGATTTGTCAAAGATGACGACACAACAAAGAAGAGCCGCCGAAGCCATGCAGAAATACACGCTCGTCGATTGGTATGATGATCATGATCAGGCAAATCCAATGAACTGGTCGACTGGTCGGAAAATCTGGGTTGGCTGGTGCATATCCATCCTGACCTTTGCTGTCTACACTGGTCAGTCGCCACATTGGTTTATTGTCGGCAGACCGCTGATGACTTTCGCAGGCTCTTCTATCATCACCTTGGGATTCCCTGACCTCATCGCCCGGACGGGCGTCAGCTCCCAGATGGCGACCCTGGCTCTCTCGGTAAGCAGATCCATGATGCCCTTGCTGCCAGCTGACAAAACGCGCAGATGTATGTCCTGGCATACGGCGTCGGCGCTCTTTTTTGGTCCCCACTGAGCGAGATCGCTGCCTTTGGCCGTAACCCTTGGTATGGTCCGCCCATGCTGGCCTATCTGTTGCTACAAGTTGGCGCGACTCAAGTCAACAACTTCAATGGTCTCATAGCAATTCGGTGAATCTTGCGTTACCGTTTGCTAGACTTAGCTGACTTTAATCAGCTTCTTCACTGGCTTCCTAGGAGCGCCAACATTAGCGACAGGCGGTGCTTCGCTCACTGATGTCTTCGCGCCCCAGTTCCTACCGCTCGCATTCTCTGTCTGGGCTCTCGCTGCCTTTGGTGGTCCATCGATTGGCCCCGCGGTAGCTGGCTTTGCGGCTGCTCGCAATGGCTGGCATTGGACTATGTACGAGTTACTCTGGCTCGTCGGCTTTGCACTCGTCTTTGTCGTCTTCGGTCTACCCGAAACATCACACGGCAATATCCTGCTACGCCGTGCAGAGCGACTACGAAAGCTGACTGGCAATGACAAGCTCAGATCGGCGGCAGAAATCGAAAAGGAAGCAATGACGGTCAGAGATACCCTGATCGAAGCCATTGTCAGACCCACAGAGATCTTTATCAAGGATCCGGCGGTTATGTTCGCAGACGTCTTTATCGCCCTGATCTATGCCGTATATTACCTCTTCTTTGAGGCGTTGCCACTGTGGCAGGACGAAACGCTTCACTGGCGTATCGGCATCCAGGGCATCAGCTATCTTTGCATCCTCGTCGGCGGGGTCGTCGGCGCGCTCTCTTATATCATCTATCAGGGAACACGGGTCAAGAAGTATTACGAGACCAAAGGAATTCCCCCGCTCGAGATGGCACTCGAAGCCGCCCTACCTGCGACGATACTATCCAGCGGTGGTCTTTGGATCTTTGCCTGGACCGCAAGGGGTGGCGTCAATTTTATGGGCGCCTTGACCGGTCTGGCTCTCTTTGCAGGAGCCAATTTTGTGCGTCTACCGCAAGCGAGTATGTGCGGAGCTAATACGGGCTCCAACAGGTCATCTTCCAGTGCATCATCCTCTACATCTCGATGACATACCCTCGCTATGCTGCCAGCTTGCTCGCTTTCAATGACTTTTTGCGAAGCTCGACAGCTGCCGGACTTCTGCATGCTGGTCGACCCTTCTTCGTCAATGTTGGGCTGTCGCCAGGCGTCTCGATCCTGGCTGGTATCACACGTACGTTGCTAGCAATGTTCGGTGATGAATGTGCTCACACGATCGTGCACAGTTGCTTTCTTGGTACCTTGCTACTTCATCTACAAGTTCGGTGACCGCTTGCGAGCTCGCTCAAAGTTTGTCGGATGATGTATATTGAACATGCCTTAGAAGAAACAGTGATCATGCATGTAATTTTCCTCAGTTGGCCTTTACTCTGCTCTTGCGCTTGCTGAGCTGAGCCTTGTCATGATTACTTCCGTACGGGCCTACGCTGCCGTCCTCTCGCTCTGGTCTCGCGCTTTCAACGTCTCCTGCTCTGCGCTCTGCCTTTTCCATCGCCTTTTGAGCCTTGTGAGCCGCCTTGCGCTCGTCTTTGACACGCCGAGACTCTTCGACAATCTCGCGCACTTCTGCCAGCAGACGGTCTGCTAGCGCTCGATCATTTGATTCTAGGGCGTACAGAAGCTGGATTTCCCGCTGCCACACTCCTGCCCCCCCTTGCCCCGGTTTGTCGGACTTCTTGTCCGCGCCGCTAAGAGTACCATCAAGCATGGGCGTCTCAAGTATCATCGGGACGTCATCAAAGCGAGGGTCCGTCATTAGATTGGCGAATGCATTCAGCCCGAGAAACCCAAGTCCGATATTCTCGTGAAGATCTCGATGAGAGCCTAGGTCCGTCTTCGAGTCGTTGAGATGCACAGCCTTGATGTACTGTAGTCCGACAACTCTGTTGAATTCTGCGAGTGTTGTTTGGTAGGCCTCCGGTGATCGCAGATCGTGACCATAAGCGAAGACATGACAGGTATCGAAGCAGACGCCAATGCGAGACTTGTCATGGACGTCATCGATGATAGCTGCAAGATCGGTGAAGGCGCCGCCCAGCTTGTTGTTAGTCTCGGCCATCGTCTCGATGAGAACAGTGACTGAAGGCACACGCTCATGGGCACGGTTGATCGCGCTAGCAACCGCCGCGAGACCGGCTTCGCGCGTACATTCTCCGACGGTCGAGCCTGGGTGAAAATTGACGAGCTTGATACCCAGCTGGTGAGCACGCTGCATTTCGTCTACAAAAGCTTCGAAGGCTTGTTCGTGTTTGTTCGGGTCAGGATTGGCCAAGTTGATGAGATAGGCCATGTGAGTGACGATGTGCTTGCTCTGATCGAAGCCCTTGCCATCGGCTAGCTGGATGTGCCGTTTGATGTCTTGCTCATCCTCAAGATGATCGTCGTGGCTCGTCATCAAGCCAGCACACCGCAGCGGAAATTCGAATTTTGCCTCGTCTGAGATGGGCGGGCCCTTCCACTGCCGCTGGGACTTCAGGAACAGAGCAAATGCTTTGGCGCCAATCAGCAAAGCGTTGTGGACAGAATTGTGAGCGCCGCCCGCAGCTGATACATGAGCACCGATGTATTTCTGTCAGGAGGAACGCTTCTCAGGTACATACAGTGGGCGTATGAATCGAAAGCCCACCTTGCTGCTCAATTGTCGCTCCGGATAATCTACGGGCTCGACGGTCTTTCTCTTGCGCGATCGCTTCGGCTTCAGCACCTCTTCCACCGGATCAATCTCCTCTATGGCAGTCATCGCTTTGACCGTCTTCTCCGACAACGGCTCGACTTCTCTCCCGGCCGTCCCGGCTGTTTGGCTCTTGTCGAGCGCAGTCTGTCCTTTTGACCGGCTTGGGCGCTTGCCTTTGGCTTTGCTTGCCGGCGTGCCTTGAAGGGACAGGCTTTCGGCATCGGCATCTACTTTGAAGCGCTTGCGGGCTTTGTGAGTCTCAACAGCCTCGATGCCGCTTCTGATGGCAGCTTCGGCACTCAGACGAGACTTGCGAGAGGGGCGCTGACCTGTCGTGGCTTCGTGGGAGCTCTGGGCTGGGCTTGTTCCTGGTTTGTAGTCCTCATCTACGCTCGAGAGCTCGCTCTCGCTCTCCTCGCTGGACTGCTCGGCCTGCACTTGCTTGCCCTTGCCCCTCCGGCTTGGTCTGGCCATGGTACGCTGATGATTGAAGAGTCTGGCCATCGATGCATCCATCTCGTCTTCTTGTGCCACACCCGTTGCCTCTAGCCATCGCTTGACCATCCTTGCTGACCCGACTGGCGGTGTTCGAGGGGATGATGTCAGGACGGAAGTGATCTGAAGGCAAGTCAATCAATCAATCGATCGCGCACTGACTGACCACTGCGCTTCCCCCGCCAGCAGCTGCCGGCACGCAGGTCGATGTCAGACAGCGATAGCGATGAGCTACAGTTCATCTCCTCCTCCTTCCAAGGCAAGCCCAAGCAGAGGAAACCACCCAGAGACCGAGCAGACGAAAGCATGGACACGACTCCCAAGCCCAAGAACCGAAAGGCGATGGGGGGCAGAGGCAAGAAGGCCAGCCATGTAGCGAGCACGCCTACTACACAGTCTGATCTCACTACCTTTGGCTTCTCGGGTAGCAGAGCTGCACGTGATGAGCAAGCTGGCTCGCCGAAGACCAATGCGAAAGCCAGACCCATCCCGACCGGCAAGCAGACGGTCAGTGACAGAGCTGCCTTGCCACCAGCACCGCGTCGCCGTACCCTCCCCGGCGCTTCCGAGCTCATCACGCTCGACGAATCGGATGATGAAACATCAGAAGCACATGCGTGTGCAGTAGTAGTTGTCGCAGATAACCCCACATCCTCCCGCCCACCAGAAGCAGGTCCATCTCGTCACACTGTCAAGAGGCCATCTTCGCAGATCGTGCAGGACGAGGAATATGCTCGCCAGCTTGCCGATGTGCGCACGCCCTCACCGCCGCCACAGTCGAAGCGAGTCAAACAAGATTCTGCTAGCACTTCGCCGAATGGCAAAGAGCGCGTCTCTCATCATCCCATCTTCTCAAGTGGGGCCAGCGGCCGCCAGTCTGAGCCTCAACGGCCTGGACAGTCGAGTCTCAACGCCGACACGAGCATGAAGCACGAGGACGTCAAGCGCGAAACGATAGGATCAGTCTCGGTTCTAGGCGCCGCCATTGCGCCAGGCTCGGAGATCAGCTACCCACTCCAAAGGGACATCTTTGATTTCCTGCCATCGCGCGATATTGACACCTCCAGCTGGCCTCGACAGAATGGCAAAGTCATCGTGCCCTACGCTTTCCTGACAGCTGCATTCGTCCTCATCGCTGCAACGCGCAGCCGGCTCGTCATCGTCACTCTCCTGACAAATGCCCTGCGAACCATCACACATTTTCAGCCAGACGCGCTCCTGCATGCCGTCTATCTGACGACGAACCACGTCGCGCCCAGCTACGAAGGCATCGAGCTAGGAATCGCGGGCACGGTCGTCACGAAGGCCATAAAGACCGTCTCGAATGCCGGTCCGGGGGAGCTCAAGAAGCTGTGGACCAAGCACGGCGATATGGGCGACGTCGCGTTTGAGTGCAAAGCTCGTATTCGTACCATCGTACCGACCGCGCCGTTGACGATCTCTGGTGTCTACAAGAGCCTTGTCAAGCTTGCTGGCTTGCGGGGTCCAGGCATGACACAGACCAAGAGCGACATCGTCCAGAAGATGCTCGTCTCGGCACGCGGTGAGGAAGTCCGCTTTCTTGTGCGAACCTTTGTGAGCCATCTGCGCATCAATGCAGTCAGGCTCACCGTCACCGCAAGCTTGGCGCGAGCTTTCTGCTTGACGGACTCGCGTCACTCCGAAGAAGAGGAGTTCGCTGCTCTCGCTGCCACGGCCCGACACAAGCGAGCTGCCTCATTCGAATCTTCCTCCAGCCTTTTCTGGATCCCTGTTGATCGTCGCCAAGGACTGCGAGCAACCGCAAAGACGGTCAAAGAGGGTAAAGATCTGCCGGCGCGTCTGGCGTTGATGCAGACCCTTGCCGCAGCCGAAAGGACAGTCAAGACAGTTTACGTTCGTCATCCGAATTACAATCATATCGTACCTGCTCTTCTAGAGACTGGCTTATCCGGACTGGCTGAAGCCGTACCCATTGCCATCGGCACGCCGCTAAATCCCATGCTCGGACAGATCACGCGCGACCTCGGCGATGTTGCCCAACGGCTGGCTCCGAATCGACCATTCGTTGCTGAATGGAAGTACGATGGTCAACGCGTTCAAATACATGCGCGTACACGCGAGCCTGGTGAAAAGGTCAACGCAGATCCCATTACTGTCAAAGGCAAAGGCGGGAAATGGGTAGGCGACGATAACTCGGTCTATGTGCGACTCTTCTCTCGCCACCTAGAAGTAAGCTGAGCGTTGGCATCTCTAACACAATGCTGATCATGAAGATAGGATATGACCGAGAAATATCCGGACATCCTCGCGCTGGTGCCAACCATGCTGAATGCGACAGCAGCGCGCAAGTCGGCCGGAGAGCCGGAGCATGTCGATTCATTCGTCATGGATGCAGAAGTCGTGGCGATCGATGTAGCCAGCGGTGCTTTGCAGACATTTCAGGCATTAGCAGGTCGAGCGAAGAAGGACGTCCAGCTTGGTGAGGTCAAAGTGAGGGTTGGCGTCTTCGCGTTTGACCTGATGCAGCTCAATGGTGTATCATTACTGGAGCAGCCGTTCCGCAGACGACGCGACCTTATCAAGAAATTGCTGCCGCCTCGTACGCCAGACGATCTCAAGCTAGCCCGTTTCGATCACGTCAAGTCACTCGAAGGCTCGACTGCTGATCTTGAGCCGATAGCCGAATTTATGGCTGAAGCGATTAGCAACCGCTGTGAAGGTCTGATGATCAAAGTCCTTGACAATGAACCTGTCGACAGTCTCGCCATACAGACTGAGCCTGCACATTCTGACGACGACGGCATATCGGATTCAGACGAGGAGAGCAAAGCGCATCTCTCACCCCAAAAGCCTGGTCGTAAAAAGGCTCTGCTTTCAACATACGAGCCCGACAAGCGGGCAGACAGCTGGCTAAAAGTCAAGCGAGACTACGGCGCCCTGGGAGATTCTCTCGATCTCGTTGTGCGTTAGCTCTCCATTTATATCACAGAGACACGCTGAAGTTTCACTCAGCCAATCGGAGCTTGGCACGGGCAAGGACGGAAAGTGGGATGGTGGAGCCCCATATTGCTCGCGCTTTACAATCCGGAGACAGAAGGATTCCAGGCGGTCTGCAAGTGTATCAGTGGCTTCACGGACGAGTTTTACAAGTCCTTGAACGAAAGATACAAGCGAGACTCGGACAATTGCTCCAGAACCCGCCTAGCCACCATCGAGCCCGGCGGTCTTCATCCAGACTATTGGTGGGAGCCAAGTGAGGTTTGGGAGATCCGCGGTGCAGATCTTACACTCAGTCCAACGTACAACGCAGCGCAAGGACTCATTTCAGCAGAACGAGGGCTGAGTCTCCGTTTCCCTCGATTTATCAAAGTCAGAGACGATAAGTCGATAGAGCACGCCATGACCCCACAAGATCTTGCTGCGGCTTACGAACGTCAGACGGCGGGTCAGCTCAACGGGCATTCGTCGCAGAATCCGGTCAAGTAAGATCTTGACCCAGTGAACGCCGTTCGAGCGCAATCGAAGCAAATAACAGTCGCTATGTGTGCTCGATGCTATCTGTGCATGTTGTGTGTAAACAAGTGTATGCATGCTAGACTGAAACTACGCGAAGAAGCCTTTTCGGTCTTCCGAACGCATCCGAGATAAATGACCGAGTGCTAGATACAGTGAAAACAGACGCTTGCAGTCCGAGTCGTCCTTGAACGGGTAAGGTGCACCAAGCTGATAAGCAGCAGCGAAGCCTGCAAACTGCATCAGCAGGTCATATGTGTAGACAGGAGTAGACTGACCTGAACAAACTGCAAGTTCGTTCATGTTCAACACAGACCATGCACCGGCGTAGTGCGTGTGGTTCTTGCCCTGGATGGACCACATCCATGCGACGGTACCGCCGTAATGTTGCCATCGATGACTTTGCTGTTTCCACCACCGCTTAAGGATAATCTTGTCTTCTGCAATGTCGTCCTTTGTCCAGAGGTGGCTGCTATTGTCTCTGTCGAGAAAAATGGTCTGAAAAACGTGTTGCTCAAGTGGCGGCGCCTTTCCCATGGGGATCTTGCGGCCCTTGTGTGTTGCCTCGTCGTCGCCATCGCGTTCGTTCTTGTAGCCCTTGCCCTCTGGCCCATAAACGCTCTCGCCTTTGAATTGAGCTTGATAGACAGTCAGGTCGAATGACATCTCGATTTTGGCTTGGTCCTCCGGATAGGTATGGATGAAATACAAAGGCTCCCAATTCTTCTCGGCAAATTTATACTGCTTCTGGGCTTCTTCGTCGTCATCGCGCTTACCAGATCGCATTTCTGGATCATGTCTGACTTTGTAATACTTCTCCATATAGTCGAGATCGGAATGGGTATACGTGACATCCCATAAGTATTTGACATTGCCGAGAATCTTCTTTTCCTTCCAGCTCGCGTCCTTACCGAGGATCTTTAGCGCCGAATCAGCATCGCAGGCTAGGACGAGCTCGTCAAATGTCTCTGTATGTTCTTTGCCCGGCCCGACTATCTCGAGGTTGTTGTCGACATCCTTGACATCGCGGCTGACGAGCGTGACGCCGTCGAGTCCGTTCTTGCCTGAAGTCCGCTTGACCGACAGAACCTGTCGCCCGCAGACCACACGTACGTTGCCGCGCGACTCGGCCTCCTTGGTCCAAGCCTCGTATACCTTGGACAATCGAGGAAAGCTTCGCATCTCTGGGATCGACGCAAGCAAAGAGTCAGGGGAGTACTCGAATAGCTTCATCGAGGGGTCCATGAAGACTCGTTCGAGAATAGCAGATGAAATGAACGGCGTTTGATTGCCAGTACCGAAAAAGAGGGCTACCAGCGGTAAGAGCATCACATTGCCGAATCCCTGTCATTGCATCGATCAGGCAAGGCCCACAGAGTGCACAAGCGTACGAACCTCTGAGAAACGGAACATCTTAAGCATCGCTTGCACGCTGATGAGGGCAAAGACAGGCTCGAACATCTTGATCACTTTGAGTGCCGTACCGAATTTCTTGATGTCGCCTGCATAGCGATCGACGACATCGCTTGGGAATACGTTGGTCCAGAAAGTGTCCTTATCCTTGCCAAACGCGATTTGCATGCCGACTTCGCTGGTGGTGAAGCCTAGTGTGTTGAACATCTTGAAAGTGTTGTAAAACTGAGGCGAAGCGCCCTGGACGCCATCGTTGATGTAATCCGATCCATATTTCTCAGTCGCCTGGGCATGCGCATCGGCAGATTTGCCAGACATGGATTTGGACAGATCATACGATGTGGCCATGCCGCCCGCGTTGGAAGACATCTCATATACCGTGACATCGAATTTCTGAGGAGATAGACTGAGTGCGTAGGCTGTCGACATGCCCGATGCGCCGGCCCCGACGATGATGATGCGCTTACGAGGTGGGCCATCGCTGGTAGCTGTAGTGCTGCTTGAGTCTGAGCCGCCCATGCTGATGAAGATCGAGCGTGTGTAAGTGCCGGCGAATTGACGACGATCGCGAGCTTTAAAGATCGATGTGACGCAACATCTCCGCTGCTCCACCGCAAGTGGTCGAGCGCGCTCTGCGAAACGACGCGTCTCGAACGTCGCCTCGAGCTCGCTCTGCCATCTGTGACCGACATGGCCTTGCCGGTGATCAACGTAGGTCTCGCATTCTCGCTCGCGTGAGGACGTTGATGATTTGCCGCAGCTACCGCTCGACTACGAGGCCGAAGCGCAAACGATACAGACCTTTTTGCAGAAATGTACTGCACCCACTCGCGCGGTGCTCAGGCGTCAAGGCATGATTCGAGTCGATGGTATGGACGACACCGCTCTCGAGGAGTCTGCACGCCGCGAGAACGCCATGGATGCCGACATGAGCTCGGAGGAGGAAGATGAGCTTGCAGAGGAAGATCGGCCAAAGAAATACCTGGACATGCTGGTACGCCATGCCATATCGCAAGGAGACGGATCTTGACGAGCTTTGTAGCAACGCGTTGCAAATCGAGAGCAAGAGAAGCTCGTCATCGAGCTCGACGACGTTTACAGGGTGAGTTTCTTGGTTCGCCAGAAGCACAGCTGCTCACCGTCGGCAATGAGCAGGTGGAAGGCGCGGCTCTTGTCGCGCATATTATGCAGAACGCGCTGCGATACCGCAATCTGTTCGGCACCGTCGTAGATCTGCTAATGCCAGAGGCGACGGTGGAGCTGACCGGCAAAGAAGACGTGCTAGATACCATCATGGAGCAGAGGCGCGAGCGATCGCGACTGAACGAAGAGGCAGGTGAAGAGATCTTCCCGATGGATTTGGTCAGACGATAGTGCGCTCAATGCTTTTGCGTCAAATTAAGGAGCTGACCAGTGGCTCAGCAATCTGTACTTCAAGCCAAGATCAGGCAGCAAGGCTCTAGCCGTCAGGGAAGTCCGAGGTGCCCATCTCGGCAAGTACATCACCGTTCGAGGTATCGTCACGCGTGTCAGCGAGGTCAAACCCCTATTGCTTGTTACGGCCTATACCTGCGATTCTTGCGGCGTCGAGATATTCCAGGAGGTCGCCCAAAAGACAGTCAAGCCGCTGACCGCGTGCATCAGCCAAGCATGCGTGGACGATGGTGGCCGTGGCACACTCCACATGCTCACTCGTGCTTGCAAATTCTCACCCTTTCAGGAGCTGAAAATCCAGGAAATGGTTCGCTGCGATTGGAACCCTGTAGGAGCTGGCTGACCTCCTCTGAATGCAGGCCGACCAAGTCCCTGTCGGGCACATTCCTCGCACGATGACGATTCACCTCAATGGAAATATGACCCGACAAGTCTCACCGGGCGACGTCGTCAATATTGGAGGCATCTTCTTGCCCATGCGCTATGAAGGCTTCAAGGCCATGCGACTCGGGCTGCAGACCGACACGTATCTCGAAGCGCATCACATTCATCAACTCAAGAAGCAGTACGAAGCTATGGAGCTGACGCCAAAGATTGTGCAACAAGTTCAAGAACTGAAAGAGGATCCTCGACTGTACGCCAAGCTGGCAACGTCAATCGCGCCAGAGATCTATGGACACGAGGACGTGAAGAAGGCTCTCCTGTTGCTTCTCGTCGGCGGTGTCACGAAAAACATGGGAGATGGCATGAAGATCCGGGGCGATATCAACATCTGCCTCATGGGCGACCCTGGAGTCGCCAAGTCCCAGCTGCTCAAGTATATTACTAAGATTGCGCCTCGAGGTGTCTATACCACTGGCCGGGGCTCGTCCGGCGTTGGTCTCACTGCTGCGGTCATGCGCGATCCCGTCACAGACGAAATGGTGCTAGGTATGCCTTTCCCGTGCTCAGCCATGTGTCACGCTGAACTTGGCCACAGAGGGCGGCGCGCTCGTGCTCGCCGACAATGGCATCGCATGCATTGATGAATTCGACAAGATGGATGAATCTGATCGCACAGCGATCCACGAAGTGATGGAGCAGCAGACCATATCGATCTCAAAGGCTGGCATCACGACGACGTTGAATGCTCGCACATCGATTCTGGCTGCCGCAAATCCTCTATACGGACGCTATAATCCCAAGATCTCACCGGTCGACAACATCAACCTGCCCGCTGCCTTGCTGTCTCGGTTTGACATCCTCTTCTTGATCTTGGACACTCCGACGCGTGACGATGACGAGCGTCTGGCTCAGCATATCACTTATGTGCACATGCACAGTCAAGCACCGGAGCTCTTGACCGATATAGTTAGCCCCACTTTGATGCGTCATTACATCGCGCTGGCTCGGCAAAAGCGGCCGACCGTTCCGCCCGCCGTGTCAGAATACGTCGTCGGTGCATACGTACAGCTTCGGAAGCAGTCCAAAGAAGACGAAGATCGCAATCAGGCATTCACGTACACTTCTGCGCGAACACTTCTCGGCATCTTGCGGTTATCACAGGCATTGGCTCGCTTACGATTCGCAGATGAGGTCGAGATACCGGACGTTGATGAAGCACTGCGCCTGTCTGAAGTCAGCAAGTCTTCGCTCTACAATGACGATGCCGATATGCGGGCAGCAGAGAACGATCGAACAGACACGTCTAAAATCTACCGCATCATCCGCGATATGAATGAGGCTGCTTCTGAAGAAGACGATGCGCTCAGCTTGCGCGAGATCAGGGAGCGCGTGCTTGCCAAAGGATTCACTGAAAGCTCACTCACGGTACGCCGATCCTTTGCACAACCTCTTCGCCAGACTAATGATCGTGCACAGGAATGCCTGGACACTTATGAGGAGCTCGATGTGTGGCAGAGAGAAGCTCAAGGGACGATGCTGCGTTTCTTACAGGCATGATATAACAATCGTGCGGGGTGAGTGGCCTGTTGTAAGCGAATGTGAGGTCTATTGCTTGAGCTTGGGCAGCCAGTCATTGACGAGTTTCTTGTGTGCACCAGCTCTGATTGTGGAATCCTCAGAAGCAACGATCGTGCCTTTGTCATTGATGATCAGCGTCACTCGGCCGTCCATGAGACCCATCATTGATCCTGGGATCTTGTAGAGCGCTCGAATCTTGCGGTCTGAGTCAGAGACCAGAGTAAAGTCTAGCTTGTTCTTGCTCGCAAAAGCTGGTCTCCCGGGATCAGCCCGTGCAAGTCTGCTAACAGAGCATAGCTACCTTTCAGAGCTTCGGGCGAGTCTGCCGAAACGCCGACGACCCGGGCATTGACGCCTTTGAAGTCGTCCGTTGCGCTAGTGTCGCGCATGTTACACGCCTCAGCCGTACATACGGGCGTGCCCGCTGTCATGCTATCATGCATGAGCGAGATTCTGTGAGCACGACACATGACATACCCTTGGGGAAGAAATACAGAACAGTCGGCTGGCCATCCGGCTTGAAAGTGAACGAACCCGAAGCCGCCGAGGGAGCAGTGAATTCTGGCGCTGCTTCGTTGAGCAGTGCGTAGACCATCTTTGCAAACAAGTGTACGATAGAAAGCAAAAGGCCTCGCGGTAACAAGCGCGGCTGACAGAACAAAGCGCTGACTTGTCTCAGAAGGCCGAACTCGGTCGACAACGGGTTATCACGCACGATGACGCCGCCGCCCTAGCATCCTTCCCCGGCCAAGAATTCGTCCAATGCGGCGTTGAGCTATATAAGGCGCCGAGAGCAGACTGTACTCCTCATAAACGCTCAACACCTACACAGACAAGCCGTCTCAGATGACATTCAGCCTCGATGATATTCCAGATCAGACTGGCAAGGTGCGCACAATTCCATGAACCCTGCGCCGCTCACAACGTAAGCTTAGGTCGGCGTAGTCAGCGGTGGCAATGCTGGCATTGGCTACGAAACCGTCAAAGCTCTGGCAAGCAAGGGCATGAAGGTCTACATGGCATCTCGCAATCAGAGCAAGGCAGAAGCGGCCATCAAGAAGCTTGTGGACGAAGTTCCAGCTGCCAAAGGACGCGTCGAATTCCTTCAGCTGGACCTGACGAGCCTCAAGGGCAGTCATGCATCCGCCGAAGCGCTCGCCGCCAAGACTGATAAGCTCTCACTCATCGTCAACAACGCAGGCGTCATGGCGAACCCGTATTCACTAACCACCGATGGACTCGAGATTCAGACAGCGACCAATCACTTCGGACCTTTCGTATTCACGCAGACACTGTTACCACTTCTCGAGAAGACCGCCCAGTCGACGAATGAGCCCGTAAGGATCGTCAATCTTTCTTCGGTCGCGCACACGATGACCGCGTTCGGCAAGCCCGACTTTCGATCTGTCAAGTCAGCAAACGCGACTTTTGGACCGTCCATCCTCGGCGCGTGGCGTAGATACGGCCAGAGCAAAGCCTGCCAGATCTTATACTCGATCGAGTTCAATAAGCGATACGCCGAAAAGAAGATCTACATGCTTAGCGCACATCCAGGCCTCATTGACTCCGGTCTCTGGGTAAATTCGCCAATCATGAGCGCCTTCCTCAAGCGAACGGTCTTCCTCTCACCTGCCGAAGGTGCCCTCGATTCGCTATATGCTGCCACATCGCCAGAGGTCATCTCCAAAGATCTCCGGGGCGCTTACATTACGCCCATAGCGAAAGTGTCTACTCCCTCGAGAAATGCTCGCGATCCGGAACTGGCCAAGCAATTATGGTCACTCAGTAGCCAACTACTCCAGGAGAAGAGCGGTCACACCTCATAGCTTGCCTGCAAAATGCTCGTTGTTGCTATGCATGTAAGCTTAGGCCTGGCCCTGGTGCTCTACAACGGACGGTCGTGAGCTCGTCTTGCTGCCATCCCAGCCGGCTTCGGCGAATGATTCCTGAAGTGCTTTGATTACTCTATCGATATCACCACGTTTGGCATCGATAGCCGTGATTGAGAGATGGCCCACACGGATGTACGTTTCTGTCTTAGGATCAGTCAAATGTGTCTGATGTCTGGCATGAGCGCACCTTTGATGTCCTTGTGCAGACCTGCTGCAACAACGATGCCTTTCTTGAGCATCTTCGGAACAATATCGCTCGGTTTGAGGGGCGAAGGAACGTAGATGGCCGTCATGCCATTGGCAGATGCATCGGGATGAAGCGGGACTTGCTTGAGGCCGAGATCGTTGACAGCTTGCTTCAGTCGTAGACTGCTCTCCTTGTGAAGCGCGAAGCGCTGCTCGAGCGAAGGTGACTGCTCGGTGATCGCTCTCAGTGAGGCTTGGAATGCCCAGATAAGGTTGGTGGGCGGTGTAGCAAAGTAAGCGGCTTGACCTTTGCCGTAAGCTTGCATGATGGGTAGCCAGCGTCGCCAGCTTGCGAAGTAAGACGTGACAGGTGTCTTGCGGGCAGCCAAGACTGCCATTGCTCGCTCACTCGCAACGGTCACCGATAGACCGGGGGGTACGCCCAAGCCTTTCTGACTGGCCGAAATGACGACGTCTACGCCCCAATCGTCCATGCGAATCTCTTCACTTGCGACAGCGCAGACACCGTCCAGGATTGTCAGTGTGTCGGGCGAGACTTTCTTGACTGCCGCGCAGATCGCCTTGGCGTCCGACAGAACGCCCGTTGCTGGTCGCGAGACTGTCAGCTCTGTACAGATGCCACGAGAAACAGTCTCACAGGTGTCAACATGCGTGAAGGTGACAAGCTTGTACTTTTTCTGTGACAATGCTGATTCGATTTCTGCCGGTCCAGGTCGATCACCTATCGGGGCCTTGACCTGATCCACTTTGGCGCCATAAACCTCGAGACAATCTGCAAACGCATCGCCAAAATAGCTAAATGGAGGAAATCAGCGATATGACGATACGCTTCGATCGACTTGCCCAGAGTTGAGGACCAGGACGTCCTCGCCAGGCTCGACCAGGTTTGATGCCACCATGTCCCTAGCGCTGCTTCAGCCAGAGGTGCAGAGGATTGCAAGCAGCGACTCACCAGCCGAGCGTACCGCTGCCTGCCACGAGAAAGGGCTGAGCCGAGGTCGTGTAGAGAACTTGCTTGATCATCTTGAGACAGTCTTGAAACACGGCGGCGAAGGCGGGCGCCGTGTGGCCCACAGAGGGATGTGCATTTGCGTAGAGCACCTCATCCGAGACCTCGATGGGGCCTGTGCTTGACATGAGCGAGCTACAAGTTGTCATCGGCGAGGGCTGACCTGGAATAACCAGCAGATTGTGCGGCTCCTGCTTGAAGCCTGGAGGAGCGAGGGCACTGGGAGTCAGCGGAGTGCCCACATGGCTCTCGACGGGCAGAGGGTAAGGAATGGTAGATGCCGACAAGGGTGAGAGATGGCCACTCAGCATGGTCAGCCGGGTTGTCGCTGCCCTCTCTGGCGTTGGAAAGGCTGACATGGGCGAGGGCGTGCACGCCATAAGGGGCGAATCAGAGCGTGCACTAGATGAAGTGGGACTAGTGTTAGCTGCGGCGTAGTAGTCATCTTTGCCGGCAAGGGGCCTGCCGGTCAAAACGCTCAGTTTGCCACGATGGCCGATCGAGCCAAAGCCTTTGAATGTCATTTGCGATTGAAGCTCCTGGTGTAAACGAGAGTGTCGTATGCGCGTTTCAGTCTTTTGACTTGACGCTGTAAGTCACGACGCTCATAAGCCGCACCTCGCTCTGTTGTACTTTGGCCCGGAGCAAGTCACGCCCTCGAGCCGATGCTATTGAGCTCGACGCTGCCTTCGCTCGCATGCTCTTGTAGATGATCGTTCGGAAGAGAGAGGTTCGAAATGCGAGCATGAAGAGGCAGAAGTCCACCTACTTGAGCTCATGACGGCAGACTTGCCTGCACCGTCTTTAGTTAGCTCTATAGATGCTTTCGAGCGTGCAGCGCACCGTGGGGCGTACTGAAGGTGGTCAAGCTAGACCTTGAGGTGAGAGCAGTGCGGATGTAGTGTACCGAGAGGCCAATCGTAAAGAGAGAAAGCGAGGTGGTTGCAAAGAGTCGGGGTGTGAGTCTGATCGTGTTCTTCTCCGCTAGTCTGCGCGTTGTGCTCGGATCAGCTCTGCCCGGAAGGACATAGTCGAGCGCTAGGCTCTCGTCTGCAGGGTCTCGCACCTTGACGTGAGTGCTTGCATGCGCTTGGATCTCGACCGTCTCTATCTCGCGATCCGTCGATCTTCGCTGAGCTTCGAGCTTCGAGCTTCATTGACTCTTCCCGATCCGAGCCATCACGTTTGCCGGTTCTACAGCTATGCGCCAGCCTCGAGTCATCGTCATCCGACATGGTCCGTCCCCTGCACAGCAAATGCTCCCGCTGAGATAGACAGCCCAGGCGAGACTGAGTGGTCAATCAATGGTCGACATACAGGGACATCTGATATCCCATTGACAGCCAAAGGAGAAGAGCAAGTCGCTCGACTGAGCAAGACAGCTGTCGGACCAGACGGTACGCACACCTAGTCCACCAACTTCACGGAGCACTCAAACGTACAACAGGCTTCCTGCGACGTTCGTCGGCTTCTCTTTCCTCGCCTATCATAGGTCGCTCACATTTTCATTAGCCGAGCGAATAGCCCGTATATTTGTCTCGCCTCGCGTACGAGCCAGGCGAACGCTCGAACTGTTGCTCTCCTCAGTGCCTCAGCCACAACGCGACTTGCTCGCAGACCGAACCACGATAGACGACGCCGTTCAAGAATGGATGTATGGCGAAGGTGAAGGCTTGCGCCCCGCCGAGCTCTCTCAGCGCTATGGCTCGCAATGGCAAAAGTACCGTGATGGCTTCCCGGGCGGCGAAACACCTGAAGCCATTCGCACACGAATCCAAGGCGTCATCTCGAATGTCCATGCTGTTCATGCACGCTATTGGGAGGCAAATGATGAGAGCGAGCCCAGTGATGTGCTCATTGTCTCGCATGGCGATTTCACGCGATGTCGGTCGGCCAGCACTGCTGCCACAGTTGGGCTTACGCAGATTCAAGGTTTCTTGATCGCTTGGCTCGATCTGCCGTTCGAAGCAGGTCAGAATCTTACAGTCTCTCCAGGCGCGATCAACGTTGGCGGCTACCGGCCTAACAGCATCAGCAAACGCACGCTCGAGTAAATGCCTTACTTGCGGTTGGTATAGATCTGATGGACGAGCAGAGGATTCAACTTGTATTCGCTGCCACCGAGCTAGACGTGCTCTTGCTGTTGTGGCCTACGTCCGAGACACATTCATTGAGATCTCCATTAAGCAGAGATGACCCTCTGTTTGGATTCTTGCAAGCCGAGGATTGCTCTTCGCAGGCAATGCTGACGTGTCAGTTTGACTTTGCGATCTCATTTTTGACATCGTCGACGACGTCGAGTCAGCTCGCCAAACGATGGCAACAGCACTCAAGGATGTCTTTGCGGCACGAGCCGAGTTGCATCTTCCAGTGTTTGTAACCTTTATGACGGCGGGCTATCCGCACCCTGACAAGTCTGTCGACATCATGCTAGCGATGGAAGCAGGTGGTGCAGACATCATCGAGCTCGGCGTGCCGTTCACAGATCCACTGGCAGACGGCAAAGCAATCCAGGAGAGCAACAATGTCTGTATATGTCTTCAGCTTGCAGCCCGCGCGTGCTGACTCGGTCGTCAGGTGGCGCTCGAGCACGATTGCGACTATACAAGGTGCTTGGAGATCGTCAAGGAGGCCAGAGCAAGGGGACTCAAATGCCCCGTCATCCTGATGGGCTACTACAATCCTCTGCTTGCTTATGACACAGAGTACGGCACCGACAAAGCTGTCGTCGATGCCAGAGCAGCCGGCGTCTCTGGCTTCATCGTCGTCGATCTGCCACCCGAAGAGGCTATCGAGTTTCGCAAAGTTTGCACGAGCAACGGGTAAATTACGATACCTGATGTAAGTCAAGCTGAAGTATGATGTGCAGGTTGTCATACGTACCTCTTATTGCGCCCTCGACGACCGACGCGCGCATCCGCTTCCTGGGCTCGATTGCAGATTCATTCATCTATGTCGTCTCAAAGGTCAGTCTGCTCTGCGTAGCAGTAATTTCGCTCAATGCCAGCAATAGATGGGTACAACCGGCGCAGCTTCCGCTGTCAATACCGATCTCCCAAACCTTGTGAATCGTATAGAGACATTGCTGGATCAGCCAATACCGCTTGCCGTTGGCTTTGGCGTCTCGACGCACGAGCACTTTGATCAGGTCGGCTCGGTTGCAGACGGTGTCGTCGTCGGCTCAAAGCTTATTGCCGCCGTCGAAGCCGCCTCTAAGGAATCAGGTGACCCTGTCAAAGCAGTGCGCGATGCCTGCGAAAGCATCTGTGGCGGCCGTGCTCGTGCCGATGCCGGCGTAAATCGTCAAATACAGCGCAGAGCTCGCGCTAATGGCAAGGGTGTCAACGGTCCAGGCAACGCAGACGTACCGACGACGACGACAGCAAGAGCGACGACCAATGGCATCAAGCACATCACGCCCATCATCGATGGCGTGGTGACGGATGAGACCCGGCAAACAGTACCGGGACTAGATTCGATTCCGCAGAAGGACGCAAAGACAGGCGAGAGCGCCGTCCTGCCGCCCCGCTTCGGCGAATTTGGCGGACAGTATGTACCAGAGGCACTCGTCGACTGTCTGGCAGAGCTCGAGCAGTGCTTCAAAGACGCAACCGCCGATCCGGCATTCTGGGCGGAATGGGAGAGCTACTACAACTACATGAACAGACCGTCAAATCTATACGAAGCAAAGCGTCTGACCGAAAAAATTGGAGGCGCACGTATCTGGTTCAAGAGAGAAGATCTGAATCATACGGGCAGTCACAAGATCAACAATGCAGTCGGTCAGATCCTCCTCGCCAAGCGTATCGGTAAGAAGCGCATCATCGCAGAGACTGGCGCTGGTCAACACGGTGTTGCAACCGCTACCGTCTGCGCTAAATTGGGCCTCGAATGCGTCGTCTACATGGGAGCCGAAGATGTCAGGAGGCAGGCCCTCAACGTCTTCCGCATGAAAATGCTTGGCGCAAAGGTCGTCGCTGTTGCGAGTGGAAGCCAAACGTTGAAGGATGCAATCAACGAAGCTATGCGCGACTGGGTCACCAATCTTTCGACGACCCACTTTCTCATTGGATCAGCAATTGGACCTCATCCATTTCCCACCATCGTAAGAGAGTTTCAGAGCGTCATCGGCAAGGAAATCAAATGGCAATTACAAGAAGCAGTCGGTCGATTGCCCGATGCCGTCGTCGCTTGTGTTGGCGGCGGAAGCAACGCCATCGGGACGTTCTATCCTTTTCAGGCAGACACGAGCGTTCGTCTCGTCGGTGTCGAAGCTGGCGGTGAAGGCGTCGATACGCCTTATCATTCTGCCACGCTCAGCAAAGGTACGAAAGGAGTCCTGCACGGCGTGCGCACGTACCTGCTTCAGTCTAACAAGGGTCAGATTATTGGCACCCATTCAATCTCTGCCGGCCTAGACTACAGCGTGCGCCATCTCTTGCTCCACATTGCTATTGTCCACTGACAGATACCTCTACAGGGCGTTGGGCCTCAGCATGCGTTCCTCAAGGACTCTGGTCGAGCAGAATACACCGCGGCAACAGATCTCGAATGTCTCAAAGGATTCCGCCTGTGCACAGAAAATGAGGGCATAATTCCAGCGCTAGAGACGGCGCATGCGATCTGGGGAGCATGTGAGCTGGCAAAGACAATGCCCAAAGATGCCAACATCGTGCTGGTTCGTCGCGCGTATTCCCATTTTGCCGTATCTGATCGCCCACTCTGCGTAGTGCTTATCTGGTCGTGGCGACAAAGACGTCGAGCAGATTGCCGATCAGCTTCCAAAGTACGCAGAACGACTAGATTGGCATCTTGTGAACTAGTGTATCGCATGCATCCTGCTAGCATATGTCAAGTGTGTTGGGCTGCCAAAACTAACAATTACCCCGCGCTAGATATCGGTCGGTCAGTCGGCAACTTCGCGTCGCCGGTAAACTCAAAACGAGGACGTTTACCACCTCGAGCAGACTGTCAGCTTTAGCACCATGTTCCCCAAAACCAACCAGGGTCTCGCTGCGCCGGGCTCGAAAGCGATGCTCAAGCTGACACCCGGCTCACCCGAACGGAGGATTACCTGGCTACAGCTCCTGCACTTGATCTACATCCTCGTACCTTATCTTAGTCAGTGAAGCTGCGTACCGTCCAATGCGCTCCTGATGCGCTGTAAGAACAGCTATTCGCCTTCCACTTTCTATCCTGTTCAAGCACATATTGCCGCTGCTGACGTTCTATCGCTACAAATCGGCTATCGTCAAAAATGTCGGGCGGCCTGCATATGCCGATGTTGTCGCTCGTATGACCAACTATGTCCTGTCTAGGTAAAGACTGAGAAGTCTCGCTCGCTCTCGTACTGACCTTTGAAAGCAGATCTACTCAGTCGCAAGCTCGCGCGTTGCTTTTTGGGCGCACGAATCCCTACAACATGACGTACAGCTCGCCGCTCTTTTGGGGCAAGAAGCAATGGCTTAGTGAAGTCAAGGAGCCGGGCATAACCGGCAGATGGATCGCAAATCAACACACTGCTCGTAAAGATGACGACCTCGTCCTTTTCTTCGTGCATGGCGGCGGCTTCGTGCTAGATACCGGCGGAAGCGCGCAAGGTGAGCGTCTTGGTAGCTATCTCAGTGCAGTGACCTGATACATCTAGCAGGCTTCTTTGGGTTTCTCATGCAGGAATTGACAGTCAAACGTGGCCTCCGCTTCTCAATCTTTCAGCTGGACTATGGTAAGAAAGCTGGCGATCTACATGCGCGCGAGCTCACCTGGAAGCTGCAGAGCTCGCGCCAGAATACATCTTCCCATCACAGATCATTGAGACGCAAGCAGCATACGCCTGGCTCGTCAACAAGCAGGGCATCTCGCCTGACAAAATCGTCCTCGGAGGCGATAGCGCTGGCGGCTCAATCATTCTGTCTTTTTTACTTCATCTTGCACGATCCAATCCAGCCATCACAACACCAGAAGCAATCTTCGGTCCGGTGCCTCGTAGACCTGCCGCGACTCTGTGCATTTCACCCTTTGTCAAGGCGATCTCGAATCTACCATCACGCTTCGAGAATGCCGATTACGATCTGATCGAACATAGATCAGCCTACGCCGCAGTCCTCAGTTACTCAGGCGCGGCCGATATCACTCCCAAGCTCACCTGGTGGCCGCACCATCTGTTCTTCAAGCTGCCGCACAAAGATCTCGAGATTCCCACGTCCTCGGGCGGCACACGCAATGCACGGATCAGTGCGGAGCCCAAACTGGACACTACCAAAGCTCGACAAAACTTCGTGGCCAACATGGGCGATCCTTACCTCAATGTAAGCTGTGCGGAAGATCCAGCCTGGTGGAAGGAGGCAATGCCCGAACGCAACCTCATCACCTGGGGCGGGCGCGAGATCTTCAGAGATGATATCGTCGAGTGGACCGGCAAGCTTGACAGAGCCGACTGCGACTACGAGACGCTCGTCAAGCCCTTGGGCTCGCACGATTGGCTATTGTACGATTTTACTATCCCGGGTCTACACATTACCAACAGCACCGGACCAGACCGCCGGTTGATGTGGGGCGTCGAGTCGGTGGCCGACTACATGTGTACACTCACAGACGCCCGCACGGCCAAGGTGGTCGATCTAGAAATCTAGCGAATGCATCGAATTTGCACCGACTGAAAGTTGGACAGACCTGCTGTAGTGTACTGACAAGGCTCTAGGATGCAATGACCAGGAATGCGATGATGTAGCGATCATGTCTGCTCGCGTGAGAGGCGTTCTTCCTTGAGTTTGTAGAAGAGCGAGCCGTCAATGACGCCGCGGGCATCGTCGCGCGACAGCTTCCCCTTCGTCGTACTACCCACTGCAATGAGCCATGTTGTCCACCATCTAGAGAGCATCAGTAGATGCAACTGCTGCAATGATCAAAGGCTCACTCAAAGATCGCCGCGAAAACCCCAAAGGGATCCATAAGAACTCGTTGGCCCTTTGTTGCGCGATAGAGCTCGCCGGATGTCAATTCGTCGCCTTTGCCGTACTTGTGGAAGAAATCGTGTGCTTTCTGGGGAACAAAGCGGCCTTCGTTGTCATACGCGCCGCTATCCGAACCATGCTTGCAGCGGTGGATGTTTTCGATGTAGACTCGAAAGTAGGGATCGGGAAGGTAGCCGCTGACAGTGGGGTATGAGAATGCAGAATGAATGATGAAGATGGCGAGGAAGCTGATGATGTAGCCGTATCCGCAGGCTCTGAAGCCGCGATAGGTGTCAAGTGGCCAGATGACGCCGTCACCGTCACCGTCAAAGAATGCAACATGCTTTTGCAAAGTCGTGTAGCCTTCGTTCTGGGCTGCAACTTGCTTGCCGACAGTCTGACCGTAGACAGTGGCAGCCTCCGCGTCTGCGTGTAGCTCAGTGCTGGCAGGAGCAAATTCTGCACGAGGAAAGCCAGCGTGGGGAATAGCGGTGATGCCAGCCTGACGTTGGGCTGTCACCGGTGCTCGATCGGCGACCGAGGCACTGGCAAGTGAGTCATCAAGGTTGGCGAGATACTCGTCGATGATAGCTTCCTTGTGATGACCCTTTCCGTGCGTTCTGATCGTCGTGTGACCGTTGACTTCGACAACTTGACCAGACAGCCCATTGGGCTTGTTAATCTGCGATCCGCTCGACCTTCGACCTGTCATGTTGCGCGACAGGCTGGCGATTAATGGCGGGTGACACCGGTGACGTCGCGATGGCGAACTGACTGATCGACTGATATTGATAACGTGCATGCTCGCGAGTACTCAATCGGGTGTCAATCCGCACAGCTGTCCCTGCGATCTGTGTCCGCGACATGAACATCCTAGCACAAGCTCGGCAACTGGAATGAAAGGCTGTAATTTTGCTGTAGACAACGTTCGCCGCAATGCCAGCAAGCAAGATCCGACATTCAATCGGCTCTACCTGCAAGCCACTCTGCGCCGCCTCAGCACGCCCTGAAGCTGTCAGCACGCGCAGACTACGTTGCGACACCTCTGGCTTGTCTCACTATGTCACACAGTCCGCTGGATCATCTTATAGCCCTCCGTCGAGGCTGACGGAACTACCGTCAGCGTGGATGACCGCAAAAGTCTAAGAACACAGCGCTCCTCCGACTCGCAGGGATCGTTACCCAACGATGGAAAAGTTGCACATTCGTCAAAACGCGTTTGACACGGAATATCATGTTGTCATGCAGCCCCTTTATGCCTGACAACGTTGCAACCTACGACGTTCTCATCGCTTTAGCACAGCGGGCGAACAAAGCAGTCATGTTCGCAGTTTTCGCGTTCGCATTGTCCTTCCTCGGACTCTTCGGGGTCACGTCTGGCTCGGTCATCCCGCAAGCAGATGGCTTGCAAGCTCGTCACCCCGTCGGGCCCTGGCAACCAACGACGATTACCATCTACACCGAGACACATACTTTACTCTTTGAGGCCTACGTCGACCTCCGAGTTCGCCTGGACGATAACGCAAGTCTATATTGTCATTCAGTAAGGGCATGTCTGAATTTTCGACAGGGTTTGGAAGGCGGCGTGGGTCCTGGATACAAGCTTGCTTGGGAGGAGGCAAGCAGTGATGCTCTCGCTGGCGCAAAGATCCGCATGATTAGTCAGTCCTGCGCTAGCTGCTATCTACGGCCTGATGCAACTTGCTGCAACAGTCTCAAATTACGTACGCGATATCCTGGACCTGACGATGTATTATCCCCGTGGAAAAGGATTTTTCACATACTATACGATAAACGATCTTCAGCTTGACGGCACCGATGTGACAGTGAGCGCTCGTCACCCCGTCTTGACCAGTTCTGACTCCTCTATGACTCAGCTGAGCCCGTCCCTTGTTCAGTATGTTCATCCCTAGGCTCGCTCGTGTCGCGTGCTAAGAAATGAACGGCAGAGTCGTCAGCGGAGGACGCATTATCCCGGCGCATCCTTAGATCGTTTTGTCGTATCAGCTGCAGATAGAGTCTCGCTCAATGACTATGTCAAGTCACTACCGAGAGCGCCGTGGCCGGTAGAGGCTGATGTTCCACCCACTCACAGACAAAGTCAGCCGGAAACTGCCCGGGGAATATGGAATTCAAAACGAAGGAAGACAAGAGATGCCAGAATAAGGTAGAATCGGGGATATTCGAGCATTTTCTAGGCTCGCTACCTTGACTGAGGCAGCAACCGACTGAAAGATGCTCTTTTATATTCGCATAGCTCTTCGGCGCACTTTGAGCGATGAGTAGTCGACAGCGTCCAGTCCAAAGACGGCCAGCACGTCTTCCACGACTGCTCAGAATGTAATTTGACAGGAGTGCTGTTGCAACATCAGCTGGCGATCGCTGGGGCAGCGAGAGGCTTACCGTGGGAGCATGATCTGACTAGCCTGGCGAGATCGAAAAGCGAGACAATGTAGATGCATTGCGGCATAAGCGCTGAGGAAAGAAAGTGTTGCTTTTGTCAGTGCTGCCGGTAAGTCGGCTGTCTTGCTGTCGAGCCACGAGCTAGATCCGGCGAGCGAGCAAGCCTCGAAGGCTGGCCACATACGGTGGAGCACTTGTCGCAGGCGGATACTCTTCGTTCGCTGCAATTACTTCGTCTGGAGTTATCCGTCGCTGATAGCTTGCAAAGCTACCTCCGGACTGCAGTGTTCATAGGCAAAGCAAGATCCAGAGGCGGTTGTNGTCTTCTTGCTGACCAGCTTCTCGTCTGAACGACCGAGCGCGCCTCAACTTGACGGCCGCGAGCACAGCAGGTCAAATCTCGTCGGCTTACGCTCGTCCGCTTGTGTCACCTCACGCGCAATTCCCCATCAGACGACAGTTCACNACCCCTGCCTANNGGCCGCGGTCCCGGGCATGTTCCCAATTAGAGCGTCTGAAGCGGCTGTTGTCTTCTTGTCGGCCACGATTCTCGCCTCGACGAGTGAAGGCGCCTCCCNCTGATACTCGTGAGCTTCTCCAAGATTTCCAGAATGGTCACGGGCAGTCCTTCTCTCGCAGCTAGTCGCATAGAAAAGGAGCTCCCCGTCGAATCAGCCAGTNTGCGAGTCTGGCCTCGAGCTAACTCCAGATCATCACAGCTTTCGCAAAGGGTCTGAACGGACATGTCGATCTTGTTTCTTGGTCGCCAGAGCGTCGTTGACGAGCGAGCAGGCCTCCGAATGACAGCGTGGGGCAACCACGACTAGCCAAATGTTGCCGGCCAAGACTCTTCGTTCGCTGCATCTCCCTGCATAGACTACCCGTCCTCGAGCATGCTGATCTCTGAGTGCTATCAAGGATCCTCGCAAGACAGTGTCGGACTGATATTGTCGTGCTGGTCGAGACTGGCGCGCAAGGGAGAAAAAGCACAGACGTGTTAATTATCTCTGCTCGGGCGAGTTCGGTGATCTGCGCGCCTTGTCCGATTGATCACGCGCCAGCAGATCTGCAGCCAATGAGTCGTCTAGCATCACAGCCTCAACGTCTCATCACAAACTCACCAGTGTCGTCTGCCAGCTCCAAGCTGATGGCGAGAATGACGATCATGCCGACACCGTATGCCTTTGGCGATTCTCACGACAGTCTGGCGCATACCGTCTGGGCCTTGCGCTACTTGTCTCGTACTTATCGGCAATCATGTTTGATCCTTCGGTGTCATCGCCGCTGGATCATGTGCATGCTGAGCCTCAATGGATGCCTTTTGATTTCTCTGCGACTACTCCCGTCTTTGCATTCGCTGCTCGACATGTCCCAGCCACGCGCTATCACCACTTGTTGGTCAGGAAAGAGCAATCCGGAATCAGCCGCCATCATTCTTGCGCGCGAGTGAAGCGCGAGTGGAGTGAAGAATGCAAGCTGACAGATGACGCTGTCATCATAGTCAAGCGGATGCATACTAAGCAAATCTACAACATCGATCTGTTTGCTGGCGCATGTGATTTTCATCGATACATGTTTTTCTCTACGTGCACATCAAATGAGCAGCTCAGACTGAATAACATTCGCTGCAAGCGATCGAAGTCTCTGAATTCATCCATCCCCCCAATGGTACTTTGAAACCGAAAGACACCTAGGACCTTTGACCGTGTCATATAACAATTCAGCAACAAGTGAGCACCTTGATCGTTGAAAAAGGAACGCCCCAGGAAGTGACAGCAATGGTCGAGACACATAGCCGGACCTGAAGACTATCCGTTAGAGAATGTCAAGTGCACAGTAAAAATACGGTGAAAGGTAATCACAAACACCAAGCCGTTCGGTAGCCGTACACCTCGCCGTGTCACATTTTAGACACTGTGTCAGGCCTCTTTCTGAGTCTGTAGAGCTATTGACGATCTACCGCTTGCACTGATCTGATGGAACATAGTACCTGCATGAGCGCAGAAATGCACCGATAAGCATCATGTCAACAGTTAGGACGCATCTCAGCAGCGGGAAATTATCCACTGCTGCCGACGTCCGCTCGAGCAATATTGCATCAGTCGTCCGCTAGACACTATCCTGGAGACTATTGATGTATGCTACCGTCTCAAAGTACGGCTTCAGTCGTACTGCGGGCCAGGCAGGCAACATCTAGCTTCCAGACAGATCTGGTATTGCGAGTGAGGACAGCTCAACCTGCTCCGGAGTACGAACACATCTCTATGGATACTGTTCTGGCGCAGACTGACTGTCCGTCCCTTTGAATCGTCGTAATTGTTACAGGTAGTCTTCCGGCGATTTCTCAGATTGCAACTTGTGTCGTGTGAATACTGATGGCGACTGGATACCGTGCCAATGAAATGCAGCAATGCGACCGGATGAAGACTATGAGTGGCTTCGCTAAGGTCGCTGTGGTCAATCCAATGTCCTGTTAACGCGCCTAGATAAATTACGCCAATCAGATACTCGGGTGATTAATGACTTTTCCATGAATTACGCAATATTGAGTTTTGGCAAGGCAAATTGAGAAGATCTCCTGGCATTTCACTACTCGCCAATGGCAAAGCGGCGCTATCCTTTCTGATCGTCGGCATAAAACATACAGATCGATTGGCTCTCCGCTAAACCTTCCTTTCGTCACTTCTCGCTCAGTCGTCCAGTCCGATCATGTATCGTCGAGTAGCGCATACCTTGCAAAGTCCAATCGACACGACTGCCACGAGCTGCCAAGTCACGCCCAGTCACTTTGCTCATCTTCCTTCATGCCGCAAACAGCAGCTGTGGACACTGCTAGCTACTGTCACTGATGATACGCTCAGACATGGTCAGATCATGCGTCACAGCGCCGATAGTCAGAGAGCGTGGGACACTAGCGAGCAATCATCTCTTACTGGCGACTAGCTACGAGGCACCACGTCAGGCTAAAGGAGTGTCAGCAAGACGATCTCATCTACCCCAGTGAGAACAGCAGCGCCTCGAGGAACAGACGCCGTCGCCTGCCAGTATATGCACCACACTCATCGCACATGCACACCACATCGAGTCATCATCGAGCAAAGCCACTCGATAGAAATGAGCCACATCTATCATACCCCAGCTGATGATCTCAACTCACTCAGCGGATGTCTATCGTGCTTGCATCATATGATATCTGTCAGACTGCTCGAATCGTCCGCAAGATGGCAACTTGGTCTATCGGCGCCCTACCAGCTTGGGCTTGTCTATCTCGGCAATGACTCTGACCAACTCGCATTGCCGGCANAATCGTCCGCAAGATGGCAACTTGGTCTATCGGCGCCCTACCAGCTTGGGCTTGTCTATCTCGGCAATGACTCTGACCAACTCGCATTGCCGGCACCATTCATGTCCCGCGATGGATTATGCACCGCTTACCAGATCTGGGCAATCGTCATCCTACTCTCAATAGCTGTCCACATGAGTTCTCGTCTTTCAATTGTACATCTCTGAGCTGCCTGTCTTGCACTGCACACTGCAGATGATCAAAGTGACTTCCGACTAGACTGTGTCAAAGATGACATCAGATGCATCTACACTCTCACATTGATGGCTGTCAATCCTGAACTCATCCTCTCGGCAATAACACTGTCTGACTCACACTCGATGTCAGATACACACTAGATCCTCTACCAGCTCATATGCATCGGCGACTCGCAGTCTGCTTCCTGCGACTGTGACATTGAGAGACTTGGTCACAGCGGCAATCATCTCAATCTGTCAGCCGTCCAGCTGGCATCTCTGATTGTACGCTCTCGCCTGCCAGTATATGCACCACACTGATCGCACATGCACACCACATCGAATCATCGTCGACCTAGGCAACTCGACAGACATGAGCCCTTTCTGTCATACTCGAGCTGATGATCTCAACTCACTCAGCGGGTGTCTATCGTGCTCGCATGATACAACATCTGTGCCTTGCGGCTCGTCAGATTGCTCGAATCGTCCGCAAGATGGCAACTTGGTCTATCGGCGCCCTACCAGCTTGGGCTTGTCTATCTCGGCAATGACTCTGACCAACTCGCATTGCCGGCAGCACCAGCGATGGATTATGCACCGCTTGCCAGGTCTGGGCAATCGTCAACCTACTCTCAATAGCTGTCCACATGTGTTCTCGTCTTTCAATTGTACATCTCTGAGCTGCCTGTCTTGCACCGCACACTGCACATGATCAGAGTAATTTCTGGCTAGACTGTGTCAAAGATGACATCAGATGCACCTACACTCTCACATTGATGGTCGTCAATCCTGGACTCAACCTCTCGGCAATGACATCGTCTGACTCACACTCGATGTCAAATACACCTCAGATTCCCTATCAGCTCATATGCATCGGCGACTAACAGCATGCTTTCTGCAAATGTGGCATTGAGAGGCTTGGTCACAGCGGCAATCATTTCAATCTGTCAGCCATCAAGCCGGCATCTTCGATTGCACCGACATTCTATTGCACAATCATTCGAGTCAGTGTGTTGAGCTATAGATGGCATCATCAGACCAGGCGACTGCTTGACTAGAGCAGACATTGATGTGACATCATCACTAAAGGCTTGAGATCGATGGCAGCAGTCAAGCCAATCACTCGAGCCGGTACTTTACAGCTTGTCAGACTATGCTCATCGGAATGTATGCCACTTGCACAATCGATCACTTGCTGTGGAGCAGAGACACTTTA